TAAAAATAACTGATAATTCCAAAAACTAATACTGCATTCGTAATCAGCATGTTCGCTTACCCTCCCGTGCCAACTCTTAGCTCCGTAGCTTGACTTTGCAAAAAAATCGATAGAATGATAAAAGTAAATGATAATTCTAAAAACCAGTATCATATTCGTAATCAGCATGCTCGATTACCCCCGTGTGCCAAACCCCAGCCCCGTAGCTTGAACCATGCAAAAAAATCGATAAAATGATAAAAATAACTGATAATCCTAAAAGCTATGTTGTATTCGTAATCAGCATGTTCGCTTGTCCTCCTGTGCCAACTCCCAGCCCCGTAGCTTGAACTTTGCCAAAAAATCGATAAAATGATAAAAATAACTGATAATTCTAAAAACTAATACTGTATTCGTAATCAGCATGTTCGCTTACCCTCCCGTGCCAACTCCCAACCCCGCAGTCCAAAATTTGTAAAAATCGATAAAATGATAAAAGTAATGGGCGTTTTTGAAAATGGTTATCATATTCGTAATCAGCATGCTCGATTACCCCCGTGTGCCAACTCCCAGCCCCCTAGCTTGAACTTTGCCAAAAAATCGATAAATGATAAAAGTAAATGATGATTTTGAATACCAGTATTGTGTTCGTAATCAGCATGTTCGCTTATCCTCCCTTGCCAACTCCCAGCCCCGTAGCTTGAACTTTGCCAAAAAATCGATAAAATGATAAAAGTAATGGGCGTTTTTGAAAATGGTTATCATATTCGTAATCAGCATGCTCGATTACCCCCGTGTGCCAACTCCCAGCCCCCTAGCTTGAACTTTGCCAAAAAATCGATAAATGATAAAAGTAAATGATGATTTTGAATACCAGTATTGTGTTCGTAATCAGCATGTTCGCTTATCCTCCCTTGCCAACTCCCAGCCCCGTAGCTTGAACTTTGCCAAAAAATCGATAAAATGATAAAAGTAATGGGCATTTTTGAAAATGGTTATCATATTCGTAATCAGCATGCTCGATTACCCCCGTGTGCCAACTCCCAGCCCCGTAGCTTGAACTTTGCCAAAAAATCGATAAAATGATAAAAATAACTGATAATTCTAAAAACTAATACTGTATTCGTAATCAGCATGTTCGCTTACCCTCCCGTGCCAACTCCCAACCCCGCAGTCCAAAATTTGTAAAAATCGATAAAATGATAAAAGTAATGGGCACTTTTGAAAATGGTTATCATATTCGTAATAAGCATGCTCGATTACCCCCGTGTGCCAACTCCCAGTCACGTAGTTCAAAATCTGCAGAAAAATCGATAGAATGATAAAAGTAAATGATAATTTTGAAAACCAGTATTGTATTCGTAATCAGCATGTTCGCTTATCCTCCCTTGCCAACTTCCAGCCCCGTAGCTTGAACGCCAAAAAATCGATAAAATGATTAAAGTAATGGACATTTTTGAAAATGGTTATCATATTCGTAATCAGCATGCTCGATTACCCCCGTGTGCCAACTCCTAGCTCCGAAGCTTGAACTTTGCAAAAAAATCGATAAAATGATAAAAATAACTGATAATTCTAAAAACTAATACAGTATTCGTAATCAGCATGCTCCATTACCCCCGTGTGCCAACTCCTAGCTCCGAAGCTTGAACTTTGCAAAAAAATCGATAAAATGATAAAAATAACTGATAATTCTAAAAGCTAATACTGTATTCGTAATCAGCATGTTCGCTTACCCTCCCGTGCCAACTCCCAACCCCGTAGTCCAAAATTTGCAAACAAATCGATAAAATGATAGAAGTAATGGGCATTTTTGAAAATAGTTATCATATTCGTAATCAGCATGCTCGATTACCCCCGTGTGCCAACTCCCAGCCCCGTAGCTTGAACTTTGCCAGAAAATCGATAAAATGATAAAAGTAATGGGCATTTTTGATAACGGTTATCAAATTCGTAATCAGCAAGCTCGATTACCCCCGTGTGCCAACTCCCAGCCCCGTAGCTTGAACTTTGCCAGAAAATCGATAAAATGATAAAAGTAATGGGCATTTTTGATAACGGTTATCAAATTCGTAATCAGCATGTTCGATTACCCCCCTGTGCCAACTCCCAGCCCCGTAGTTCAAAATTTACAAATAATCGATAAATTTGGTAGAAGTAATAACAAGCTTCCATGCTGGAAAATGACAAACACGAAAACACCATCGAGGACCTACAGACAGCATCAACAAGCATGCTTATCCACCAGCGTACAGACAAGCCACCAGTGTACAGACAAAATCCCATTCGGTTTTATATATATAGAAGGATTCGAATATTCGAAAAAAATTTCGAATTTCCCAAAGTATAGTCGCTAGTCTTATATATAAAGCTGAATGTCTGTTTGTATGTCTGTCTGTCTGTACGTATGTTCCGAATAGAAAATTCCATTTCTGAACCGATCCGGACCAAACTTGGCACACATACACTACGGGCCCCGGCGGGTGTCATAGGCTACTTTTCGTCATCGATCGATATCGATTTTATCGATTTTTATCGATTTTTTTGCAGAGTTCACCTACGGGGCTGGGAGTGGCACAGGGGGTAATCGAGCATGGGGATTCCGAATACGATATTGGTTTTCGGGATTATCGATTACTTTTATCGATTTTATCGATTTTTTTGCAAAGTTTGAGCTACGGGGCTGGGAGTTCGCACAGGGGGGTAATCGAGCATGGGGATTCCGAATACAATATTGGTTTTCGGGATTATCGATTACTTTTATCGATTTTATCGATTTTTTTGCAAAGTTTGAGCTACGGGGCTGGGAGTTCGCACAGGGGGGTAATCGAGCATGGGGATTCCGAATACAATATTGGTTTTCGGGATTATCGATTGCTTTTATCGATTTTATCGATTTTTTTTGCAAAGTTTGAGCTAGGGGGCTGGGAGTTGGCACAGGGGGGTAATCGAGCATGCTGATCATCCCCAAGGGGAGTGATCAGCATGCTCGATTACACCCCTGTGCCAAATTCCAGCCCCCTAGCTCAAATTTTCAAAAAATCGATAAATAAAAAGGTTGCCACAACCTTGCCAATTGAACCACACCAACCACCACCACACGAACGACACACGTTTATTGTCGATTACCTCAAACTTGGGTAATTAAACCCTCGTTCTGCTTGAAATATACACACATAAACAAGAAGCAAATCAACATGAGAAAGTGAGGATATCCTAACAAATAGTTGGAACTATATGTCAAACCAAAATGATATTTTGGATATCATGTGAATTTGGACTACTTGCAAGAAATGTACAAGAGGGGATTAGAAAACATATGACAGGAGTGTCGGATGTGCCATCCTACGTACAAGGAATGAGCGGATAGTAAGGCAACACAAGCAATGAGTGTAAGTGATGGAAAATGCATGAGTAATAATGATTAAGTATATATAGACGCTCGCTTGCTGGCTCCATCGTTCCTTCTGCAGCTGCAATCGTTTTTGTCTGTGGACCAATATCTTTTTGTCGAAGGGAATGTCGCATCTGGCATCGTGGATTCCTTCCTTGGCATTCCTCAACTAGCTTTTTTATTTAGCAGGCATTCAAAACATTGGTTGATTGCAATGCGATCCTTGAAACGAACGTCTCAGCTGGTATTGAGGGGTCATCGTGTGCCACTCTCATGCACGATATTGCTCAATTGCATCGCGATCCGCGATAATAAAATCGATAAAAGTAATGGACGATCTTGAAAACTAATATTGTATTCGTAATCTGCATGCTCGATTACCCCCCTGTGCAAACTCCCAGCCCCGCAGGTCAAACTTTACAAAAAAACTCGATAAAATCGATAAAAGTAATGGACGATCCTGAAAACTAATATTGTGTTCGTAATCAGCATGCTCGATTACCCCCCTGTGCCAACTCCTAGCCCTGTAGGTGAACTCTGCAAAAAAATCGATAAAAATCGGTAAAATCGACATCGATCGATAACGAAAAGTGGACTGTGACACCCGCCGGGGCCCGAAGTGTATGTGTGCCAAGTTTGGTCCGGATACGGCGGAGCCGGGTAAGCCAGCTAGTATCTTCTAAATTAGATTCAAAACCATTTCAACTAATCGGTCTTTATAGATTCTCCTCTACAGGTCTCATAAATAGAGAATTGTTTCTTACCTGAGAGTTTGCATGTTTGTAGCCTCATAATCGATTTAGAACACAAGGTCATTGCTCGTACGCAGTTGTTTATCGCAAATATTAGATTGTCCGGAAATTAATGCCCGTTTTGAATTTCAACCGCAATAAGTCATACACTTCTCAATTCTGAATAGGTAGCAAAGTACTAGTTGATAGAGCAAAGCAAGCTCTACAAGATGGCAATCTTGCTTTGGCAGCAGCTCTGATCCACCTAGAGTTTTAAGCCAAAAACTAAAAAGATTCAGCTGCCCGAAAAATCGAGAAAAACCATAACTCAGTATAAAATCCTACAAAAATTCTTACTTGCTCATGTAAACACTATCCACATAAGACATCTATATAGCCTTTGCCGTACCTTTCCCTCTGATAGAAACCAAGAAAACGAAAATTTTCGTGCATATGCCAAAGTGATGCTGTGCTGTCCCCACATAGGTAGTTGTATACCACAAGCCTGTAGAAGTATAGACCTAAATTTTCAGCTCTCTACAAGCTTTAGTTCTCGAGAAATACCGATTATAGCTTCCCCTAGTCAGGTATTAAATTAAATTAATTAAATTAAATTAATTTTTAATTAGGTATTCGGCCGTAAAATTTTACGCCATCGAAGACCATGCTTCACCCGAGGCTCCTGGCAACATAATCAACAAAAGTTCTACACTAAAAAAGTCATGGATCCCTTAAATATGTACCTATCTAAACATGTTTAGCTGCAGAGCATGCTAACATGAAAGATTTGGACGAGGCGGGTCCCGCAACGATAACTCTCACATGGTATAACGTGCTCAAATTCTGCTTTTTTCAAAAACTAACCGGATTTGCAGCAAAATTTCTAGATTGAGTTCGGGTTTGAGTGTCTAGAATCTGTTTATTGATTTGGTATGGTTTGACTTTGCGGCTCAAGTACGCTTTAACGCACTGTTGAACAAGCGTACACGTGTGGTTGACAAGTTTATACCCGTAAGCTATCTCATGGGAAGATTTGCCACTCGGAGAAATGAGGAAACGCGTTGAACCGTGTTTGTTCGTGTGCGAAACGTTCTCGAGTCTCATCATCTCGGAATAAATAGTATTTTTTGAAGTGTTGTAATTTAGGTACTGCTATGAATGGTGCCTCCACCTTGACTGATTCGCTTGTTAGAGAACATTTGTTATTTCGTGGTCTTTACAATGCGCTCAAAGCCTTCGATCAGGACTCCAAATCCGGAAAAGACCTGAAGCTTCAGGTGGGTAAGTCTACTTCATTCTTCTAATTCACAAATATGTTACTGCGGATTAGAAACTTCAAAATCATTTTGATTTCGATGTGCGTCTACAAAGTTCTGACTTTTTATTGAACCAGAGTTGCATTCGGATAGCCTTTAAATTGTTATTGCGAAGAGGCAAATTTCCGTGCACTTACAGAACTGCTGTGTTAATCAGTGCTTTTCTTAGATTCAAATAAGTTTATCGTGATATCTGGTCGGAATTTTGACTCGCACATACCCATGGAAAATTTGGGAGATTGATTGTATTTTTTCGATATTCCAAGTCGCGGGAAGTTTAATTGCTGCATATATGGAATTCTGGTATTTCCCGACTCACTACCTGTCTCATTATTTGCATTGTGTGGAGCTCATAGAGAAGTTCTCAGCAGCTGATGACGGAAAAAGAAAACTTGGTATTTTATCACCTTGAAGGTTCACCGTTTCAGGTCGACAAGTTTGTGGCGGATTCCTTGTTAGCTATTGATAATCTGGACATAGATACTTTAAAATCATTGTGGGATTTATGGAAATCTAAAGTCTTCAATTCTTTGTCAGGTGTGAGTGTCATGCAGTTTCTGTATTTTTCATGCTACAAACTGCATCCAATCGGAATTCTAATTTCAAGCATTCCTTTTGGGAATATTGATCCTTTTTTTAGGAAAATGCACGGTTGACTGTCGTTTACGAAACAGATATTTATCGGTTATATCTAGTCAAATGTATGGAGAATAAACGTATGGATAAATGTAATCAGTTTTTCCTCAAATGCGCTGCCCTTACCCAAAACAACCCTCTCTGGAGCGAGTGGTTCGGTATGTTTTATTAGTTCAGAAATGTGTTACTTCTTTTCACTTTTATTACTCTCATTATGATATCAGTAGTTTTGATTACTGCCAGCAAAATTATCCAGCTTCGGGGTCCAAGTAATTTAGCCGTTACACTAGATACAGTATCCTGGTTGTCTTTGTTGTGATTAGTTATCTTGATTTTAGTGTTTATCTTTGTGCTAAATTGTCGTGCTTTTATCTCTGTCAATGCCTATACGTTCGGAATTCATTTGTTTTCTAAATATGCTGTCTTGCACATTGTTTTTATTATGGGCGCATTTATTGCTCTTTTCTAGCGTTTCCCTACCATCCGAAACCAGAATCATGTCAAGCATATCGGAAATACTACAGTCATGAGTGGAGAGAGATTTTTGTGATATCCCTCCATAATTTTGTGCGTATAGCCGTCCAGTCATCTCCAAGATCTCATTTAATACGAATGGTCGAACAATTGTCTGAAGAAGTGGAGTCCTCGAACTTGGATCGCTCCCATGGTGTATGTATATTTTCGTTGTTCTCTTCATCGATCTATGTTGACATCATTTAGGCTATTTGTCTAAATCCCTTTGATGACGAACTAATGGATGATTTTGCGGTTATCGCTCAGTAAGTTACTTTTTACGTGAAAGGGATGCAAATCGAGGGTTGTTATGACATGACAAAAGCTTACATCCGCTGTATCACTTTGTTTTCGAGTTCAAACTTTGGTTTTGAAAAGCTGCCATTTGAAGGATATGGTCGAAGTAGTACCAAGAATAGCTTTTTCCATGTGCAAGCTTGCGAATCCATGATGCAGAGTTCATCCTAAATTCTTCATCATGAAACAGTTGCCATTAGATACCTACCACTATGCATAAGACTGATGCAGTCCTTGTCGTGGATGTTCTGAATTTTTATGCTAAGTAGTGCTCGGGACCGAATTGGGAGTTTCTTTGATTAGGAGTAGACAATCGGCGGAAATTTCGGTGTTTCAACATCCTTCGTGAAGCTGCAATGTTGGTCAGTGTCATGCATATCCCGTTGGGGCGCCACATTTCATACTCTGTATGTTACATTGTAATTGCTCGACAGCTCTGGCACTTTATTGAAGTCAAGTTTCTTTCCCAACATTTTTATTTCATCAGTGCACTATTCTGCTTATAGAAATGTTTTCGTTTTCTGTGTGATCTGGGTTAAGAGTCTGATTAGGCACGTCAGTTCTGTCTTGCAAGTTGAGAGTATCTGAGTCTGTGGTGTCTTTTCATCATCTGGGGATTGAAAAAGTGTCACTATAAGAACCGATCATTTGTTGAGATTTGGCCACTGACTTCCATATATTGACACCATCTTCCAGGAATCTTTAGATAATCGAACCTTTTGTTTATAGTGAGCAACCTAATGGCATTTTTAGTTGAGGTCACTTTGACATGCTGTATCGCGCTCAGTCCATTCGTAGTCAATCTTGTGATTCATATCTTTCTCATTTGATTGTACTGTCTTGTTCCAGGTGCTCGGGTTCAATGAAGATGTCGGCTTCGAAGCCCTCTTTGAAAGCTTTCTTCAAGAATCTGACAGGCGGAAGTAAAAAGAACATCAGCTCGGATTAACTCATCTGTGATTTTTGATTTTCGTGTCTGTACATAGTAATGTAAACAAAAGTAAATCTATACTGCGAAAACTGAACGACCACTCGTAGACGAAAATCGAGTTGCAGCCAGCAAAATTGTTGAATTTTTTCTTGCAAAGACTTGCTGATCAGATAGCACCCAGCACCTAAAAAGATTGTGATTGACGAAGATCGTGACAAATCCTATATGACACCCATGTGCTCCAGTAACATTAGGAAGACACTCGCTTACACGCATACTATAATAAGCTGCGTGAATTTTTGCTCAAAGGAGAACAAGACAATTCAAAAGTGGCAAACTCCGCCTCTGCTGACCCTGGACTCTCATACGTGCTAAATCATATACTACGTACATGCGCAATTGGGACTAATTTCTTGCACCTGTCATGCATTAGATTATGGGAAACAGCAGCTTCAGTCTGATGTCCGAAGACCGTATTTGAACTCGTACTTTTTGAGTACGTGCTCTGTGCGTTCGCCACCGTGACTGCGTTGACTGAGGTGTGTATGTAAATGAGTCGATATTGGCGGATACACTTAGTGCCTTGTCACTTCTCATGCCTCGCTCTTATCCCAGAGCAATCCGTTGACGTAGATGCTTCCACTTGGGAGTCAGCAAATATAAGGCCTAGCTCTGTGCTTTAACTTAGCTCATCATTATGTTAGCTAAGGGGTGCTCATGTCACGAAATCTCAAGACTTCTATGCTTGCCTGTAACTCCCGTTTCTTATCCAGGTGGTGTCATATTTTTTTATGGTCCATGATTTTCTTTTGGTTTTTTTATTTGGTTTATTTTCAATCGTATACACTGTGTTTGTTCGAGTGTGCACATTGAAAGCTTATAGTCTGTTCTGCTGATTCACTTCCTATATTGCTAAATTTAAGAAAAAAACAAATTTCAGGCTTCGAGTCTGGGGTTTTAGGGTGGCAAAAATCCGTTCTCACAATTTTTTTATCTTATTTTCTGTCTTACTCCAAAGAATTCAACAAAAAAAGACGACAGGTAAAGGAACAATCGCATTTTAGGATTTTGCAATATTTCTTGTAATAAATGCGAGAGAAGATGATCAAGATAAAAGCAGCGTAAAATCTAGGATCACCCTTTGCCCGAAACTCAAGCAAGACATCTTAAAAAGCAGGAGATAAGCTTCAAAACCATGTAAGCGCTGGTAAAAGGTGGGGAAAACTTACAAAAACATTCGTTAAAAAAACGTAATAAAAGTTGAAGTTATCACACAAGCTTATAGGTAGCATTCCGCCGAGAAAAGATAACTTGCTTTGTCTTAAAATTCATCGCATATAATATTGGATAATTTCTAAGTTGGAGTCCCCATTCGCTTGCATATTTTCATTTTTGCACTTCAAGCTTTCGTACATGCCCAGGGCCATCGAGGCGAATAATTGAAATCATTTTCATATTCCACCACATTCATCGCTGAGCAATTCGGTAAAAGGTGGTTGATTTTGCGAAGACTGATGTTAGGAGGAGGAAGCAGAAGTCCCATCCCATTACAGACCAAGTTTTTCACAAATTCAGAACGTCTCACTCTCATGCTGTTTAACACACTGTTTTTTACTTATGATCGAGTAATCCCATGATTTTTACTGTGTTCTTCGGCAACTTCTGTTGCTTCCTGTTTTTATCAGCGAGCTTTTCCTTCTAAAATGTAGTTTACTTGTGTCTGATCTTATGCCATTTGCATGGCGAAATATCTTTGAACGTTGCAGTGCACTAGGTACCCTACAGTTTATTATTTAGTTATGCTTCCGCTGAGAATAAGTGACAAAGACTAGTTGGGGACAGGGCCCGGCAGGGGTGGCGCTTTCACAAGCTGGATATCGTTTTTGGCCCGAAAAAGCAAAGGGGAAGTCGTATTTTGGGGTCCGGGGCTGAGCCCCAGACCCCAAAATACGACTTCCCCTTTGTTTACCGATAAACAATGCACATACATTCTTTATTCATCATTCCTTGTTGATGCTACTGTCCTATGAATTTAGATTCCAGCAATGTGAAGATTCTGTGCTCCGATCGCTAGCCTGCCCGCAGGCGGGAATTTAAATCGCAATTCTTGTAAGAGGAAAACAACAAAATAAGCTCGTTTTCAATGCACAAGTAACAATATGGCACCAAATTTGCTGTGTAGTTGGAGGACCATGAGCACAAAAAAAGTATGAAAAATTATGAGAAACTTATGTGAATTTAAAAAATGGTAAGTGTTTTTCGAAATTAGGTGGCTCCCGCGCCACCTGGGAGCCACCTGGGGTGGCTCCCTGCTTCCCTTCACATAATTTCCCGGATTTCTTTACATAAATGTGGACTAGGTCGAGAGTATTACTATATGTTCAAATCCGCTTCCAAAACCACCAAGGCACCGCTTCGATACAGCCCCAAATAGAGTTCACAGCGTTATGATCGGCCTCGGAAAGCGCGCTCCAATCGCAATCGGTTATTGTAAATTGTAAAGTTTCGCAGCTGACTAATAAATGAGTAGTATCTTAGATATATAAACGTCAAAGTTTGTGCAAATCTTGACCCTATGTTTTTTATAGATTCCTTTGCGGATGAACCCATTGAGCTGAAACCTTGATGACCCGGGCTGGACCAGGAAAGCCAGGTAGTACTACTATAATAAGCGCTGAGGCCGCCCATCTCTATTTGTGTATATCTGTTTGTCAGGGACTTACGGGGGTCAAAAATAGGGTCAAAAGGGAAGTCGTAAGAAATTTTGGCTTCAAAGGGGATATCGTTTTCAAAATTCTAAAATGCCACCTCCTGCCGGGCCCTGGTTGGGGAATTTATTATGTATTAGGTTGATGCAAAATTAATGAGCTCTGCAGTGCCTCATTTACAATGCTATGGTTCGTCTACAATCTAGCATCTGCTGTTTGAATTTTGTCGCAGTGTTTCCAGAAATTTTCGACATTACGTATTTTACGGTTTCTCTTTTTAGTATACTCACACTGTGATTTTCTTTGCGCATCTTCTTCACAATATGGCAGCATTTATAGTGCAAAACCGTCAAAGAGAATGCAGACATCTGATACCCAAACCAAAGTGCATGTGTGAATTTGACCCTGGATGTTGTGAAATTTTATGCACCGGTCCGCGAGCGCTCCAAAATCATACATTTTTCTGAAAACACATCGTTGAAATCTTGAACCGCTTGATCGTTCCAAATTCTTTCCATTTTTTCAAAATTACATCAGTTTCGACAGTAGCAGATGACCGTTTGAATGGCTTTTGATAGAGCTTTCCTTCTTTCTATAAACTAGGCTCTCAAGTCAATACCTCTGAACAGCTTCCAAAGTTGCAAAAGTTTCCAAATCGCCATCGTTAACTTGTCAATCACAAAAAATTACCTTATCGCTCAGCGTAAATTTGGTCGAAATTTAGTTTTCTTGGGTTTTATCAAATTGGTTCAGAGTGCTTTTGAAACATACGATTTGAAAGTGACTAAATTTCGGTGATAATGCTTAATCATTGTCGAGTCATTCGTAACTTAATATGTAAGCTTGCATAAAACGCGCTGCAACGGACGGCAGCTTTATCAGTCAAATCTTTTGTAGCGTAACAAACTGCTAAAGTGTTTACTGTTGACTAATACATGTCCAATCAAATCAAAAGAGGCGAGGAAACAAAGGAAAATCGCTGGAAATGGATACGTTCTAATCAAATGAGTTCGTCAAATAGTAGCGCGGCAAGGTGTGCAATACGCATATCTGATTACAAAATGACTAGAGAATAGTAGCAACGATCAGAACCTAATACATAGTGTAAAGCTTGCATTTAGATGTCTAGAGAAACAAAAACCAACTCTCAAATTTCGAAAACTGGCGGAACATGAAAAGAGTGAGATTAGAAGGTTAAGAAGATTTGTTGTTTCTGAAATTCAGTTAGCGTGGAAGCTCAGCTAGGATTCAGAAGGAAATGCTCCATCAAATTTTGCGTAGCTTGCTTATGCCAAAATTTTTCAAATTCGGCGCTAGCTTTCAAAGAAACGAACATTGGTTAAAGTGACTCAAGTTTTTTGCCCAACCCAACTGCATTCTACTCCATCCCAATCCATCTTTAGTTGCAAATAAACTTCGCTTGAGCCGAGATAGATGAACATTTTGGGCGATAGATCGGATAGTGCAGCGCTATTCGTTTCGCGTGCGATTACTCCTTTGGGACCGCAAGAGGAGTGTGTGTTCACCTTGGAGATAAATTATGTGGCTCGATAGCCGTTTGAGTCAGACTTTGTCCTTTTTCGCCGAGTGCGTCATCCTTCAAAGTAAGTTACTAGCGCTTCTTCTGTTTTACTACAATTTCACAAAAAAGAACACTAAGCAGAGAAGCCCTGCCCTTCATTTCTCTATGAATTATGCAGTACCTCATATGTTCGCTGTTCTTGAAGCCTGGGCATTTTCGTAATATCGTAGATTATCTTGAAGCCACAAGGTCGATTACGATATTAACTTAGAATGACGTTTTGTCATGCTAGAGGCCTGAAGTAAAGCCTACCACTCATTATTCATTTCATTAGGCCCAGAGTTGACATTATACCGCGTGGCTGTTTTTTTTCATGCATTTGACGACATATGTCAAGCTTCTACTACTTCTAGTGTTCTCTATATCAACATCACAAGGCATCTTGAGCTCTTGGCGGTTTATTATGTAGAACCTGAGATCTAAGTCGTCCCACAAGCCCTGCACCAAAAATTTCCAGAAAAAAATTCTGAAATGAAAAAAAGTGCAAAAAAGATTTCTTAGGCATGCATAATATACTGCATTATATTATACATGTTATATTTTATCATAAATCGCATCAATGGCTTTGATAGACAAATTCGATCGACATGAGTTTTTCTGCACAGAATGGAGTTACAATACCAAAACCAACTGCAGAATCGATTTTATTGGGTTTTTCAGCATTTTTTACAACGAATAATAAAAATAAAACAATATGAACAACTTGTATCAACGAAATTTGTTTAATATCAGGACACCTCTTTTTCAAAGTATTGTTCCATTGTCTTAGGAAACTATGCATACCTTCTAAAAGCACTCTTCTTCTAGTCTCTTAAGCACGCTTTCGTTTTAGAAGAACTGGGTTCATTTTAAAATTACCTGCTTTTGAAATCAAGAGATTAAACCTTGAAATTTTTCTCTTTTAACTTTTTGCTCCAAATCCACTGCGAAAAATCGGAATTTTTTGCAAATTGGCATAATATTTGAATGTGATCTTTGCTACAAAATGCACATACAAGCAAATTTTTCGAAAGTTTCCAGACTGAGAAATTTTGTTTCAAACCTAAACGACCGCTGCTATCATTCTGCGACGTATAAAAATCCTAAATGCGAAGCAATTGCGGAGCTTTCGCCATGCGCAGAAAGAATGGACATAGGACACATGACAGCAAAAAAACCGGGAGCTGATGTTCTTTTCGGCGGAGAGAAAATTCAAAAAAACAGTAAAGAAGTACCTATTCGTCTTTTGGAGAGCACTGAAGAATGAGTGATTACAAATTCTTTGCAATATTTTCTAGCAAATTTTTTAGTGAAAATCAAACTAAACGCTGCTGCACAACCGACTATTATCTGCACAGTGAATGAAGTTTGTACCATTCTGCTACACTGTATCGGGAGTTATGGTCTCTCAAACTGAAGATTTTTCTAGAAAACTTTTGGCAGTCTCCAGGCTATGAAATTTTTCTCACAAAGGAAGGATGGTCAGTCGAAGTGGCCTTTTGCGATGACTTGTATATAATTATGTAGGGCATAAAACGCTGATTCCAAATCTGTCCTCCTTATCTGCGGCGCTTTCCTGCACAAGAAGTTATGAGCGTTTATTGGAGAAAAAAATTGAATGTGCAAATAATATAAAAACAGTAGTAACATTATTCCAGCGGTTAAATGGACCAGTGGTAATCTTTCCAACACTCTATAAAATAAATACTCTAAGGTGAGATATATCCGCACTCCGTCTGTCTCATTCAAGCGCTGGGAAAATTTTAGCCAATGTTTTCATCCCAGAAAATCACTCATTTTTTGCTCTCTCCAGGAATGCGCCGCAGATAAGGAGGACAGATTTGGAATCAGCGTTTTATGCCCTCCACCACGGTATACAATTCATCTCAAAAGGCCACTTTGACCAACCATTTTTCCCTTGTCAGTAAAGCTGCAACGATAAGGTAGTGCGTAGTGAACTGCCAAAGGTTTGCTGATTGCAGTAATTTTTGATGGAAACGGATTGGTTATTTCTGTGAAAAGTTATAGTAATCCAAACTTAAAATTTGAAGAACCTGCATCAATTCTGTTACAACCTAATACTGTTCCTTTGAGCTCGCAGAATTTCTTTCATCAGTTAATTTGGACGAAAACATGTATAGATGGAGAAGTTCATAAATCTTTAATTATCTTCTTTCAACAATGAGTAATTTCAAAACTCCTAAACACTGTTTGCTTTTCAGTGTTATTCACGAGAGCTCTTTTTTAGTATACCACAAAGCTGAGCTCTTTTTCCCTTCATCATCCTTACTAATGAGCTTTTCTCTTCGTAAGATCTGGTGAATCTCCATAATATTGAACGTGACGTGAAGCTTCATTCCACGTTCTATGCTGACGCTGCCGTGTTCTTGCCGAGTCTCCACTTGAGCTCGACCCGGTTCGGCATCCGCTTTTTCTGAAAACCATATCCTGGTTCTCGGAACCTCATTGTACTAAGCGTAATTGCTGAGATCTTGCAGCGGACATGTCCCATCACTATTTCGCTTGGCTTATATGTGCTGACATGACAGCTTTTGACGCGAGCTCTGTTCTGAGTTCGTCTAGTGGGATCTCTGGCTGTCGTGGTTGCGTTCTTACACTGCATGTTCGCCGAAAGATCTGAAATCGAGCCGAAATCCCCATCCGTTCAGATTCCAATTCCACATGCTTACCAGGCTATATAGATTGTAGCTCCAAAGCATTTTATGCAATGCAGTTCACCGGCCAACAAGTCTTCGCATGGATTATTCTTTTACTAGGTACCGGTATACTGGTCTCTTCGTTTACCTCGGATTTCTGGTCCACTCACACTCGATTCAATCAGCATGGTAATTTCTTGATTCTCATAAGGTCACATCGAAACTTTTTTTTGTAAGAATACATTTGGAAAAGTTGATATGCAAAAGTAGCCCCATATAAATTCTATGTTGCTTCGAAATTTGCCGAATTTTTCGAAAAAAATTTTTTGTCGAGTTTGACCACTCAGAAGATCGCATTTTTGTTTTTCAAAAATTGTTTGCTTTGTTTGCTAATTACTTGCTGATTCTGCAACACTCATAGCGGAAAGTCTGAAAGCAGAACGAATGTGAATACATTACAAACTTTTGCAGTCACTTGGACTTTTGCTGGACTTTGTTTCCAATATTTGTCACTGTAAAAAGTGAGATTTGGCGCATTGATTTTTTCTTGGCTATTTAACAAGATTTGATAATTAAATTTATTAGAAAAAACTTTCGGCGTGGCCTGTATTTCAATGCATTATCATAGACTAAATAAAATAGCGATTTTCTTAGATGCTCTACAAATGCACCGTGGTATCTTGAAGCAGTGTGTTTCAACTCGTACCTATGGAAATTGCTTTATGAGACTTTCATCAATTCTACACCGATTACGATGGATTTTCGACAATTACGATGCATATCCAAGTCGAATGCTTGCGTATAGGCATTCTCCTACTCAAAGTGAGTTCTTTGGTTCCGGCGGTTTTTCTGTACTTTGATTAGCTTTCTAACAAAAAAGGATTTTCGTACCTTTGCGCTGACAACTTTGAAAATTTTTGAAGTTGGTAAGGTTTGCAGCAAATAGGGGTGTGAATGCTATCAACCTGATCGGACTTTCAGTTTTGCTCCCATTATAGTTTTATTTTTCCGTGACATTTTTGCCCTTTACTTGCCATTTTTGATAACTTTCTTTCAAGCCAATGCTAGAGTGTTTTTGCTCAGAAGATCGTATTTTTGTTTTTCAAAAATTAAGCTTTGCTTTGTTTGGCAATTATTTGCTGATTCTGCAACACCCAATATAACGAAAAGTCTGAAGGCAAAAAGAATGTGAATATTTAACAAATATTGTAGCCACTCGGATTTTTGCCAGAAAACTTTGTTTCCAGTATTTGTCACTTTAAGAAGGAAAGATTGGCGCATTAAATAAATTTTTTCCTTGGCTTTCTTTTCCTGCTTTGTTAAAAAATATTTGGGAGCATGACATCGTTTGTAAATTAAATACATCATCGTAAATATTCATGTTACCTTCGATAATCCACACCTTATGCAAGTTCTTGCTTTTATTGCAAGCAAAATTACGATTTTTCTTTTTCTTTCCTTTCTTTCTAGATGCTTTTTCTTGAGTAATTCCTTTGAAAGTGATCATGTATATTCCTTTGTTCCTTCATTTGTTCAGTATAAAATTAATGATGATACATATGCTCTACCGATTCAACTTTTGAGTTAACATCACTTCCAAATCAAATCTCGAGAGCTTATCAATTACCATTTTTGTGGAGTATAAGGTTGTACTATGAGTGTGGCACCAAATTTTTGAAAGTTTAAAAGCTCATGTCACTCCAATGAGTTACTCCGGATTAGAATTCATTGGAGAGAATAAAACAGCAGTTAATGCGAAAATTTCGGCAACTATCGGCGTTGCATGCTGTTGAAGAGAAGCATTGAAATCATACTTTTCTGAATTTTATTTCATAAAAAACAACGAGCACATTTCCAGCGTTTGAAGTGGTGATTGCTGGTCTGCTCATTTCCTCGATTACTATGGCTTGCGCTGTGGTCGTGACGGGCCCATTCTGCTGTCAGAAGTGTCGAATGTCAACAACGTTCATCGTCCTTCTGACGGGTGCGTTCCTACAGAACAGCCCCTCAGGCGACGTTCTTATCATTGGCAATCAACAGAATGCGACTCTTTGACAAGTGTATCCATAGCTGAGTTATTTTTAGGAGTATGTGTTGGCACGGCTTGTTTTGTCTACTGGCAAGCGAATCTAGAGGGCCAAACGTTCACATTGCAGCATATACCGATACACGATCTGTTCGCCTATGAGTTTGTGAGTTAACAAGCGTGCATTCTCGTCCGATACTATTCCCAGGGGAACCGCCCAAATGCTCTATGTCCTCGAAAACGACCACTTTCCCAGTGGTCATCGAGTGCTTATCTAACTACTAGCGCCAGTACAGATATAAATAATGCATGTGTCCTCAGCAGATCCTATATCGTCGACGAAGTATGTAGCTAAGAGTTTAGGGTCACGAACGGAGCGTCCTAGCTTGGTCATTCTATATGGCAGTAGCCAGTGCTGGTCTCTTCTGTCTTTCGGCTGTCTTATTATGTGAGTTTTCAGTGGTGCAGTCTTTACAATCTACCTTCATTTAGAAGTCTCCAATTCTGAATAAAGGAGAGTGTCCCAGCAAATCGAGGGTGAGGGCGGGGGGGGGGGGGGGAGGGCTGGGACTATATACAGCATTCCCTCAAGCATAAGTGACATCCGGAGCGAAAAACGCTAAAAGCCTGAAATTCGCTGCGGTGCTCCGGACCCCGCCCTCGCTTAAAATCCCACCCACCCAAAAATTTCCCACCAATGTTGATCTGCCCATGTTGCGCACAGTTACGACTACTATAGGGTCCTACAACCACTTTGTGTATCCAAATTTAGAGCTCTCCTTCACATATGCAATTTTGAATACGAAAGCTTTGGGTAAAGCCTGTAAATCCTTAGACAGCGCTCTTGCCATGAAGTCCTTCAAGTGTAGCAAAACGTCTCTCACCATTTTCATACAATGATATCTACATCATTATCATTTTATGCAAATTTTAGTCTCTTCATAAGCTAATATGCTTTCTTTTCCGAAAGCTCTAATCTGCAAATTAAACTTCTAACTTTTTGTTTGACATCATCTCCGCTTCTCGAACATGTATGTATGACCACAGCAGAAGCCGCAGCTTGACAACAGATTTGCAGGATTAGCTGCACACAAGTGCGGCTGCACTTCAGCTTCAGTAATGTAGCATTCGTGTGCTTCTTGAGTCAAGTGTCGACAAGATTTCAAAAAATGATAAGAAAACGAAGGGTTTTTCTGTTAAAAAGTTGTCAAGGGGGGAATGGAGGAAGAGAGCGGTGCAGGAAAGAGGGAAGAACGAAAAGGTCTAGTATCGATTTATTTAATTTCGAGCAACACGTTTTGATTGTTCCAGTAAACATCATAGAGAGGATCTCATAAGGAAACAAATTGTGCGCACAGTCTGATGGCTAGTATTTTGCTTCAAGGTCATTCGCCGATGTTTAAGCGCCACTCTGTACTGGACTTAAAATGACCGACTTCCTTTATTACTGTTGGAATACGGTAAAAACCATGAAGAGTGATTTGAGCCATTAAGAGCCACGTTTGCCACAGAAAGGGAGCTACACTAGTTATGAACTCTTACACTAGGCTGATCAAAGACGCTTTTTTGAAAACAAAATTCGCATTCTGCCCTGATGCTCTCTTATAAGATATGCCAATTGCACCGTAACCACTGTTGCACTGTTTCTGGATCTGAATACACCATTCGAAAAGTGCAAATCCTAACAAATTTTGTAGTGAAGTTAGCATGCGTGGAAACCCTGCTACACAACATTCCATTTCTGGATATTTTCGAATTGCTTATTTCACAATGGCGCTCCAATGGAACTTCCTACCATAATCCTACCCTACTAAAGAGCCACCGATAATTCGCTTCATGTTGCCAATCTGGCTTGGAAGAAGCTCCTGAAATAGGGGAGACGGTCAAGAGGCGCGATTTCTCCGGCTCTTTGACTCAAAACTCCAATTTAGTGCTATGCGAGTCTTCAAGAAGTACCAGATAAAGTGCATAAGCTTACTATCTCTCTGAGGTAATCACTTGCTGAGTTCCCTGGTTTTTGCTATAAAACGGACTGAGTTATTTACGAATTTGTTCTTAAATGGATTTTCATGGGTTTTTGACCTTCAAAATTGCTGTTTTGAATTTTTTCTAAGATATCAAGTTGAACAACTCATGCAACTATCTATTATATCTTCCTCCAAATTTCATATACTTTTAGAAAGTTGCAGAACCTTTATTATGTGCTTTCTGGTGTCTAGCTGGCAATAAAAATCGCGCCTCTTGACATACACCCTTGAAATAGTACTTGAAGAACGGCGAAAATACCGATTCTTACCTGTTCATATCATCAGTTGTCAACGATGCTTTCATCCATTCACACGACACCCTTTCAAAGGAAGACATCTAATTTTTGTTGTTGTTCAGGTGAGCTCAAATCAAACTCAAATGCAGGACAACTAGGTATACCAGCAATAAAACATCTTTGCCGTGCACTTTCTAAGATCGTATGAAGCATCAACACCCTTCCAAAGAATCTCTAGTGTGGAGCACTGAACACTCTACACCCAATCATTACATGCCTATATCACATCAGCTCTAATTCTTCTCATTACATCACTCATCGTAGCCTTTGATGCAGGAATTGGCGGCCGGGTCTCTGCAGGAATGTGAGAGGGATTGAGGAAAAAGTTGTCTATCAGATGTAACGCTATTTTCTTACACGAACCCCATAGGTCTTTGAAGTTAAAGGTAGCGTTCGGGCTCTATGCTCCTCCCATTAATACCTGGTTTATAAGAAAGCCCTAGGAGTAGGACATCGACGCTGGTTCGGTTCTCTAATGTAGTTTTTGAATGGAAAAAATGGACATGGAACCCGAAAAAGTGTCGTCAAGCCCCTCCCACCCAGGTGTTGGAAGTCGTTGGTGTCTACAAAATAGAATAGGACACCCAGAAAAAGGTTTTCTGGGAGTTTTGCACTTTATATCTGTAACAGGGCTACAGAAAGACCTCAGAATGACAAAAAACATGTAAGACGAAGATTAGGGTGGATGCAGCCTCTAAAGGCAGTGTCCAGGCAAATCTGAGACCATGACTTTTTTGCCTGGAAACTGTTGAGGGGGTCCTATATAAGGCACTGCCCAAGCGGCAGCGCAAATGATCCGTTCACGGCTGAGAAATTTATACCCAAATCCCTTCGCACCTGCGCCGTGACCGTTACTCACTAGTGACTTTGGACGGGTCTGGGGCGAATGTTGAAGTGAGCAAAGTCATTTGCGGGTTACGGTCACGGCGCAGGAGATGGATTTCTCAGCTGTGAATGAATCATTTGGGCTCCCGCTTGGGCAGCTGCTTACCTTAGATAGGTCCCCTCGTCAGTTTCCAAGCAAAAAAGCCACGGGGCCAGATTCGTCTGGACACTGCCTATAACTACGGACGGCACGAAAGGGCAGCGAAGGTTGTGCTGGAAGAGAAACCAGAGCTCGGCATGGCTATCCCGTGAGCCAGCTGCGCATCGTTTTCATAGGAAAAGCAAATAGGATATCGTGATACCAATCGGGGTGTGACACAACCAAGTACATGGCTTGCACAAAGGACTGCTAATGATACTTATCACATCAAAATTGGTGCGTATAATGCGCGAAGGGTGTCGATTTAGGTGAAAAGAGAATCAGGAAATTATGAACCTATCGAAGTCATTCTATCGCTTGTCTCCGCCTTGCTACAAGCTCTACCTTGTGGAAAGTCACTGTTCTACTCCGTTTTTCTTCCGTTCTTGCCCCTTCTTCTTCTCTGAAGGTTTTTTCTGCAACTGCCTCAAAATCGTATTTTCATTTACATCAACACTGTTTCCCTTTTCCGGAGCCTTAAACATCTCTTTTGCCTGCTTTTTTGGATACAATGCTGCAAACGAGTCAATAATTGCTGAAGAAAAAAAAATAAAATGAACTTGATTAACATGGCAAGAGATCCATTCTAGTGTATAATCTCCAGGACTAGTAGCATGGTACAATTATATTAGGTCATTCCGAAAGTAATTTCGCTTTTTTCAAACGGGCGCCACATGTGATGGAAGAAAGGTTTCCAAGAGATCTTGGTACCATTCGAAACAACATTTCATTCTCTTTCTAAGGGTTATGAAATTGTTGCAAAACAGTCAACGAGCTTTTAGAAAATAACCAAAATCTGCGACCCATGCTTTTTGAGATGGTCAAGTTTCGCGATTTTTTAAACCTTTCATATCAGTCCTCAGAAGGGGTTTAAGTAACGGTTCGAATAGAGTAAATCTTACAGAATACAGTACTGCTTTTTTCTCCTTTCCATAGCTTGTCATACATTTTCAACAGAATTTTAACTGATGCTACCGATTTCCATACTTGGACAGCTAAATCCTCGTAGAACATCAAACCTTGAGCAACTCGGGTGTCATTCGATGCAGCTTTTTCTCCTCTTTCTAATGGGTGTTTTTGTTTCCGATCCGTTTAGTTTCCGGGAAGAAATCATCATAACTCATTTTTTAGCGAGCCCCAGGCTGTACCCGAAAAACTCGAAATTTGATATTTCGAACCCGTAAACTTTCACTTGCTTTGTAAAATTGATGCTAACTCATAGTACCATCTTGGTAGTCTCAAATTCCGAAAAATTATGATGTTTGATGCGATTGTGGTTGAAGTGGGCCTGCCAAAATTCGATGGTTCTGCTAAAAAATCTTTTAAAAAATTACGGCGAGATACGAGAAAGGGAGAAAAGTAGCGCTGTATTCTATAAGCTTTACTCTATCGAACCTTTACTTGAACTCCTTCTGAGGATTGATATGAAAAGTTTAAAAAATCGTGAAACTTGACCATCTCAAAAAGCATGGGTCGCAGATTTCGGTTATTTTCTGAAAGCTCATTGACTGTTTTGCAACAATTTCATAACCATTAGAAAGAGAATGAAATGCTGCATCGAATGCTTCCAAGATCTCTCAGAAACCTTTGTTCCATCAAATGTGGCTCCCGTTTGAAAAAATCGAAATTACTTTTGGAATGACCTAATATATTCAATAACTGTTAAATCCTTGCATACTATTTCTGCAGCCCAGCTTTTAAAGTAACAGAGGTATTAGATTAATGCAAAAGTGATAAGCGTTGTAATGAGCGTTTCTTATCTTGGGGCGACAGAGAGTATTTTTGGGATATGAAGCTTTCTTTTAAGCTGCGTTCCCCTCCCCGGCGGGATGTTAATGCATGCGGCCCTTACTGTTCTTCAAACATGATGAATTAACTGGCAATACTCTGTTCATATCATATAGAAATGCATAGTCGATTTATGCTACTCTTTTCACGCCAAGAAAAGTGTACTCTACTAGCATATTCTGTTTATGAAGTATTTGCTCCGCTTATTATGTACAAACCTATAAATATTTTTTTGGATTTATATTTTTCCGAAGATCTTATGCTACGTATTTTTATACTACTCAAAACATGTAGAATACATTAGCCCGCTTGAGTAAGAAAAGTTTGTTTATTATAAATTATCTGCTATACGATCACTGTGCTTTTTCCAGGTATCTCCTCTCGGGTTGAAGACGAATTCAATGAAATCACGACTGTGTAGCAGGTCACTGTTTCAGTCTCCGGACCCAACGAACTGCGAGTCTTACGAGTATAATTGTGTACTGTCTTTATCATAAATATCATCTCAGGACAACATAATAAAGTCATTGAAAAGTGAGCGATACTCGTACTTATTTAACGAAAAAAGTAAAAGATTTAAATGGAAGAGTTAAATCACATCCATAGGACGAAAACAACTAGAGAAACTATACAGAAGCCACAGTAACTACTCGTAGAAGGCACACGTGTTTTCTTAAGTGTGAATCTGGGAGATAAAGGATATGAATGACATTGAGCAGAGTACCCGTTACACCTGAGTGTGTTTGCTGAGCTTCATCATCATATGAACGGAATCGGTCCGTCCGTTGCAGGATCCTGTAGGAGGCTTTCGAAAGAAATCTCCAAAAAAAGGAATTGAAGTGAAGATTTTGGTCATCATTGCATCGTACGGCTGTAGAGATCGGAAACACACTGGAATCCAGTTCCAATCAGCCAAAAATTCAGGAAGGAGGCCAGGGCAGTGATTCTGGAATAAAGAAAGAAGCTGGAATTGATTTTTGAACATATGCCACATTGTTAATCTGCTCGTAGAAATAATCCCCTTTTATCTCCATCAACACTCAAATGAAGTTAATGAGCATTCAAGCCATTTTACACATTGCTTAGTTTTTTCTTAGTAAAATAAATATGTAACTATATTATAATGGCGCACGCATTAAATTTTTCCAAGGGAGGGACGACAGAATTTTTTGCCTTCATTATGGGGTTATTCAGGGTGTTTTGGGAAGCGCGAAGCTTTCGTAAATGACGGCTAGGTTTCATAATATTCTTTCTACAAAACTAATCAGATTCTCATAATGTTCATAGAAGGTTTAGTGGAGGTCACAGGCAAAAAAATTCAATCACTTGTTGATCTTTTAAAAACAAGAAGAAATCTACACAAAGTTTTATGACCTACGCGGACCACTTACATAATTCGCTCTTTCCCTCGTTCCCCGATGTTCGCTGTGGTCCCATTAAACGATCAAATTTTCACTGCATATTTTGCAAATGCATACACTTTATATCTGGGCTATACAATTTAGGTATAATTCTTTCTACTCGGCAGATCCAAATCAATTTTTCACTCTTTTTGTGCACATTTGATCTGCAAAACATTTCGAATCAGTTTTTGCTATTTGCGAAAACTCTAGAAATTTCAAGAAACCTAAACTCTGAGAATCTGGCTAATCATTTTTGGACTTGCATGTTTTGTTTTTGATTCTCCCCAGAGGCGCTTGACAAGCCTAGCTTCGTTGAATTACATTTTTGCAGAAGCAGACCCAATTTCCTAGGACGTGAGTTTCAAGTGCAACTACTTACAATATTCCATTATTTTCGTGGCTAAGTGTAGAGTAAAAGACTGCAACCGACCTGCATGCCCGTAATGACAACAATTAGCATCACCAGTACGAAGAGTACTGAGAAGCACACAACGATTACATAGTCAGGCAGCAAAGTAAGGCCTATTACAATGCCGGGGATCAACACGAAAAATAGAAAGATGAACACCACTATGAACCATCGATACTGAAATTACAGGATTAGACCAGTGCAGCTCTTCAAACGGTTTAGTCGAAAAACTGACCTGATCTGTGATTTCGCCCAGTCTTCTTGCAAGAAAAATCGGTAGTTTTCTGGTCCATGGTATCAAATAAAACATGAAAGTGCCAATGATGTTATACAGCACTTGACAGACGGCCATATGTAGGGTTCTGCAAAAATTTTCTTTCTAAACTCCAGGAACTGAGGTCCCACTGATTCTCAGATTTTCAGGATAAAAAAAAACAAACACTATTGTCAAATTAGTTTTGCTTGGACAAAGGTGGTAATTGGAGATTGTTTAAGTCTGAAAAAGGCACTGGAGCTGAGACGTGCGCGTAGCTACAGCCTCTTTTACTACAGTATTCTACCGTCTTATAAGTATATTCAGTTCTAATAATATCGTTGAAATTCTCGGGATTATTAAATAATCGGATTTGGATACAAAAAATAGCAAATAATCTGTTTCAGAAGGAGAAACAATCCCAACTTCTCAAAGCGTGAGCCGTCTGCTGCAAGAGCAGCCAAAACTGCACTAAACGATCCACCGATATTTGCTCCAAGAATAAGAGGGTACATTTGCTCCAGAGTTATCACGCCTGACCCAACCAAAGGTGTCAACGACGAGTTGAATATGTTGTTTGATTGGATCTGAAAATATTGATCATCTTTTAGAAAGGGTTCACGATGAATTCTCAAGATGCTTTAGGATGCGTCCAGCGTGTCGCCATCGCCGTGCTGCGTCCCACATGAACGCACTTTATTGGTCAATCGACCTCAGCGACACGGATAGCACACGGCGCAAGCACGGGCGCGGCACGGCAATGGAGCGACGCTGGCACGAGACACCCCAGACGCGCTCTCAGCGACGGAACCAAACAGCCTACAGATTCCTCTCTTACAACATGATATAATGAAGCTCTATAGTAATTGTACTCACTGCAAGGGTAATGACGAGCCCTACGAGCATCACAGTATATCCTGTGCACGGCTTCCATTTTCCCGGACACTCCCTGCTGAGCAGTCCACGCACATACTTCGCCAATGGACCTTTCAAAAGTTGCTGAAAAAATTTCTTAAAGACTTAGAGAAAATTTTATAAAATAGATACTCTTACTTGAATCAGATATACGACTCCAATCAGGCAAAAAACCAGTACAGCGACAGAAATTATCAAGACTATCCAACCAATAATTGAATCCGAATAGGAAGAGTAGGCGAAAAGATGTGTGTATGGACCTACAACAATAGATGATGCAATATCGCCCTTTTTTACAAGAAATAAAAGAAGATAATTATTTTATAGATCATTTGAAATGATCAGTAGGCAGCTGATGGGTTTTATCCACAATATCTTTCGGAAATGGTTTTGCTGAAACTGTCAAACTTTCTATAAAGGGACGAGTCATTCGAATGCAATACTTGTATATTTGTATATGGCGGTCAACCTGCCACCGTTTATCTACCATCCTGTCACATATAGGTGCAGTATGTGGAAATCTCTCATTTTGAGCTATAAATCAAGTTCGGATCTGTCAACTGCTCACATGCTGTCTATTTTGGATTGCGTCAGACTAATGCGACAGTAAGTGCCAAAAAGCGCCGAAAAGGGCCAAAAGCAGCAGAAAACCATTTCCTTCCAATTTTACGCTAAAGCGCAACATATGTAACATTGTTTATTTTAAGAAGGGCTAAATTTTTTTAAGCATGAAGATTTTTTGTCACATTCAGAGTCGGCTTTAGCTTCACTCTGCCATAATCTTGCTCTCCAAATACGATGACGAGGTTTGCAAGTATATCTATTTATACTTCAGCTAGAGTTATAAGGCTATTAACTAAATTTTGCAACTTTTTTCTAACTTTCTTCTCCTTAAGCATGACACACTGAAATTTTACCATTATGTAAACTTTGACTCAAGCTAGAAGTGCAGCTACCATTCTGCTAAATTCTGACGTCGCAATGGGGGTTGTGGGTACGGTATGAGAGGAAAATTTTTGAATTAAAGATCTGGCTGAATGTGGCATAGGTGGGTTATTTGACATGCTGATCACGACAACAACACTTTGCGTGGTAGGGCCTTTTTTGTAAAGCTACTGGGGATCTTCGGTATGGGGTTCCTCCCTAGACGAAAAGAGGGATTAATAGAAAACAAATGAATATGCTCCTGTGTTCAGCAGGTCAAGTAACCCTCCTATGCCAAGTCTCGGCGAATTCTGAGACTCCGATATCTTAATTCTTGATGGACGCCCTCGAGTTGGCTTCAAATTTATTTTTTTTTTGTCGAGTGAAATAAGAAACATCTGTCAACAATCGTGTACAACTTCGGTTCGTTGTGCATGGTCTAGGTTGTGAACAGCTTTATTTTTGTTTACAATTCCACAAATCCTCGAAGTTCACTAATTTTCAGGAGAAAGAATCTCTATTTGAAACTTATACGGACTGCTCCTTTTTCACTGAAAACGCTTGTAGCGCGCATTCCACTCTACATAATGAAAAAAAAAGAGCGCGCCAAGATCAAAAAGCGAAAAGTTACGGAAGAAGTTGCAGAACTTAGTTGACAGCCTCATACATCCCATTTCGGTCAGCGCTCAAAGAATAAGTTGCTCAAAAATATGTCCGATGAAATGTGGATAACTGAACAGTTTAAGAGATTCTCCGTTGTGAAAATATGAGACTCATCAAGTTTGAATATAAAGAATTCCTGTTTCGGAGTATCGAGAAAGTACATGTTCATTTTCTAGCGTAATTGGAAACCCATACACGTTAAAATTTAGTTGGAACAGTACCGTACATCAAAAAATCATCTATCTAAGCTCTTTTGGTGTAGATGCACTAGGATCGATTCCATCAATTTCGTAATATCGGAATATCTCCAGAATCTTTTTACTCAGTGCAATCTGTCACGGACAAACACACCGCATAAGTTTCCTTTGATCGCACCATTTAGTGCAGTGAGAGACCGATAATTGCGATAATAACTCCGTACATCACAGTACACACGAACGAATCAAAAAGTAAAATTTTTCCATTTTATGGGGGGAACATCTCGGACGCTTACTACTCACATCTGTATATCCGCGAACCATTCTTGAAAACACATCGATAAACAAAAGAATGATCGGGTGCGAAGTAATCGTCGTCTATGGTTGCGTTCCTTAGCTCGTCTTCATTGACCTAGAATAAATATTTTTGTGCTGACAAGCAAATATGAGGCTAATAAAAAGAATCGCTTTAGGATTTGCATACGGTAGGAATTTCACATGCATTTCAGTCGTCTCTACTGATAAAGCCAATTGTTATTCAGCTGATATGAATTTAGGTCTTGTAGGACAAAATCTTAGGAATATGCATGACTTCTACAGTGAATTTTCTTGAGGTGCAAATGAAGTACTTGATTGAACTACAAATAGAGAAAAGCTCCCCCCCCCCCCCCCCCGCTGCCCTGAAATCCTCCTATTTCGTTCACCTGTCAACGAACACAATTAAAATTGGATGGAAATCAATCCAGAGAAGTAGATTTGTTAGAGAACTTTATTCTGAATCAAAAGATACAGTATTTAATCGAACTAAGGCTTTTCAATGTGCTTCAAATGCTCTGTTGAGGTCCTGAAGTATCCAATCTATCAAAAGCATCTATGAGGCTATGTAAGTCCTATTCACTCTGTCATATAATTTTGAACAAACCGATGAAGGAGCCCTATTCCGCCTACCTCTAAAACCATCCTATTTACCGGATCGGTCAAGAGATCGAGAGTTTTGAAATTGATGCCTTGTTCAGCAATCAGTGGATCAACTATCAGCCAGCTCAATTCCTCGATAAATCCTAGACTCTTAATATGAGTGATTGTCATACTAATAGCCTAGCTTGCGCTCTGTCAAACCTGTGGCTAATTCGAGTGGCAAAATCACGAAAATACAGCAGATGTTAAAGACGTCTCCAAGTGTTGCAGCCGCAAAGGCACGTCGAAATCTGGGATGCAAAAGACGGAACATTAGAAAAGCAGTTGCTTGTACGCGGCTTAATGAACAATTGAACTTACTGTACAGGCTCTCCTGAGTAGGCTAACGACACAATGGCATTGACAAGGGTGCCGCCCAGTTCCGAGCCAATCATCACCGGTATGGCTTCATGTACGGTAAGCACTGAAAAGAAAAATGAGTGTCTGCGTTTGGAGATCAACAATATTCTAAATGTATATTATGTCTAAATTCTAATTGTCTTTTTCTCAACTTTTGAGCCTTCCTTGGAAACCATGGACGAGAACCACGAAAGCTGCACTAATAAATAGTTCTTAGCCCCGACGGGCAGTGTAGAGTATACACAAAAATTTGTTGAAACCGTCTCGTACTTCCCTATCTTTTCTAATCTGCACAATCCGCAATTTCTGTTAGTAAAGGATCGATAGTATGATTTACTTTTGTACGCTCTCATCGCCGTACATAGCTACTACAGAAGTTGAGAAGACAAAAACGCTTATGATCTTAATGAAAATCTACTATAATAAAAATGTAGAATTTTGGGAAAGCAATTACTCTTGAACAGTGCAGTATTTTTTTGTTTGTATTGCTGTTCATAAAGTGGCTTGGTAAGCGTTGCAAGTAAGCGAAAATCCAAATTATTCTGATAGCAATACATAGTTAGTCTCAATTCTCGTTCTAATACGCTTGCTACAACTTCTCAAAAGAAAAATGGAATTCTGAAAATTTGCTGATCCAGTGAGTAGAACTCTCTGTATTTTCATAATTTTTCGGAGGAAAGGTATACGCAAGTCATTGCACGAAGAGACAAGACGCAATTACGAATGCTGTCGGCGTATCTCTAATCAATCACACTTTTCTCCCTCTTACCGTCTGCTGTTTCTTCCAAATACAAGCTCCCTTAATCGGACGCAGCCAGGTCCAGCCTCTGCGTGCGATGACTCGTTTATACCAAAAAAGCCTTGATAGTTTGTCTAACAAATAATCTAATATGAAAAAATTTGAAAATTGGCTCACTGTCAGCTGCGATCATGCCCACAAGGACATTTGTGGTCGTTGTGGCGCTCTGTAGCACCACAGTAGCTAACATTCCCACCACTACGGCAGATATCGGATCATTGATAAGTGGCGACGCTTTGATAGCTTTTCCTGAAAAAAATTGATTTTCGAAAGATCTATGGAAACTTATAGGCATCGTCCACCCAAACTAGGGGGAGTGAGATTTTGATGTCATTTCAAAAAAACTGGCTCCTAACAACCACTGCTCAAGTCTCGCTGCAAAAGGTGAACTCAAGTCGAAAAAACCGCTCCAGAAGGTAGGAGAGGTCATGCTGGCTCCGCCCATCAACTTGGATGGTGTGGAACAGGTGGTCTGAAGGTTACAAGTCCAAAATTCGGCCTCAGGGTAAACGACAGATACGTCGCAAATGTGAGATCGTAATGAAACGGACAATTGACAATTCTGGTTACACATTAGTAGTCCTAGTACATGGTCCAAAGCTTGAATTTGTTAATCTTCAGACCACTGTTGACTGGCGGAGTGAGGCCGCTTCTACTTTTTGGAGCGGTTTTCTCGCTTTGGAACTCATTTTTTGCAGCAAGACATAGGCGATTGCTTAGCTAGGGACCCCGCTAATTTATTACATCAAAATCCGGTCCGCATTCGTCTTCTAGTCTTTTGTAGAAATATTTTCCGCATTCAACCAGATTCAGCGCAATCAATTCCAACGAGTAAGTAGGCTAGATTAGGGCAGCTTTGGTTTGGATATGTCCACTATAGCAAATTACTTCTTTGGTAATCATAAAATCGCTCTCCGAAAGAATCAGGCCTATCATCTTTGGAATCACTGGATTCGCCTGTTAGTTGCCCTGTCTAAACTGATTTCATCAAAATGTATTTATACGCAAACAAAAAAAAACGTTTTTTTACTATGATTTTCGGCAAGGAAAAAAAGCAAGAGAAAAAAAGCGATTACCATTTCCTGTTCTCTTGTTGCTCTTTCTCAGAATGGATATGAGTACAAAAAGATCACGTGACAGAATCACTATGCCTGCATTTCTATAAACTAGACCCTGTAGATTAGTCCTTTCAATTCTATTTCTCTTCAAAGTGTATCTTGTCGCTGACACAGTAATCGTGCGAATTACTTTTCAGTAGAAAGATAACCTTCGCACTCACCTAATCCTCGACTTCCCAGAAGACTGAATGCTGTAGATATATTGCTAAGCGAACAAATATATACAAAAAGAATAACAGATATAGCTAAAAATCGAAGCCAGCTGAGGAGATAGTAGTTTAATCGAGACCTCCTAGACAGCTCTGTAAAAGACGAACATACCTCAATGAAGTAAAATGTGTAGGCATTAAGAGTGATTCTGTGGTTAAAGTGGAATGTCATACTGGGGTTATTGAAGCTCATGGTGAATTTGGAATGGGAGTTTTCGATAAACAATGTTCTCAGAATTTTTATTCTCTACAAAGTAAATCGGCAGCTATCAAACTAAGAAAAGAACATATTTAGTGGAGATACAGGACACATTCTCTTACCTGACCACCTTATCTCCTTGACAGATTGGTCCTCTATACCTGACCAAGCTGAGTTTGAGTTCTGCGGTGGAGCTGCATCAGAGACTCTCGCGCTCATGACACAGTTCTCACGCATGAAGTTTATGTCGCTACCTTATCACGACGTGGTTCTGAAGTATATGTCATCTTTCAAGTATATTTAGGAGTGGGTGCCATATACATTGACTTTAGTCTCAAAAAGTGAGATGAGGATACGATAAACAAACTTATGCGGTGAACAAATATAGGGTCAGTACGGTAACATGGTCACTTAGACCTCAATGATTTGTCTTTGCGTCATAGAGTTGATGTGCTTTTCTAGGCACTAGGTAGATTTAGCCTATTATAAAAGCGTTCTAACTTAGAAAACACAAAATTTGTTGAATAAAGCAAAGTTCCGGATGCATTATGCCATACAATCTCGAAAAACAAAAATTAGTGCCTGTACTATAAGCATCTCCATATTTTATATTTTTGCAGTCAAATTGTATTGAATGCAAATTTGCGTACTACCAAACGAACGTAAAGTATAGTGGAATTAGTAGATACCAGGTGGCAGAGGTAGTAGCAAACATAATTTTCATAAAATTGCAAGACAGATTAAATGAGATCAACGAAAAACAAGCCAAGTTTTTAAACCGAGCGATGACAAATTCCCACAAAAACGAAAAATCTTATGGATCTACGGCGTTTTTTGCTCTTTTTTACAAGTCTGAACACTACGAATAAGAATTACAGTGTTTTCGTGAACTGTGACAGAGAAATAGAAACTGGATTTATTCATAGGTTGAATGAAAATAGAAAATAATACACTTTCACAGGAAACTTTTCTTTTTTGTTTGAGACCGGAAGACATGAGAAGACAAAGCAATAGAGCTAAGAACTGAAGGTTTTACGCGAATCTGTTTCACAAATTATGATGCCATATGATAGAAAATACAGCTGACCAGAGTTCAGCATCAACGAGACAAAAGGCAGATAAAAGGCAAAACAGGCAAAAATGTTGAAAATTTTTATGAAAATAGCTGTTGTGAGGTTTGTCACAATCAACGGGAAAACTTGTGGCAAAAAGGATCTGTTCTTAGCTGAATCATGGAAATTATGAGCAGAACAGAAGTTGAATTGTGCTGCCGAGGTTGGAGAGTGTTGGTGACAGAGGTGGCAGAGCTGAATGGTGTAGGGGCGCGCGTGTGCGACCGGGCGTTGATATCCGGTATGGTAATTGACACGAATACAAGGTAGGCGTGAGGGATAAACGGGCCGCCGAGCACCTCAACAAATCCTCTTCTAATGATTGCATTGGCGATAATGTTGCCAGCCTTTCGCTACACTCGCATCATCGTCCCTTAATCTTTTTATTTTCCCATGCGATCTTTGTACAATATCGCCAAAAATGCAACAGATATTTATGTGGAACTTTGCGATCTTGCGTGCTTCATAGGAATGTTGTGAAGAGGTTTTTTGCGTATTTTTCAATGGATCGTCAAACTCACTGTTGAACTGTAGCCTGCCTCATTCATTTGCGTTTTACCTTCGAATTCCACCGAGGCGGCAATATGTTCCCAAAAGTTCTATATTCATAACTTGACTAAGTACCATTTCAATTGCTTGATTTCTACGTATTAAGACCTTGAACTGCTTCTTACAGTCCACTAAAATGTGCTATCAAATAAATTTTAGAATTATGAAAAGAAATAAACGCTTTTGTTTACTTTCTATAGCATTCTGCTTGGCAACCTCTACAAAAGTTGAAGCGATATGTTCTTTATCAGATCGAATATGGTGTCAGTCAGTAAGAATTAGGGCATAGTGAGCTCTCAGCGTTTTTCTTCCATTTTGAATTTTATCATAGCGTAAACATAAAATTTGTAAAAGATTTTGATTACGCAACGCTATGGCTGGAACAAGCTATCGTTCATGTTAGCTGCCCCCCCCCCCAGGCAAATTATTCCAGTACTACGCGATAACATCGATTTGGATTTGAAGTAATTTGAAAATAATGATACAGATGTCTCACAAGCAGGATTATTAACTGTGTCAATAGGCAAGGGTGGGAAAGTGGAGATTTTATGATCACCTGGGTTATTTCACTTTTGAATCTTATCTTTGTCGCATTGCAGGAGTTCACATCGCTTTACTGCCCGTAGAAATAGTGTGAAACCTCCATCAATCTGATCTTACATTAACCATGGAATGACATGCTATTCTTGATTTCATGAGTTTCGGTTAAGTACAGAGCTGAAGAGATGTCGCTTTCATAGTTCTAGCCGCATCAGTGACATGCCGGATAGAATTTGATGTTGAGTTTGGTATCGAGATAATTGATATTAAATCTTATACTGCAATTTTGATTATTGGAAATATGTACGCATGACCAGTAACGATCCTTCCCAGCAGGTTCACTTTCTCGCAACTATGTATGTGTATGGCAGATTTACCTTCCAGTTTTTCTTTTCTTTTGCATAGTAGGGAATAACACGCTTCAGTAGAGCGCACTAGTTGACAGTGTCGTCCATGAATACATAGCGCATAATATTACACTGCTGCTGTATATCGACATTCTATGGAAAAAGAAGTGGATTTGTGGTGTAGCACAAATCCCACTTGTGTTAGTGTCATTATAATATTAGCTCAAGCGATTCTTCATGAGTTTTCAAATTGATATAAACTAGGAGACGCTTAACCCCTCCGTCATACAATACCGCTCGTATTTTTTGAAAAAACAGCGCGCAGTCGCCCGATTCACGTGACATCACCGTCGCGTGGCCATATTTCGCTTCAGAGTGAACGATTCTTGAACCAAGTAGACCATTCGACTCAGCTCGGCGAGGCGAATCTTCCGTTATATAACAGCGCCCTCTTGGACACATTAGGAGGTCAGATACCACGAATCGTTTCAGATTTTTGCTTACGTAGGTTGCCCAGTGAGTGCAATGAATAAGCACACTGAGTAACCTACCGTAAGCAAAAATCCGAATTCGTGAAATTCGGTCTCCTTCTGTGTCCAAGCGGCACTGCTATATATCAGAAGATGAGCCGCGCCGAGCTGAGTCAAATGGTGCCCTTGAATTAAGAATACTTCCACTCTGAGGCGAGATATGGCCGCGCTACGGTGATGTCACATGATTCGGGCTACTTTGCGTCGTTTTCCCAAAAAGTACGAGCGGTATCGTACCTCCCCTTAGCACGGAGGAACTTCACCAAGTCTACCGCGGAACCTCTCAGATAAAGGAATGATTTAAAATTTAAAAAAATTGATACAGAAACCTTCCTTTAAAATAGTGACTTGATAATTTTGCTCTTCCCTGGTGCTAACACAATTGGGAGGAAGATAGTAAGAAGCGAATCTTTGATAATATGCGGAAAACTCCAGTAACTTATTACAAAAAACATCCGAGTGCCAGAGAAGTGACTGATACAATATGAAGCCTTCAGTGCAGAATACACGGTTATTACTGGACACCACTAAAATCGACTCCAAGAATGGTCATCTTTCACGAAGCAGTTTTATCTTCTAAATGTTAAAATCTACACAGCCTTTTGCTAGGAATGCATGTGAACCCGAAGAGCATAAAGCTCCAAAACTTCGCTTTTAAAGTTTTGACTGTATTATGAACATCCCGAATTTCTTCCCTCCTTGAAACAACATCTAAAGAAGACTGCAGTTGCTTGTTTAATAATTTGTTTTAGTTGCGTTTGACGCAAAACTAAGAAATGAGACTATGCTTTGATGCGCAAAATTTATGCTTCCTAACTAAAACTGCAAATTCTTTTGTAAAACTTTATACTTGATTCAGACGACCGCTAGCAGGTAAGGAAAGCACGTTTGAGATCAGCTTTTTGTACGTTTTTAGTGGTATGTGTCTCGCTAAAAATGGCGGTCACCAAGTATCCTTCGCTTGTAAGAGGTTTCGAAAAAGGTTATCATACCACTTTTGTGGGAATGTTCAATATTAAGAACTAGATGTTATGGGTATATTATTTTTCTTGGTGCCTTGCGCAAAAACTCAAAAAATATATCTAACATTTGCCATGGATCCAGATTTTCGCAACATCAGAGCAGAGTTTCGTTCCGCATTTTTGCGAAGTTTCAAGATTAGATTAGCCGATGTATAGCCAATGTCATGCCATGCACCCTTGAAGCTATTCCATTCAATTGTTCCACTCTAGTCTCCGAAAATTAGTTTACCAGCACACCAAGCTTCATTTCTAGGTTGTTGCATTCAATTCTAGAAACAATTACGAAAATTCTAATTAAACCTTTATAAATCTGAGCGGCAACAATACATACGTCACAGTTATTGAATATAAACATATTAAAAAATGATGTAAATTGCAACATAACTTAAGCATCAAAAACAACCCGGAAGCCAAAGTGCAAAAAATGGAAATAAATACAAAACTTGCAAACAGAAATCTACACGTAATAGAATAATGCAAAGCTGTAAGAAGGTACAGTGGTATTCTAAGGAAAAGAGATGTATGAGTTTTGCCATAACTTAGCTACAAGGCTTATGAGTTGGGATAGCTGTATATCTAGAAGAGACGATAAGGAGGGGGGGGGGGGGAGGGAAGACAGATTGTGATGTCTGGAAACATTAAAGAGGATTCATTGTCAAGGCATATTGTTGTAAATGTGTGGCACCGAATAAGTTGTGAATGATTTCTGTTGGACTTTTGCGTCTCGTTGAGCTCACGAAGAAAAAGAGTTCTTCGAAAAATTTTGGATTCATCTTCGACATTTTCATATCAACTTCTACACGATACACATGGAAAAATGTATTCTCAAAATATTTCAGAACTTTTTGATTTTTCGCCACTTGTTTTTGAAACGATGAAGGCATCGAAGTCTTAGGGGAAACGGTGTTGAATATTCTCAAAAGCGAGAAAGCACAATCAGGAGCAAAAAGAAAAGCACAGTCTAGAACAGAAAGAAACCGCTTACACATTCGTCGTAAACTTGCTGGTTGTGTGTGTATCTGCGGCATTCATATTATGCCGGTGGGTATACCCTGATTCTCTCAGTACGAAACTAATAGGGAGTTTAGAAAGGATTTTTTCAATTTTATTTTTTTTCGCAATTCATTTTTTCGCAAGCAAATAGAAAAACTGTTACAGAAATTATCCAACAACCTAACAAAGTTTGTGAAAACGGTTTGCATTGTCTCCTTTCCAGAAAACACAAAAGTCACAGAAATTCGCGAAAAAAGGCAGAAACGTGCGTTAAATAGTAAACTATTGCATATCACTGAGGTAGATCATAGAAAGCGCCTTCGACTGAAATTTGCGAGTTTTGAGCATCGTTCTAAGCATCGTTCTCAGGCCGTATCTCCTCATTCGAGGAATAGATAAAAGTTTTTCCTGTTTCCACATCGACTACTCGAATCGGAATATTGCACACAATTTCTCCTTTCCTGCAACAGCAAAAAATGGGGATTACGCGAAAAACAGGAGATTTGAGAATGATTAAAACACAAAATTGGAAGTTCAACTAACTGCTTGTTCAGTTTTGCGTCCTCTTGTTTGCTCCTCCTCAGCCGCTTCTCTTTCCTGTAGTATAATATTGAACATTATAAACAAGTATCAAACTGATATGGCTTATGCTACTACAATGCATTGCTTATTCTTGGTAGAGAAAGGGGGAGTTTTAGCGAGATTATAACTCCGGAATTTCTCGAAAAAAAAGAGCAGCCTGGTGCCGCTGAAAAACTAATTTTACCATGATTTTTGCTGCAAAATATTCATCTATTAATGTGGCACAGATCACTGAAAATTTCACTACGTTGAACAACTTTCTTATTTATCCGTACACAAGAACGACCTAGTGTAATGCGGACTAAGATGACATAACCTAATTTTTGTGATGGTGAGCAAACTTTCCATTCGCTTAAATGGATTTTATATAGTGTTGGCCATCTTCATTCCACTAGCCATCTGATTCTGAAAAGTGTATGACAAAAGAGCGCTCTTCTTGGCCTTATATATTATGAAAATACAGATTAGTAAGCCTTTTTTGGCAAGTAGGACGCACAGGACACTTTCAAAAGACCTTTTCAAAATTTCACAATGCTAGTTGAATCGAATCTATAACGCAACAAGTACTGATTAATCAAACAGTACCAGACCGAAACGTACCTTCTCTTAATATTGAGTACTCGTAACCAAGCAATGAAGATACATAGACAAAAGATCAATGCAGGAAGGAAGAAACACAACAATAGCCACATATCTGAAAGTATGTTCACTGTATAAACTTCGTTTGATGATGAGTGGTACACTGGAGGAAATTCAATGACCAGTGACCGAAATATCCACTCATTCGAAAGCCAATGAAAAAAATATATATATAAAAAGAGAATTGTACAGGTGGGCTGGAAATATGTCAGCAAGGAGTTTTTGCAGTGCCAGTTGATAAAGTTTATGAATGATGTTACGATTGTGCAAAGATTAAGAAGCTGGAAGGAAGTTGCTGAAAAATGAAAAACTGGATATTGCAAGAAATTGTGAGTGAATTTGACGGCAAGTAAATAAAAATCCTCTAGCTGTCTACAGCGTGCATCGAAGGAGGAGTTTGAAAGCGTACATAAGCTGAGCAGGGCACTTTGAGCATTTATAAGGGTACATGATTGAATCAAAGTATCCATTACCAAGTCGCTGAGGAGCAAATTTAGTATATCTATGAGGATCACAAAAGTCACATTCTACCAACCATTCTACCATTCTTCCATAAGTCATCGCTAACCTTTTGTTATCTTGATACCCTGACAAGGGGACCATATTTTGTCGAAAGCCTTTTTAGAGGGAATCCATACCGTATTGGAGAACACAAAACGCTGATTTCAAATCTGCTTCCCTGTCTGCCGAATCTTTATGAACGAGGAGTTATGAGCTTTTATTGAAGCGAAAAAATACATGTCCATACGACAAAGTTGTCGTAATACCTATTTTTCTGGCGTTTTACTGGAGCAGTGATGATTATCAGAGCACTTCGTTAGACTCTTAGATGAAAGAATATACGGCACTTGCTTGCTTTATTTGAGGGCTAAGGAAATCAACTTTTTTATCCTAAATGCAGTTTTTCATATTTGCTTTAATAAAGATTCATAACTCCTCGTCCAGAAATGTTCCGCAAATACTGAAAGCAGATTTGGAATCAGCGTTTCATGCTCTACAGTACTGTATACATATAATTTAAAAGGGCCACTTCGAGTAAACATGGTTCGAGTTGTCATTTGTATCTACCTTCCAAAGACTGGATATTTCAGAAACTCCAGCTCAACTACCATTTTACCTTCAGGAATGATCTACTTCAAAAAACAAGCTCATCTTCATACAGTCCCCTCCGAAATTATTGTGCAGCCTTAGCATATTGTGTTGTATTTACTGCACATCTTAGAACTGGCACTTGGCAAAAATTCAATTTGATAAATCAAAATGGCGTGGATGTGAAAAATGAATAAACCAGCATATGCTAGAACAATCTACTTTGGTGCTTTCATAGCTTTTGTCTGGAACCTTGAGCAAGCATCATACATGCTTCAAGGGCACCGTCCACCCAGATATGATGTTGGTGAGGTTTTAGTGCAGTAGAATAGCGAGGACTCTAACTTAATAACTGCCCAAGTCCCGCTGCAGAAAATTTATTCCATAGCAAGAAAATCGCTCCAAAAACCATACCAGGGCTTCGCGCTACGTTCGCATGTGTGGCTTGAGCACACATTGGCCTCATAGATTGGAGGTCGGCACGCAAGGCCCTCGTGTTGCGGCTGCTCAGTCCCACGTCATCGAGAATGCGTAAGTGACACAGACTGTGGCTTTACCCATTCCTCCGCCCATTTATAGCCCCCAGCATAATACCACGGTGGCTCAATACTGTCTCAAGCCCCACCAATGCGCCCCGATGAGAATCGTAGAGCAAATGCGTTCAGCTTTCTAGCGTAGGGTCTTCCCACCAAAAGGTAATACTCCAATGTGTATTAGTATATTAAAAAACCGGAGGCTTAAAAGGAGTAATCCAAGCTTTGAGGCTTTAGGTACGATGGTCAGTCGCCATTACAGTGCAAGAAAGAAGTCATTCTTGCTTTCCTAATGAATATTGCTTATTTGAACATGAAATGTTTTTCTATACGTTCATCAAATGATACGTTACAGGACAGTTTAAAGCATATTACAACAGCAATGACGTTTTTTGAATGCTATGTTTTCGAGAACACATGTCAAAGTGCAAGGTTGTGCAATGCTGTTATAAATCTACAAGTAACAGAAGAATAAAAGAACGATATGCAGCTTGAAGAAGAATCAGCCTGAATGAATAAAGGATTTCAAATAAAAGATGCAGAAGTATTCAAAAAAAAAACGGCCAAAGCATAGAAACAGTGTAACGAAATACAAACATTAAACCATAGAGGGACGTTTTGCTTTCTGGTCCCATAAACAAGTGAAAAAATTGAAGGCAATGAGAGAATGGGCCAGAGATGATTTTATGGTCCTACGTACAGCTGAAGTTACTTTCGAAGAAAGAAAAGATTGTGATGGTTTTTTTGTGACGAGACGTGTTTATCGTGACGAATTTGTCGAAATGTTCAGTTTTTTAAAATAATTTTTAGAGGATAAAGAAGAGTTTTGTTCAAAGCCTGTTTATAAAGATGGTAGAACTCCATTTGGATATCGCTTCGAAATTGAGAATTTGTTTGTTTGGCAATTATGCAGTTCTTTTTCTTCTTGCGTTAGCTTCATCTTTCCAGAATCCTTAATTGAGATCAGCAAAAGACATCTAAACATGATAACAAGCTTTTCCTTGCTGTTGTTTACCAGTCTTTTTATGTACTGGGAATGACGATGATAGATTTTGTCCAATTTTGTCGAACTGGATTTTCGCATGAGCATCCGGGAAATTACACCGCAGAGTACGATCAAGTGCGACTAGTCCACTGCTAAGGGATCTCTGATGCATGCGAATTATTCGTCAGGCGATTTTTAACCTATTCTTTGTTGTTCTGATAAAAGCTTGATGTATAGAGAGGGGGTTACCGCTCGCAGAACGTGCATTCGTATATTTCGCGAACTCTCGCGAAATCCCGCGAAATTCCGCGAAATTCAGCGACATGCTGGGAATTTCGCGGATGTTTGCGACATCACAGAGACCTTGCACATTCTGTGAGAATATAGGATAGAATTGAATAGGATCACGCTCCATTGTAGATAAAAAAGAAAAGGAAATGAAAAACGATCAAGCTAGAGGATGTGAAACGAAAAATGAGGAGCGACTAGCAGCAGGTGATCGCAGCGATGCAAAAGAACCACTGTACGATGGCAGCGCATCTGGGAGCTCTGCGTCACCACTACGATTTTATTGTCAGTGGCAAGAAATCGGTATCGGCTGCGATTCGACGAGAACAACGATAAATTCGCCTGATCGCGATGCCATGAGCTAAAGGATTCGTGGATTAGAGACAGATGAGGTTGGGCCACGAAAAATGTGGCATCCAGTCGGTTGAGATTTACTGTCGGCAATGAAAGAAAAATGAGTATAGTGAGTACCACAAAGGAGGTTCGAACTCCTGTGAAATTCCAGATTGGGATAGCTTTTCCGTCGGGAAGTTTCTGTAATGACAAAATCGTCAAACTGTTTTTTTCTGATTGTGACTGTGATTTTTAGACAAAGAGATCGAACTACTGCCAAGCTAGGATTTAGAATATATCTCAAAATTTTCGATGCTTTCGCGAACGCTGTCGCGATGTGTTTATCGCGATGAAAACGTACATCGCAGTACGATAACGTCCTTCAACAAAGGTTTTATAGAATCTATCGTATTTAATCCTCGGATTTTTGTCAGATTCCTGACTTAGAATAAGGACTCAAGAATAAAAATTTGCAATATTCAGTGATTTCCTAGGTTGTATCCATCAAAAGGTCATTTACCAACATTTGTGACAATTCAGAAGAAGTAGCTAGTGTTTGGGAAAAGCCATAGCTGACGCTAAACTTAAGAGAGCTGAGAAAATCTCGCTGCAACGTTTCTCCGCTGTAAAGTATGCATAGAAAAATGGACATCCACTGAAAATTTTTAAAGCGCATCACTAAACCTCAAGCATATGCTGCAGAACGTAGACAGTTCGTATTCACAAAAAGTCGAAGACATTTGGAAGGTCTTAGCGCTAGTTACATAGTTCGAAAAGCGGAAAGCAAGAATAAATAAATACTTGTACATGTGGATTCGTGGTGTACTTTGGTGTACTTTTCAGATTGATTGCAGGAAAGGTGCTTACCAAGAAAAAATCTAGTTCTATGGCAACAGAACCCAGCTTGAGCTTTACCCCATCGCGAAATCGAATTAATTTTTGCTATAGGTTAGCTCTGCAGAAATTCAAAAAATTTGATAGTCACTGTTTTTTGCTTCCAGAAGTGACGAGAATGTTGTCGTCAAAAGCTGTTTCAAATTGAATCACATGGCTAAGAAACTTCGATAATGACGTTTACCTCTGAACTGTCAGCAGCTGGAGTGAACAAAGGCCGAATCGGCCGTAAGCGATTCCAGAGTAAGTGAAAAAAGTTTGTACAGCTGCGTCAACACCAAAAGCTCACTGCGTCAGTGGGAAGAGAAAAAATTACAGCATTGCTGATTCAGCTGGTGTAGTAATTTTGGGATTCCAGGTAGCTCTACACCGAATTATAGCAAAATTCTAGGAAAATTTAGAAGATGAAAACAGAAGGTGCAGGCAACGCATTTAGATCAAAACTCAATAGACGTTTTGGTGAACAATTTTGCGCTTTGGGGATATTCTGCTTTCGTTCTATCCATCCACTTTATTAGGTTGTCCCAAAAGTAAACTATATAAATCAAACTGCTTTTCCAAGGGGTACCTTTCGATAGAGCGAAGCAAGCTCTACTACATGACCACTAAAGCTCCGCCTAAAGCGTAATGTAGATAAAATTTGGAGCCAACAGCGAAAAATATTTTGTCATCTGAGAATGCATTTTTTGCGAAAAAGAATCATATGAAGCTCCAAATTTCGTCATACAAAAGATACATAGTAGTATCCATAAATGCATTTGCGAAATTTTTTTTCTCGCATGAAGCGAGGAAAAAGTCCAGAAATGAAAAAAAAGGTCCATAGAAATTTTCTAAAAGGGAATCCAGTTTTAGAGTAGTTGAAAATTTTTGGCTTTTAACTGCAAGTTCTACCTGGATTACGACTGAGGTGGATCTTTAATTGTCATTTTGTAGAGCTTGCTTCGCTCTATTGAGGTAACCTAATTCTGCTAGCAAAAACAAAAAAAGTTTATTTATCTAGAAATACGGTTTACTTATGGGACAATTTGATATTTATGACTGACTATGCAGCAAAGCTCTTGTGGGAAAACGTGCGCTCATGTAAAAGAAATAATTTAAGGGATCAGGTAAACTTGATTTCTTCATCGACCAGTTATACATGATTTTTGCACCAATAAACATAAGAAAAAATTTCTGAAAACGTTTGGATTTATTTGAGTTATGCTATTTACTATGACTCATGATAAAGGCTTTTATTTGCAGATGGCAGAAATTTTAATTGAATCAAAGTCAAGAAGTTAAATAAAGAAAATCACTAAATTTATAATTATTCCCGAGACATTCGCTCAACACAATTTCCTTTAGGTAGAACGAGCAGGTCATGAAACAGAGCTAAAGAGTAAAATTAGTTCTTAGTAGACGTTTTCGCGACTTCTAGCGGACGAACCTCAGTAAGCCATTTCTTGACTAGTTCCCCTAAGCTTGCATCGTTGCATTATGCAAATACTGATTTCTGAGTCAAACACTAATAAAAACGTAAACTTTTCCTTCATTGAATGGCCCAAACTTGCTCATCAATTTTGATTGAGATTATAATTTCCAAGGAATTGTCGCGCATGGCTCATGCATCAGCCTATCAGAACATTAGAGTTTTACATGTTTTCAGTCAGAGGCACGACTTCAGAAGCTTACAATATACAGATTTTATCTCAGCCTTCCCACTTGACTATTTATGCATTATGTGCTTACAAATTCAACAGGAAGCTTTTTCTGCAAAGGTGGAGATTTTCAAGAAACGTACTTTTCGCAATGAACCTGTATGGTCTCTTACCACGACCATGATTTTACCTTCGAGCTGCTTCTAGCAAAAGCAAACGACATGGGTGAATGCATGAGAATACTTACGTATTCATACAAATCGTTTTCATCGATTTACATAACAAGAATAAATGAAGGGGTCGAAGAATTGCATGCATAAATTGCTTTCGTGCTTTCGAACAGCAATGAGCTATGCCGTAAAACAAATCACCAAGCAGTAGTCCTTCGTAAACTTTAGTGATGGTGAAATTAAACATCTTATACTACGGATTTAACAAGGAAAAATGAGTTATTTGAAGCATCAATGGCTGCATCCAAAATTCGTAAGGGAATGTTTTAAACCTCAATCTATACGCTTACATAGACTTTACACAGACCAGGCCTTCTACTTTACTCGCTCACTGCTAGAAAACTGCCTGCAGCCAAAAACTGCAACCTCTGAACCGTATAACAAGAAAAACAATTAACGCAAAGGGCTATGTCAATTTGAACTGAGGAATGGAATCTTTTTTGAGAATTTGGCAGAGTTTATGACCCTGCGACGGGATCAGAAAAGAATATAAAAGAGGTTACTTCTATTAGGCTGATACATAAGCCTAGCAACTAAGAATCCAAAAAAAATTTGAGACGTAAAATAACTGCATTTTATTGTGTTTTTGAGGTGGATCAAATTCAAAAAGTAGCAGGAAACTCGGAAATTATATAATCAGTATGGAGTGCCCTTGAGCACAATTTTTCAAAGATGTAAGTGAATGCCTTTAGCACAAAACAATAATTACTTTTTGAGTGGTTCTGTTGTTTAGCTTATAGCTAAGAACATCAAGCGCTAGAAAGAGCAAAAATATAGATATATTATTCATAAAAACGAGGATTTCACTAAAACCGGAGGTGATTAAATTTTTCCAAAATAATCTGGTGCAGGACCCATGCATGAGCCTGTTGAAAGAGGTTCCAAAGTAAGAAAGGTTTCTTCATAAGAACTAAAATGAAGTATTCTTGAAGCAACTACATTAGCGAATGCTCAATTCTTTCTTACTTACCACTCTTACAATGTATTTGAGGGTTGCTATTTTTCTTCAACAGCAACCCGGTATATTACGATTTATAGCCAGATAGTGTAAATCAACTGCTTTTTGCGTTAGACAAATGCAACAGGTGTTGTGAAAAAAAAAAACATTCTATGAACTGAAACTTTTCCTCTAACCATTGCCATGTCACTTGTTACATCATTTTCTTGAATCTCGGATGATAATAGCGAGCTTTTAAGCAAGTGAATTAAAAGCGGGGTTGAGTTTCAAATTACAAATCGTGATGAAACCGAAGATTTTAAATGAAATCACCGTGTGCGGAAAAATTACTTGATTGGACATCTTGCAGCGAAAATCCTAAAACTCTTGGAGAATTATTTGAAGTCAGATATTATCTCGATGCACATGCAACTTTTTATCATGTATCAGAATTTCTCTACAAACTTCGCACAAAATCATTGCAAAAAATCAAATTTGTAGAGACATCCGTTCAGCACAAATTATCTTGGTTAGAAAGTGGACCATAATATCCAAATCGAAGGTAAAATCAGAGGCCGTTGGATTACCTTTTTAAGAGAAATCAACTAATTATAGCTTAAGCGCGACACGACTAATTTTTGTTTCTGGCACAATTAGGAAACCAATAGCTTCCTTTTCCCAATCATCTCATGTCAAACGGCATTTGATCTGGGTGACAATTTTCTTTGAATACTGGTGAATTTTTTGAAAACTTGGTGAGTTTTTTTTTTTGTGAATTTCTACGAATTATTATTGTCACACTCAAGTGAAAGGGTGCTCAGAGATTATGGAATAAGTTACAAACTTTGGGTAGGAGATTAACACAATAATTGTGTAGAAATGCTGATCGTATTCACAACAGCTCAGCATCAAAAATCTTGCGTAAAGGGGCTGAAGAGAGATGACTCGGCTGATTGAGATGGCTGAGGCTTTTCGCGGCGCGAACTCGGCTTCCTCGTTTCTCGAACGGGCGGAAATATCCAATCAGCCCCCAGAAGGTAGCTATTACGGGAGCGCAGTGCACTCGGGCATGACCTCGAAATGCGCATGCAAGCATTTCAAAAAGCTCTAATGACACTTCAAACATCGAGCAAACGAGCGAATTCACGTTATAAACTTTATGTAAAACATAACTCTAAAGAATATCCCTCCGTTTCGAGTTAACGACAACAAATACGCGTTCCTCCGGTGATGGCAGGAGAAAATCGGGTGCACGTCTAAGCAAATCTAAATCATGAAACACATGAAAACCACATAGACTCTCACTCGTACGAAAAGACATCCAGTATGCGAAATGATGAAGCATTCACATAATATACAAAAGCTTGGGACAATGTGAAACTTTTTGAGATGAACAAAAGAAGCCGAAATTGAGCGGGATGTACAAGATGCTAGGGATGTCAAAGCATTTTACAAAAATCACCTCTGAATTTTTGGGATTCGAAAAATACCTAAGAGCGAATGGCTGGTTCCCTAAGGAATAATCAGCCCATTCGATAGCATAAAAACCTAGTGAAAAGGCTCGAATGTTGCTCAAATTGTGGCCGAACACGTCTCGAATGCGGTCCTACAGCTCCTTCTTTCCCTTTTTAGCTTTTGCTGGTGGAGGGGGCGGCGTAGGCTCGGGTTCGTCATCGTCGTCGTCTGAAATACAATAAGAAATCAGGAAATTGATGTATAGACGAGGCTCAAAGCAACGAGTGTCATGGGACTTGTTGCTCACTTGGGTTTTGATACGGATGTAGAAGCATTGCTATTGTGATTTAGTTAAAATCGATTCCGCTTCAATAAAGATGGCAATGTGTGCACTATTTTTTGCACTCCTTTTCCCCACAATATGCAAAATGCACAAATTTCAAAAGTTGCTAGTTCCAAAACTGTGCAGATTTTTTATACCAGAAATTGGAGTATTATTTACGTATAAATTAGGAATTAGCTTTGAATTTGTGAAAGTGAGTTGCCTAATTGGAAAAGTTTTCACGAATATAAAATATTAAGATATTCAGTGGTAATAGAATTCCAAATTTTAGAACAGAGGATGTGCTTTTCAACATGTAAATAAGTAAAATAGTCTTGAATTTCACCGCCAAACTATCCCGTAATTTTTTTGCAGGAGCGATTGCCGTCACATCATCTTTTTGAAGCTACAGGGTTGCTAGTCCACTAAAAATTGGAAATCATCAAAAAAAATTTTGGGTGGGGGGAGGGGGGGGGGGGAGGAGGATGAGTACCGATCAGGTAGTCTGGTTAGCATAACTTCCTATGTTCTAGATTATAGGTGAGTACAAATCACTATCTGAAAGTGAAAAAACAGTCTGCCGAAATGTTTAGGGCCAAAAAATATTGTGAACACGGGCTATTCCGAAAATTTCGCGCAAGAAGTTGCGGAATGAAAACATAGGACCAGGGTCAAACGTGGAGTGTGGCATGCGTGGGGGTTCGTACTGAGAGGTCAGGGAAAGAGCGGGGGGGGGGGGGGGGATCGTTATCAAGGTGATTCTGATGTCAGCGATAGCATGATATTTGTTAACGATGTCAGGTAGGCCCATCGTGCAAAATACTAGCACAATGATGTTGCCCACCATCGTATACGTCAGTAAGCATAATAAAAAAAATCAAAAGCATAAAAGCATTGTTTTCGTAATTAGCAAGTCGGATAACCCTGTGAGCCACATTATATTGGGACACTGAAATGAGATGGTCAATTTCGATCATGTTAACCATGTTTCAAAAGTGAGCTGACTACTTGTTTTTGCGCATGATACAAAGAACTACCACTTCTTTGTTCACTTTGAGAATCCCACTTTAGATAACCTCAAACTTAAGGAATTAAGAGCAAGCCAAAATCTCATTCGTTCCATTTTTCCCTTTCAATAAAATGGCCCACATCACCTTAGCGTATTACGAGGCTTAGACTACCAGTTGTATACATTGCAGCCTTCACGATTCACGTAGTAGCGTACACCTAGCATGTTACCGTAACTTAGTATATTCGCAGTATTTTTCATTCGCATGGGTAAGGAAAAACGGTTGTATCTTCCCCTAGAAGAAACGATTGCGAAGGATTCCTGATCTATGAAAAATGATGTTAAGCAGTAGCCAAAACAAAGAAAAGTAAGGGAGGTGTGGCACGACCCCTGAAAAGGTGTGGCAGCTACAGCTTTTCTGGGGTGGTGCCACACCCATTTTACCTTCAAAGAGAATATTAGAAAAACAAATCATAATAGTTCGTTAGCCAAAGTCTCTTAGTCTTTGTGGAAGTGATCAGAGCTGAATTCGACTTCTTTCGTCTGAGCAATTGTTGCTGGAAGCACAATCACTGCGAGCGGAAAGTGGGACGAACGAGATTTTTAGATGGCTCCTAATTCCATAGTTCGATAGTTATTCAAAGCAGGATTCATGATATGGGCAAACATGGAGCAGTGCTTTGCACTGGATAAAAAGAGGTAGCGAATTCGCTCCTACAGGAGTCACACGACGTGATAATTACGAATATATCAGTAGTAATGCGGTAATCGCTTTATGTCATGCCTACGGTAGGCAAACAAAAATGTTGAAAGAGGGGGGGGGGGGGGTGCCGGGACGGAACTTAAGAGTAGGGAGGGGGGTATCTGGCAATTATGTGCCACACCTCCTGATCGACCCTACATAGGGTGAAAAATGACTGTAAAACAAGATAATGAAGTTACCATCAAGCGTGATTGAGCCGCTCATGATCTGATCAATCCAAGTTTGGAGTACTTCGAAGTTGCTGTCGCTGTGCTTTTTCGGGTCATCTAGATTCACTTGCGAGATGTCGAACCAGATACCTTCCTTCTGAAAAAAATTTCCATTTAGGATTAGTCGAATAGTTGATTCTGTAAAGCATCTAATCTAAACTCCTGAACAGGTCAAACTCAAGGACCACCGGGATATATTCTATGAATGTTATTTCAAAATCAATTTGCAAGTAAATGATGATTAGAGCTCTCAGTGAAGCATTTAAGACACTCAGTACTTTTTTAGTTTTTTTCGAATATCGCTTTCTCCAAGAATTTGCTTTACACAAGCTTAGTTCCCCAAAATGCTTGATCACCATTCAATTTTTTGCTCAAATCTTCTAGGCATAATCCATTTGAGTACAGATTGCAGAACTCCGGTAACCCAAGAGTTTACTATATTTCGACGAAAAAAGGATTATTTATGAAATTCAAATATGGAGTGCAACATTGAAAAGCATTTTTGGAGTGGTAAAGCGTGTTATGCTCGAAAATTTAGTAGAGAAAAACTTTTACAAAGTCGTGTAAGACAAAAACTATAATAAATTGCAAAAGGGTTGCACAGGTGAGATGCGACTTCGTCTAGTATTTTTTTAAGTCTCAGAAACAAGTGCTGAAAGAATTGCATATTGAACAAGGTTTCGACGATAGTTCCAAAAATTCCAGGTTATCATGATAACAGAATCGACTGGAAAATAAGCTATACATGTAGTAACAATTAGAGGAATTTTTCTTCTTATGCTATTTACCTAGACTGCATCATTAAGTGTTTGGTCAAAACGGAAGATTTTGCCGATACCAAAGGTGACTCCAAATCTGCATTGTGAAAACAAATCTACGAAGGAAGTTATGAGTGTTTGATTGTCAAAATTTGTCAAGCTTTGAGGCACAAAATTAGCGCAAAGGTCTACAAAAACACCTGTGCAGATCGCCGGTTGTGTTACTTCCTTGTACTGAATAAATTTTATACACATGATTACCACTTTAGGTGTTTTTGTAAATCTTTTCGCTAATCCCATGCTACTTGAAGTTTGACAGCTGGTTAATCGCTCATAAGTTCTTTCAGAGAGTTGTTTAAGAAAGGCAGATTTGATTACTGTCCAATGCTCTTCAAAGAGGTATATAAGTCATTTGCAAAGGTCACTCTGACTGAAAGGGCTTCCCTTGTCAGTGTAGAGGCAAGCAAACAATAGGATGTCGTGGTCCATAAAGATCCGATTTTGAAATCGGCATACTCCGATTTCGTTGGAAATAAGTCACTTTAAGAGAAAATTTTTGATCGTAAGATATACCGTGAATGTAAAACCAAGGTTTTCATGCAATTACAGTAGCATAGATATAGTTCAGTTCACTGAACGATGGAATGCGGTTGTGAAGTAGAAGAAGCAAAAGTAAATATTGGTTCACTCAGTCTTATTCGAGATTTGTATCTTGGCGCCATTGCAATCAAATGTTTTAGTTATCAACAGAGTTGCATACAAAACAATGATCTTCTTGACAGAGATATAATGGTTCAAAAGGCAAACCATACTTACGTCAGCGATGTCAACGAGACCAATTTGAGGGCCTTCTTCGATGTCAATACCGAACATATCCTCCCAAACATCAACCATGAGCGGGAACTCGTCTGTAAGGTTCCAGTCAGTGTCATTTATCTTACAGATGAGTTTTTTCGAAAGCTTACCAGGGTCGATCAGCACAATTTCGAGTGTGCCTGCGTGTTCTGAGTTTTCATCAGCAATTTTGTCTAGAAGTTTCTTCATAGCTCTGCCTTCTCGCGTTTCTTCGTCGACAAACGCTAGGATCATGCGCTCATCGTCATCCGGATCTTTCTACAAAATACATCATGGCGATGAAACAGAAAGGCATCAAACCTCCAAGTTCAAAACACTTTCTCACCCAAACGGCAAAGTAGTTTTCTAGCGTAAGTTTCTGCATGACAGGTTCTTTGTGTTTCTCAACCCAGTCTTCGAATTCCTCCTCTGAACAAAAGCCTTTTAGTCTCAAGTGCGTCATTCTGTTTGATCATACCGGTGTCAACAGAAGTTGGGGCAAAGATTGGATCCTCTTCAAAAGGCCGCAGCATTTGCACTTCTCCTATTCTTTTCAAACCGACTTTGCGAGCCCACTGAAACATAAGAAATCGATCGAGGTATTCTACCTTAACTGAAGGATTGTATTACCAGTCACCTTGGATGTGACTACAGCAAAGAATTCGATTTCTCCCATAAAGTCTTCAGCAGCTTCTTCGAACTCTTTGAGAGCTAAAATCAGCAACCGTAAGACAAGCAAGCCCCAATTAAGAGGACTACAAAATGACAAACCAGCTGATCCAGGCTCAAAATATCCTATAATCCTGACGGTTTCGTCCTCCAGGTCCTCGAATTCTTCCAAATCGTGTTCATCGTTAATGATTGTTACTGGGTCATCAGGAATCTAAAATGACAGGATCGTTCAGCTCCATAATATGTGTTAGGTCGTCTCAAAAGTTTCCCCGACTTCAGCTTTGGATCAGTATTCTATGAGAACCACTCTCTTTACAAGAGTACAAGTATATGACATTTCTGAACTTATGGGCCATAATAATTACAGGTGTGGGAGGAACTCAGGACCGCTAGGGGTGGAGTTTGTCATTCTACTCCCTTTTGCTTCATTGAATTGCGAAGTATGATTGAGTGTTTGATGTCTCACGTATATGCTTGGGTAAATGGGAAATTTGTAGGATTCGGGACGATATACTACGGCACTGCTAAAGACCTTTATAGTAGAAATAACTGAAATCGAAGGATATCGAAATTTTCGGTAATCCCTAGCTCGCGAGCTAGGGATCACCGAAAAGTTCACAATCTTCAGATCTCATTTCTCCTATCGTAAACATGCTTAGCAGTGCCGTAGTATATCCTCAGTACAATTTTGCAGCGTTTTCATTAACTTCTCAGGGAGACAAATCTTTTTGAAAATGAGAGGTGATCCCTTGGGGATCCTCAGGGGATTCCCTGGGGATCACACTGGCAAAAAACCAATCTTATATGGAAGTAACGTGGCATAGATTATGCGCAGAATAAGTGTGTGAAAAATTTCATAAGCAAGATAGAGAAAAAAAGAAGAAAGATACGTAGAGTAGCGAGATACCATGCATCCCCTCTTAGACATCCCCTCCCCTCCCCAGCGGGGATGTACGCGCATACGGGCCTTAGAGATTATTGAAAGTTATGCAAACTGCGTATGAGGTATTACGGCAGACTAGTGTGCGGCGTGAGAAAAAGAAATGTGGGTTTGATTTGTTTCAATGAAGCTTTTGAGTTTTGCGCAGCTATGTACATATTGTATTAGAGAAAACGAGTGAAAGTATCATATCACTTTTTGTGCAATTTTCAGAACTACAATGTTTGTCGCAAACACTTTTAACGTTGGTACTCCTTAAACTCCCAAGAAAATAGGATAATCATGTTAGGTTGTCCCGAAAGTTTTGTCCGTTTTTTCAACCTATCATAAAAACGCGTGGAACGAAGATAGGGAAACGCTCTAAGCACTATCCGACGCATCTTTTCCTTCTCTTTCTAACTGTCATAATCTTGTGCAGATTACTCTTTTGCTCACTGAGATAAACGCCGAGATTGCGAACCCATGGTTTTTACTATGTCCAAGTTTGGCAATTTTTCACAATCTTAATTTTTGACTTTCGGAATAGCTTTGGCAACAGTTAGATAGAGCAAACAAAGGGCAATATAATGCAATTTTGCGGCATCTATAGCCAGCCTTGAAAATTTTTTAGAATTATTTTTCTGATGCTATCAAATTCCACTTTTGGTGATGCCAAAAGCCAGAGATCATAAAACGGCGCACAATCACGGTGTTATTCGATGCAGCTTTTCCTCCTCTTTCCAGCGAGTTTCTCTTCAACTTGCGGGATCTTTGGCTATAAAATTTTCATAATGCTTGAATTTGACCCCACCCCAGCGTGTACACGTAAAATGCAAAATCTTATATTTCGAAGCGATGAACGCTCATTTGCTTCGTAAAAATAGTGGATAATCGTAATCGGTTTTTGAAAGCTTCAAAATCCGATGAGTTGTTAGTGTTCGAGGCGTTTCTGTATTTTAGAACTTTGCAAAAGTGAAGACTTTTGAAAAAATTATCTTTAAAAGTATTGAAAAGCCAGCTAGATATGCCAAATAATTGCATTATATTGCCCTTTGTTTGCTCTATCTAACTGTTGCCAAAGCTTTTCCGAAAGTCAAAATAAAGATTGTGAAAAATTGCCAAACTTGGACATAGTAAAAACCATGGGTTCGAAATTTCGGCGTTTATCTCAGTGAACAAAAGATTAATCGGCATGGAAGCATGACAGTTAGAAAGAGAAGGAAAAGATGCGTCGGATAGTGCTTAAAGCGTTTCCCTATCTTTGTTCCACGTATTTTTATGATAGGTTGAAAAAACGGACAAAACTTTCGGGACAACCTAATATTATATACAAACGCACCATTTTTTTCTCGACACGATCGCTCAAACTCAGCTGATGGTAGTGAGTAATTATTGGTAAGGGTTTGCCAAGTTTCACAATCTTCTTTTTTTTACGACTTGTGCCTATCAGAACTCTACCTTAGTGATGATGTTAGAAGCTGCATCAATTTCCAACTTTCTATTTGTGACCAGATTCGGAGCAAGCGGTTATGTGCTTTGAGAAAAAGAGGGTGGGGGATGGAGGTAAGGGACTCCTGTACGGTATTTGTAAACCCCTGGCATTGGAGTAATTACAAGATAGAGCTATTCCTGTGATAGCTGAATCTTTTGAAGAGCTATACCTGTAACAAACATTTTACTTATGTGTTTTTACAGTCGAATATCTGACAAGAAGCGCATACTTATTCCAAGCGGCCTTGTTAAAAATACTGCTTTATCCGATTTTGTCTTCCTTATCTGCTGCAGGTATCCCGGAAGTTACGAGGGTTTGTAAGCGGAGGATAGAATTTGTAGCCAAAACCTTCCTAGGTAAATGAGCTAGCGGTGAATAAGAGTAAATAAAACTGACTGTATTTGGTGCGCGGAGTGCTCTGACTATCGTCAAAGCTCCATCGAAACATTAAGAAGGACGTAACGAATTAAGTCTAATAGCTCATGACTTGCCAAAAAACCCGCAGCTAGGGAAGGTAGATTCGAAATTAGCGTTATGGCAGTTTACATTTTAGCTTGGAGTGCCGCTTTGACTTATGATCCCTCCCTTGCAAGAAAGGAGTCAGATTTTCTTATAAGTGTAGACAATGGCCAATATTAAAACAGAGTACAGTTTGTTTCTGTACTATTCACTGTATAACGAGGATGTACAGTAGGGATTTTCTTTTCAGAATGATTTCTTCAAGCGGAATTCAAGATTTGCAGATAAAAATACACTTTCCAGTGCAAGCTACTTCGAGTGATTTTATAAGTATTGAACATAAAACCCACATCCATCATCCATCCAACAAAGGTTTCCGGATCTCGAACCCCATTGTACTCAATCTTGAAACCGTCTTTGTAAACATGGATGGTGTCCTCGCCTTTGTCAACTTCTGCAATGAATTCTATACTCTTTTGATTTTTGCACTGTATGTGCACAAAGCAACGATATGTAAGAACAGAGCGAGATTCTCTTAGAAATCAAAGGGCTTCAAGGATCATTTTTTTCTGTGGCGTTTAAACAGGTGAATCTCGGCAGAAGTGGATCAATCTAATCCATACTACCCACGTTCCTTACTTTACACTCCGAGATGTGAGCGCATGGGGCAAACAAAAGAAAAAATACACACGTATAAATCACTTCGGACATATGATGCTATTGCAAATTCAAAGTAATGACTGGATAATGTCTAGGAACATTTGCAGAGTTTTGAACTGCTACAGAAACACCTGAACTTGGCACTTTGAAATCTCAGTGAACACTAAGAAAAGATTTGCCATGTGATCATAAGTCTAGCTTTACCCCAAGAGCAAACACTCCACCTTCTTGTTTTCTCAGCTTTTGTTCCTTTGTTGTGTTGACGGTAAAAAAGTTGTAACCTCTTTTTGTCATGATCTGAGCTGAGAGCTGAAAAATTGATATATACTAATCTGTTCTAGAAGTTAGTGATTTCAAACCTGCATGAAGCACTCGTACTGGTCTAATTCAGGATCATCTTCCTCGACATCGTTGAAGAAGACGACTGACTTTGCATCCTCGGCGAAGACGGTCTTGTTGAAGTTCTTTTCTGTTAATACCTAAAAGAAAAATTTGATTTGGCTCGTGAAAGAGATCTCGGAGATTTTCATAGTTTGGTCAAATTGCTTTTCCAAATCAGAAGTTCTCCATTTTTTTCTCAAGCAGATACTGCGAAAAATTAGCAATCCATTTGCGACATTTCGCAGCATTCAATAAATTGAGAGTTTGGCGAGGATCCATTTATGATTAGCAGAACAGCAGCACTTTACAAAAAAAATCGGTGAAGTGTAATCCGAGATCAATTTCTGCAATCACGACCAACCTCAGTTCGATCAAAACCGTCGTATTCTAGATCGGGATAGCCGAGGAACATGCACTCCAAGTCATCGGTTTTCTGGGCCGCTGACGATACAGCCGTGGCCAGTAGGGCCACCCCTAGTATCCGGCACCAGATCATCTGAACGATTTCATCTTGTAGAGCTTGGAAGAACAAGAATGAACGCAGAAAAGACGACAAAGCTAGGATGTTGCTTTGTGCCTTTATATCAAAACCTAAGCCGAGTTTACCAAGCTATATGTACATAGTGCAATAGGGAAGGATCAAGCTTTTCAATATCGATGCCGAGTGCGATAGGGAAGGTTTTAGCATTTCGAAATCGTTGCGGCCTTTTGAAAAAATGACCGTGCAGAATCTCACTGATATAAAAATGACTATTTGGCATCAGAATGAGGGTTTGTCTCATAACGATAGCCCATAAAATAATATGTAAATACATAAGAAAGTTTGCGGGCGTAGGATAAGCTGAGGGTTTAAAGTGGCGGAACAATTATTGTAAAGATGAGTCGAGAGTTGAATGGAGGGATGGCCTGGCTGCCGAGCCGAGGCCGTGGCCAGGAGAACAGGCGGCTGGCCTTTATCAAACGATAGGGTGGGGGGGGGGGGACGGGGTACACCTCCGTGGCCGAGCCCCCGGGAGCCCCGCTCGATCCGAGCTATCGAAAACGATGATAAAATTGCAATCTGGATTGATCTCTCAATCATTTCGGCACGCGCTTCAGCTCACGCGCAATGCAAATACCTGGGCGAAACTTCCGTATTTCAAAGATAAATCTTCAGATATCAAATACTAAGCAAGCAGAGCACTTATGGATTCTGTGAGCAAGTGTGCTTAAGTCGGAAGCGTGCAATCGACTGTAAGCCGATGTCATACGAGATTTTAGAGCACCTCTCGCGTGCTCTAGCAAAACTCAGCCTAGCGCTCCTTCGGCGGCGCTTACTGTTTGACAAAAGTGCACTGCTGTCTAAAAGCTGTCGAGATATCCGTCAAGTGCTGGCTTCGTTCCACAGTGCTAGCAACACCCCCACCCCCTCCCCCCTCCCTCCCGCCATTTTTATCAGAAAGTTGGCCATAACTTTTAACTGAAAAGCGCAGCGTAGAATATATGCGAAAGCTGAGCGGAGCTAAAGTTGCAGAAATACAGAATATGAAAATGCAATGCATGACAGGAGAGGAGGGGGGGGAGAGGGCGGGTGTCATCAATGCTTATTCAAGTTTAGCTATGCACCGAATAACACTCGTATCTCGGACTCCTCGCTAAAGATTCATTCTTAGGGCCGCATGCACTAACATCCCCGCGGGGAGGGGATCGCAGCTTAAAAGAAAGCTTTATATTTCGAAACTCCAGATACCTGGATTTCACGTTGTGTACCTATCCGTAAGTATTCCTATTACTCTTCACTATGAACATGTTGAACAGGAGCGAGAAGCTGTACGAACCGCATTTTCCAGCTTTTGTATGATCCCTGATGATCTCTGGCGCTTTTCTTCAAAGTCATTTTTCTTTCTCCGAAGTTAACAAAGAATCTCCAGAGTTGTGCAGATTGTCTAACCCAACAGTGCTAAGCATGTTGCTGCTAAGAACAAATGATGTTTTGAAGTCATGAAATTTGCGATGATCCACAGGTCGAAATTTGAGGCTTACCGAAAAATTCGACTTTTCAAAAACTCATTTGTTCTCATCAGCAACATGCTTAGCAGTATTGTGTTAGATGTTCAGTACAATTTTGGAAGGTTTTCGTTAACTTCGGAGAAAGAAAAATGACTTTAAAGAAAAGCGCCGGGGATCATCAGGGATCATACAAAAGCTGGAAAATGCGGTTCGTACAGCTTCTCGCTCATCTTCAACATGTTCATAGTGAAGGGTAGTGGGAATACTTACGGATAGGTAGACAGCGTGAAATCCAGATATCCGGAGCTTCAGGATATGAAGCTTTCTTCTGAAGCTGCGATCCCCTCCCCGCGGGGATATTAGTGCATGCGGCCCTTAGATTGTCAAAAATTGTCAAGACTGTTGAGTCATCGTGTACTAGAATAGCCTAAGTTCATTTGCATCATGTACAAAAAGTCGTGAATTATTCTTTCCAGTCTTGCCGCTACTTTAGTCGAAAATCTCCATTTAATTCTGATAAAAAAGGTGTAAGAATTCTCTCTTCCAAGTGCAGGCTGCAGAGATAAAACTGGGAGAAATAGATTATTTGAGCTTTGATGATATTTGCCGGAATATCAAAATTCTGAGAACACTTCACAACGATTAATAGCCTGAGTTTATGACCTCCCTGTTTTATATGAACAGTGCGACCTTCAGGACTTACGATTTCAAAAAAGAATGTCAAAAATTATTTTGAAGTTTAGATTGACTTTCTGAAAAATCATAGGTTACTGTGTGTTCTCGTTCATTCCGTTGCTCTTTTAGAATGCGCAGATTGTATTTCCGTTTGTGTCGGTTTATTTTTGTCTCAAATCACTGGAACAAAAGTAAGGCTGCCGCACGAAGAAAGCGCAATATCTTTGGGCGCGAACGCGGCTTTAGTAGCCGCAGAACAATGAGGCGCAGGATTCACAACGGTGAAGATACGCGCACGCGCCGCTTTCGCGCCCGCTCAACTAATATTGCTTCTGCGCCTCCGGCCTTATTTTGATTTTTCTGCTTTTCTTTCCGCAACCTGTACTCAATAAAGAGTCTCCAAGTTGCCGATAGAAAGCACACGAGTTTCTGCCCACCAAAAATTAATTTCAAGCAAAAGCTTAGGAATGAAAGCTACGGTTTTTCAAATACGATTCTAGGGATTTTTTCAACACTTGATTTACTACATGAAATGAGAGAGGAGCTCATACTTTCGTAATTTTATTGTGCACTGACTTTATTTGCTCGAGTTTTACACAGTGGGCTGTTGTACTATTTTTTTTCATGAAGTTGGAAGTAAACAGCTGACACTGACGGGCTCTAACGAAAGAAAACTCAAATGTTTGCGCTGGCGTATGTTAGCTTCCCAAACCAACAAGGAAAATAAGAACAAATAAATAAAAGTTTTTTTGAAATAGTGCAAAATTAGTCGGAACAGATTCGTCTAGATATACACTATTAAGGATTCATATAAAATTTTGAATAGCGATTTATCTTAATAGCTTTTGTTTACAATTTCTTTGGGAAACACTCAATTTTATCTAAGTCAGCTTCTGAGCTAAGTTCGTTGGCACTCCAGAAAATTGAATTAATATGATCAATTGTCTAACCAAATGAACAGATAATTTCTGAATGCGAACACGTTTAGTATTTTGATGTACATAGTCTAGCTGGCTTAATGAATTTGAAAGGCATTCAATCTGCTCGGAAAATATTGAAGTGCCTATGTTTTCTCAATTGGTGATCATCACTGTGAGTACCATGAGCAAATGCTAAGCTTTCAAGGAGATTATTCCTTGTAATGATATGACTAGCCACAGGTAAATGCAAATTCATTCGATTGCGAAGCTACATACATATTTCTGAAAATGGCGATAAAGCACCTGAAATAAAAGCTGCAGAAGATGCAACAAATCAAAAGCACCAAAGCAGAGGCAGCCACCTGCTTAGAGACCAGCTCAATACGATAAGTCGATAGTGTGGATATCGATGATGAGAATAACTCTGTAACTTTACAATAGCTCAAAGAACGGAGCCCACGGTGTTTTGAGCGTCCGGCAATGCTAGTGTAAAGCGTTGCACATGCTCACGCAAAACGTTTTCACTCTTAAAGAGGTGAACGCAAAAAAAGAGCAAATGATGAGGAAGTGTTTTCGAGAACTGAAACACCAAAGCAACGCACAAACAATGAGTTCATACGGTACTGAAGAGCGAATAGATATGGTTCGGTTTATATGTGTTCAAGAAAGTCTAGAAAAATGCATGGTTGCCTGTAAGAATAAAATTTTCTGCTATGCTAACTTTCAAAAAATTAAAAAAACACATCTGTTGGATGTGACCAACTTCCAAAAAAAACCCGCTTACAAGCTCTAGAGTTAATTTTTGTTTGTGGGCGATGTACAAAAGAGGTAAGTCGAACAATACATATGCAATTTTGTTGCTTAGCGAAGAGGAATGAAAAATTAGATGTGCAGTTAAAACCTTCCTGCACTTCAAATGTGAAAGTTAAATCCCACGAAAATATAGATTGGGAAAAATCGTACTGAAATTGACCGTCGATCGTACTGCAGTTGGTCAGTTCAATCTCCGTTTTTAAACACTAATTATGCCGTTAAAAGAAAATTTGTGGTCCTCTAAAATTACATTTTCAAAAATAATACGAAAATGAGCTATTTTGTAATACGTACTGGACAACGTCTCTCGTCATTTAGCTGTTCATTTCTACTTCGGAATTTATCAACACTTGATATACCCTTTCTCTTGGTAGAATACATGTACAACTTTGTTTGCAAACCTTTTACAAGATATTGAAACAATCTGATTATCTTTCTGACAGAATATGTCAAATGATCTGCCGTAGATGCTAGCAGACTTCAAAATACAAAAGTTTCCTCATAAATTGCCCAGCTTAGTTATATTGATGCAAGAAGTTCCAAAATCTTTAATGCTCAAAGTTGTCAGACTTCGAAGAGGAACTTTCTTCTGAAATTCGATGAGGTCTATTTCATTGTATCCATTACAATGTTTACGATAATATACTGTTACATAGTTGTAGATGATATACCTTACAGAATTCTTAGCTATTATTATGATTAGTTATCCTACCACAGTATTTCCAGCAATCATATATTTTGCACTTCGTGCTTCTAGTGAAAAATATTATCTTAAGGGTACTATCTTGAGATTGCAATGTGACAAATTATGCTCGAGGGATGTAACATGTTGATATGTGTTTTTGCTTATTCTTAGGCAACACTTTCATAAACTTTCACTTTGCTTTTCCACCTAATAAACACTAGGAGAGTATGAGGAGCCGATCGCTGCTGTAAGTCAGGCCTCGTGGGTATGCCCTATTTTGCCTTGTCCCCTCCCCCCTTCTCGCAATCTCGTTTCGTCCCGAAAAATTTTTGACTTAATCAGAATGCATGTGTCCGAAATGGGGAAAGAATCAAATACAAACTCACTCCATCGGTACGTTCCAGCCATACTTAAACTATTCGTTAGAGGGTTTCATAGAGAAAGTTAATTTTACAAAGGTAAAAAAGGTTTCAATTTTATTTGGAGAGCGTCGCAAAATAATCAGAGTACAAGCAGATAAAAATATCTCATTTTTCAAATAAATCACTTGAGGTAAGGGATGTGAAAAAGCTTAGTCTCTTTTCTTGTAATTTATTCTACAATTTCTTCGTACTTGCAATCCTGTATGTAAGTAAATGTCATTGTCTTGATACAGCATACGCAGAGCAGCTGAGTAAAGTTATAGTATCAAGCATGGAAACTATACAAATGAGATCACCTCCTGCCTTTGCTCTCTCCCACTCATTTGGCTGTAGTTTTTTTTTTGACATGAACCTAAGTTATAGTATGTTATTAAGGCCTTTCGTCAAAAAGCGGCGGAGTAAAAATGCAAGTGTTGTTTTGGACAGAACAAAAGCGAACGACAAGATCAAAAAATACTACCTTGAGATTTTAAAAAACCCTTAGTATTGTTTTGGGCTACTTGAGAGACATAAGTGATCGGGATATTTACATAAAAGCAAGATAACCCTTAGAATGCTCCAAAGTAATACCTTGAGAATAACATGGAGCACTATCTTCAAAGCAAAAAGAGAATAGGTCATATAAGTCCTGTGAAAATTCATAATGTTGTACTTCTGTTAGACGTTGGAAACTGGTGTTGACGATCTACTGGCAGAAGAGGAAGATGCCGGAAGCGACGAGCTTCGCTCCGGAGTTCATTTTACCCTCGAACTGAGAGCTCAGACAAGAGTCACTAGCCCCACTGCTTGTTACAATTATCAAGCCATAGTCGTGCTGATTCTATATTACTGGTTCTTGGAAGCCATACTTCACCTCAATGCTTTTTCCAATGACGTTTTGGCAAGTAATTGCTGGAAGAAGCTTCGGTAAACGATGACCACAATTGCAAAACTGCAACCGTATAGCAGTCCCATAGTAGTTTGGTCCATGAGCAATTGAGTGGACATTTGGAGCGCATAAAACAGAAATGTAGCAGCAAAAAGCGGCTCTGACCAAACGATGGCTCAAAACTGGCGCCGCGCCATAATAAGGCTTACTTCCAGTAAATTCCATCTGATTCTGAGCGGCAGTTAGCCGGCATTATGCAACCATTCGCTCCTTCCTCGTGCGAGCTGCCGCCAGTGCGCTCGTCTGGCGCGAGCGGAACCCGCTCACAAAATTCCACCATATCACACGTATCACATAATGCCGTAAGTCAACTCCGCTCCAATGTTAACTATCGGATAGTGTGAATATGTGAAACTAGTCGCGTTTACTCGTGTTCACGAATTCCTCTACAGCTCGGCGACAAGGCACATGCGAACAACGCTCGCACCTCCTCCTTCATCATACCATACCCTTTCGTTCCCCCTAGCGTCTAATCCACACATATTCATCCCGCCCCCTCACCTTCCCCTTCGTCGAAGACCGCACAAGGGACAGGTATCGTCCAATAATTCGAGCCATAAGTGCCACTGGATGCGCACATCGCTTACTATTCTATTGCACACTTACACCACATAATCTACTACATCCGAAGCTATGTAAGAAAAAAAACAGCTCGCATGTCTTTTTAGCACGAACTTTCATGAATCTGCCCGAATGCTCTGAATGCGATTCTATAGGCTCACTTTTACGCAAAGACTTTCTTCCATTTTTTCAACATCGAAACATTCTCTCAAATTCGACTAAACTAGCATATATGGCTACTTAAACAGGCCCGCCCCCACGTATGCTAAAATGCTTTGGCGTTTCACTTATTTAATTCCAGCTCCTTCACTTGCTTTAGACTTTGTTCACTTTAGCTGACTATACACAAAAAACGGTGTCGTCAAAGCATGATTCGTTCGTTCACTCTCAGATTGTTGCTGCTAAAGTTTTCAACAAATTTCCACGGAGAGTAATCGTCTCACGCAGCTAGGAAAGAAAATTGATATTTCGCATAGTGAAAAGTCTTATAAGAGCATGTGTGTTTTGTTTTACGTTTACTCCAACCATACGTAGAAGGAGAACATCGAGAATGAAAACTTTATCTCTGATGTGGAATCTTTTCCTCTATATTAAATTTGGCTTTTCTACATTGTTTGGGACACATCTAAGAGAGACTAAAAACTAGGTTTTTATGTTATAGTCAGGGCGCGGCACGAGATAGCTTTCCATAAATGCAAAAAACGAAGTCCCCATTGACTATCGCAAAATTTTAAGTAGTCCCCTTTGAACCTAAACCCTAGACGTAAAAAACCCTCAAAAAACAAATCGTTGGCTAGAAAACGTCACAATTTTTCTCCTTCAACAATGCTGTGATTATACTTGCTACAAATGGAAATCTTCCCATTCTAGCTTTCCAGCACTACCATTTCCGTTTCTTAAGATTGGCATTTGTAAAGAACATAGTAATTAGCGCTCTTCAAGTACTTGATGTGTTGCGTTTATCCCCATTGTCGAACAATCATTTCGTTTGGAACTGTAAATAAAGTTTGTTTCATTTATATGCTAGCTTGGAAGCACAATTTCTGCCATGTAGTACAGGGTGCTTATGCTACCTGCTACCAGACCAGCCTGAAGAAATGAATTAGTCCAAATAACCACTGTTGTCTATTTTTTCATTCAGAAGTGTTTTGTAGATGCGCAAAAACCCCTTCCCCTGCTTTGCCTATTTTTTTCCAGCGGTTATTTCCTAGAAGCATTATGTCGATCTGGATCTTCGACCACTTGACTGCACAAGTGCTCCAAAGACTAGAATTTTTGGGTAATTTCTTGCAGATTTTTTGTGGAAGAACAAGAAGCTCTTGGTATGGTGCAGGTTACCAAACCGTGTAAAACTCACATATTCGACCTCTCTAGGGTTGTTGCTGTTCTTCGCCATAAAGTAATTCATCTCATGCAACAGTCGCTGTCTGGTTTTCAGCAGCTATATCTAGAATAGTCATGTACATTGCGAGCTGCATTGTTGTGCAAGATTTTACCACATTCCAGAATCCGAGGGTTGAAATGCTTAGGAGCACGCTCAGCAAGCACTACGGTCAAATTTGCGCAAAGGCCCAGTATCGAACCCTCGGGCTTCTCTTGCATTGGTTTGCGTTTCAGGCTTAGTTCAAAATGTTTTTATTCTACAGTATCACAGCGAATGGCTGTCTCGCTCTGCTTAACGCAAGAAAGGGAACTGGAATTACACCCACCTCGATTTCCAATTCTTTTAGGGTTTTCATAGCATCTCGAGCGTTTTTACATAGGCATTACGTATTCGGAAAGCGTTGCGTCAATCAACTGCAATAATTCGAATGCAAACAGGATCTTTCACAAGAAAAAATTGCAACAGCATAGCTTTCTGTCAGGTTAAGTCACTTTTGCTTGTTTTGATATTGTTCTTCAAGTTCATTCAATATCTAAGATGATGTTGCTGGTTCATGCTACATAAGTTCTACTTCTTCTTCGGTGTTCGGGTGTAAAACCACTCAGCGGAAGTCATACCAGCCCATCAAGATGTCTCGCCTTTCTCTCATTTCTTTCCATATTTCACCTTCACACCGTATCTTGTTACTTGCTCCATCTTACTCCATATCTGCAAGTTCAAGAGAATGTCTAAACGTAGTCCTCTGTTTAATCCATCGTTGCTTTCGCTAACGACGGTTTCTCCTATATTTTATGATTATTAGCATTTTCTAACCTTAACTCTTGTTTTTTTGTGATGAAATCGTCGCTGTTTCTCAAATGGGCAAGAATCTAGAAAAATGCTGCTGTCCATGCTTGAGGGCTTTCCCCGTGGTGATAGTGGCTTGTTTTGGGCTTCTCGATGACACCCTTGAAGCAGCCGGTCCATTGTGCCCATCTCTACTCCTCAAAGGCATTACTTTCAAGAGGATTAGGGCCAACTTTGGTCGACTTCAGAATTTCTTGTTTTATGCTGAAAGTTGAACTAAATTGAAATGCTCGCATTTGAGTTATCTGGAACTTTGTACTCGATCTCTGAAAACCTCAAAGCTACCTCATTGAGTGACCACTTAAAGGTTTTGGGTTTTCCACTTAGCCGAAAAATTTGCTTTGGATGCTTGCCATCTATTTTTCTAAATGCATGGACAAGATCGTTTGCGCATCCGATGTCTCGCGGAAAATTCATTAAATCTCGCACACGATCCATTCTGTTCTTCGCCAAACTTTCAGAACTTATCTGTACTATTTTATCTCTCGAATGTTGGGGGGAATTAGGGGGGGAAGGAGGAGGACGAGGAGGAGGAGAGTGTCCACCATGACCGAATACAAGGAAACATGTTCTGATGACGCATCTTCACACGATCAACAGAGTTTTGGCACATAGCTAAACACGATCTAAGTCGGCGATCCAGTAGCACTTACATCCTGTTCTTCTCTCTTTGGACAACTTCATTATCAGCTAAGCACATCCTCGACAGCACTCTATCGTCATTAAGTTTGATCATTTCGAACTTCGTGCTGTCCCAAGCCCCGTTGCAGATTAATCTATTTTTAAATTGTCGCGTTGCTCTCTTTTTATCCGAGTCCGCAAGCTTGTACGAACGTTTCGATCCCTATATTTATGCTAAACTCCTTTTCCACATAGAGTTTCAATCTAACATGATTCCTGAAGCCAATTTTCTTGCAGAGGGTTCCATTTCGTCGTTACATATGCAATGCTCATTCTACTCCTACTTCTAGCACAAGTATGGGCCTCAAATCAATCGGAAGACTTCGAAAATGCCAAGATTTACGGTTTGCGCTTGTTCATCTAATGAAAAATTTTTACTTTAGTGGAAAATGGCGGTAGGAGAAAGTTTTGAGCTACCCCCTTTCAAATGAACATCAGTATGAACCTTGTTTCCTTCTTCTTAAACTAGTAGTCTACCCATTTTTGCTGAAATAGGAGGTCATCTTTTTTACTTGGACCTGTCTCAGTCTTCACCTCACTAACGTATAGTTCGCGGATAAATATGCAGAAATCTTGTTTTCATCTATTAGTTTTTTCTCGCCCTCATGCTTCCATAAGCTCTTTTTTTCGGAATAAGTTTAACCAAATCTTCACATGAATTGCCGCACAGGCTGTCGTGACGTCAATCTTCACGCAATATGAATTTTCTTTATGTGGTGCTGACCCGTGTGTCCACTCATACGACTAGATCGCGAGGAGAAATGACACCACGAGATCTGGAATAGAGCTTCATAACCAGGGAATCTTGCAACGACGGTGCGAAACCGTGGATTTGCAATGCAAAGATCAAACTTCACAGCTTTTCGACCCACAGATTAAAATTGACGGTTTCCTGTCGCAGAGATCGAAACTGAGAGCGTTTCTGACGCAGAGATCAAATCTCTCGATGCTATTATGCACAGATCAATTTTGACGATCATTCACTCGATTTTACCTTTCGTCGTGTCGGGCATTACAAAATGTTTATTTACAAGATTGTTTGTTTGTTGAATGCAACTAAGCGCTCAAAAGATGAAAGTTATTCTTTCTTGCGACATTCTCATTCCTGAACAAGTAGTGTTGGTTTAACTTCACTTCATTTTTCTTGTAATCAAAAAGTAAACATTGTCGTTCCGTATAGAAAGTAATCACCATTAGCATTTCCTGAAAGCTATTATACCGGACGATTTTTATGGTATGGACAGAACCGTTGTCATTATAACTCGTAGAACGTTTCAGACAAGTGGAACTGTAGCTATGAGAATAAATATGTAATTCGATAAAAGTTAATGAGCAAAAACCTTCAAAAGATGAGATTCTGTAAACCTTTCATACATATGTTGTTTACACATGTATCAGCTAGCCAAAGCAGTTTTGTATGAATGTACTTTACATATCAGGGACCATTAAACTTGAAATAAGCTTAAGGGAGAAAACGAATTGACTTGTGGGGAACAACTCATTCAAATTCGAATTTCTTTTCATCAGCAAAGTTACTGTCTTAGGAACACCTCGACTTATCTGCTCGAAGAAATGGCTAACATTGGAGTTCGACACCAATATCCCATTTCAAGGACGAATTTCGGTGAATTTATAACTCCTAAACTATAGCCATAGCTTTTTCACTTTAGAGACATGTGGCGGTTTTTGTACTCTTTCTCGAGTCACACAAGAAAGTGTGATGCTTGTAGGTTATCAAAAGGCTTCACAGACAACCTTGCGTGCAAGACTACTCAGCGAACATTCAAAGAAATGCCAGCTTCAAGGTTGAACTCCAGCACTGCATGGAACTCAGCTATATGAATGTAAGTGAAGCCTATGCTTTTCATCGAAATGGCTAATGCAAGCAAGCAATTGTACTAGCAGCAGAACACGATTTCGTTTTTCCTGTTATGCGCTACATCCACGGAAATTCGTTGCCTAACTGCGCATAAGAACTGTCACTTTCGGCTTTTCACACGATGCCACTAAATCGTCGGCTTTAGAACGGCTCGCGAGTGTACTCGGCCCAAATCGAAGTCGGCTTTCATCCGTTGGTGATCACAAGCAGTGACCGACTGTTCTCAGTTCGATGCATCGACAATAGCCATGCAGCCGCGCTGCTTACGGGCAAAAAGGAGGACAAGTGAGACGATTATTGCACTTACGCTGAAAGAAAAACAAATTATACTAAACTCTGCGCGTTTTGTCTGTTCGACTCCATTTTACTTCATCTCGTAAAATACTGAGTTTAGAAGCAGGGTAAATTCTAGCCCTTGTGTGCACACGATCCGTTTGGCATCGAGATGGGAAAGCAGCACGATATTTCACGTAGGCGACGCTATTATACACGAATGGAATTGCGACTTCAATGTGAAAGGTCTGAGATCTTTGCGAGAAAAAAATCCAGACGATCTTCATCTTTTTTTGAGGAGGACAAAAATACCAGACTTTTCTCACAAGCTGTAATGCATTATCAAATGGAGGACAAATTATCCACTTAGTCGATGAGAACGGGTAGGATTTCTTGGTTTTTGTACATAAAGTTTGCAATGCAATGCATTGCAGTGCTCCTCCAGCAGTTGTATCATAAGCGTGTTCATTTACTTCAGACAGTTCTTCTAAAGGCTAGCTTTTGCTCATGAATCTAGATGCCGCTATTTGCAACTTTACAAATATAACTATTGTTACAACAGGTACATATTGCCAGCCGTACTTACTGTCCCATACTTGTAATACAGCGAGCTGGCTAGTACCGTTTCTCAAAGTCTTCAAAATTTCGATTGTGTTTCCCCACTTTCCAGATTAAGTTTGAGCTACATAATCGGGTTTCTCTACAAATCAAGATTTTCGAGCTTTTTCTACTTGATGACGGGTCTACTTTGATAATTACTCTAGACATGTACAGCGGAATATAAAATAGAATTTGCTTCAAAAATTCATACACTATATACTAAAACGTTTTCTGAAAATCTAAGCGAATTTCTCGTATTCCTTGGTGCAAGATGTATTTAACACTTGTTCATATTTTAGTGGACCTTGTTTACTTTAAAGAGTTTTTCTGATTTCTCTTAGCAATACAAAATGGACGTTTAAACATATACAGGTCACAGTAAGTTTTTATGTTCAATGTCAAAGAAGAGGCGCGCACCAAATCTGCATTTTTTGGATCTAGTGCACGCAACCTCGTCTTTGGCTTCTGTTTTGGCTGTTGAGATTTTCATATCGATACTCTTTATTCGTTTTCATAGCACATAAGCACTACTTCCAAATTAGAAACCATGCAAAATAATCAGTTGTAAGCCAAATATGCAACATTCTACTTCTTACAAACGAAAGTTGCCGTACTTGTCATGACCATGAAATATGTGATATCTACAGATAACATTATTCGATCCCACTTTCTAGATGTATAGTCGATTCCGAACTCATGGGAGAAGTCGTCTACAATAATTACATGCCAAGAATTTTTGCTAGAGCTCGAGTGTTCAAGCTGATGAACGACGAAAAGTAAGTGCTTTTGAGTAATAAATCTCGAAACCATACTTTTTCCAGGTACCGTATAGAGTGCCATGTACAGATGTGCACTGCAGAAGGACTATGCAAGGACCGAATATTTGTGAGTAATTATGTCAAATCCATTCATAGGAATATTAGGTGTCTTTATACATAAAGCGTCCCTCTGCTGTTCTTCCTTGGAATCCATTTTTTCAATTATCTAGAGCCGGTAAATTTGACCTGAAACTGATGAACAATCTAAATGATTGCTATGCCTAGCGCAAAAGTTTCTTGATTTCTTTATACATTATTCAAGTTAAAAAGGTAGAAAAGTTATCGTGTGCCTTGTCGCGATAGATACGTTGCGACATGTTGAACGAAAGCATTTTTGAAAATTTTGAAGCGTGTTCTATATTTAGATTTTCTGCAGTTCAGTAATGCACCCTCTTCTAATTACTCTAAAAAAATGAGTAACATTCGTGGTTTTGTAGGGATAACGCACACTAGAAGATCTACAGTAATTCGTTTCTGTCCAAAGAGATATAAGCTCAGCTGTACTGTTCGAAACTTGATAAAATCTTTGAGGTTTTGCTTTTAGCTGTTAGCATATTTCTATTTCAGCAATGATATCTCAAGAGCGCTATTCTTAGCAAAAAAAAGTTCGCTATATGAAGCATGTAAATGTTTCCTGAAAAAGAAATGAAAATTCCCATTTCACTTTCTCTATAACTGAAAAAACGCATTAAGTGCGAGGTCAGACTAGCTGATCTTAATGGAATGTTGATGTGGATTTTAAACTTGAAACAGCTTCAATGTTGCAATAATGGTGTGTTGAAAGAATCAAGGACTTGGTCTTTGCCCAGACCCACTATCGTTTCTTCAGCCTCCAAAATGTGCGTTCACTAAAGAGGAAATACTCAACAGATATATGTCGAAGGCGAAAGCGGATTCCATAGAGGACACCATAATGGCGGGTACGTAGCTATTCTCCCCTTCTTCCAGAAACTTTTGCAAGAGTTCTTTAGGAACCATTAACAACCGTTACGAGCGTCAAGTCAGAGTTGTGAGCGAATGGATCACGGTGCACAATAGTGCGTATACGAACATTGACCAGCTGAACGAGAGTGGGAAAAGTGTCATTCTAGACTTACAGCTTTCAATTATTTTCTTCATAGGATACTACTTGTCCACAGTCATGAATGATCAGATGGAGGAAACTAATGAGAATCCACTCATGCGCCACTTTCTCATGGGAATATCTTACAGGTAAAGCTAAACTCCACATGATATCTTGCCAAAAGTTGTTTATCGCAATCACTGAGCAAATTCGAAAATGGTGAAGAAATTATGTCAGATAAAGATATTCATTCTGATAAGATACACTTAATTAGCCACTAGGAAGATGAAGGATTTAGAACGAGGACGACATCATAATTAGCTTATCAGCTTTTCTATGAGATTTGGGGTCCTCCTCAAATATGGTAGAGGAACGTAACAATTGAGTCACCGAATGCTTCTGTAACTCACTGAAAATAGTTCATAGCAGTATGAATCTTCCGAAATTTTCGTCTCGAACTTGTATAATCAGCAACCCGAAATGTTTTGCAAACACTGTAACATTTGGCCTTCTCCAGTCGCAAATATGAATCTCTTTGATATCAAATCTCCATTCAAGGTGTAGTAGCGGCTGAGTCAAGCCAGCGAGAGCCGATGTGAGAGTGAACTTCGTTGGATAATCAAAAAATTTCAGGACCGGATTTGGGCTTTATTGGGGGATTGAATGATGTAAAACAATCGATCTCCGTGTCTTCTAATCTTCCGAAACACTGCGCTTAAGTCGACGTAAAAAAATACAAAGACGCTTGTGAAACTCGGAATTCGGCCAAATGCGAAGGGAAATGTTTAAGAGATCTTTCATGCTTGATGGGGGGGGGGGGGGGGGGGTAAATAGCCTTTCTCAAAATTGTATAAGATATACCTCAGCTAATGGGCATTCGGCTGAAAGCCTAACAAAACACTTCTTCTTCCAAGACTATATGAATTCTTTGCGTTGGTACCTTTGGTCGCACTTGCCGAAACGTAGGTTTTGATTTACTAGTTTGCGAACAAAGCGGTAACACGTAGGATTATATCGACTGAATATCCTCAAAACATCCTTTGGATTAAAAATAGACATGCCAGATGTGGCCTTTTTCCACTTGCTCACTTTCATATCTAGTCCGATTCTAGGGACCCCAATCAAAACGACACTGTACGAAACGAATCAAAAGATGCAGAAGTTTCAAAAGCGCAAGTGGAGCTGTCATCTTCGCTCAATCACATCGCTGCTCCTATCGTAAGTGCCCGTTCTTTTTTTCTCCTTATATGTCGGCAACATGAGCAACTGCGCAGTAAAGTAACCTGTGCTTTTTCGAAGTTTGAGTTTGCATAGGCTTGCGGTCTGATTGAGCTACATTTTCTTTGGACTATAGACGAACTTCTACTCACATGCTCATCATCTATTGAATAGTCTCGTTGAATAATCTCGCACTCTAAGCGTACATGGTCACAATTTTCGGACTAGAGACTAGCAGCGAACGAGAGCAGGTGCTCGTATATGGTAAGCGCTGGCGAAAGGACTCGCTAGCGGTTACCGCTTCTAATGTGCGCACCCCACGTGCTCCAGCAATAATAAGTGCTCGACTAACGCGTTCGCGACAGGGAAGCATCCGCCGTTGTGAGGGACTAGCCTTCGCATCGACGCCTCTTTGATTATTCGGCTTTTGTGATTTATTAAATTGGCACTGATATGCAGCCAGAACTAATAAAAACGCCTACTTTTAACGCCCCTACTTTTTCAAGTATACTAATTATTTTTCGTCACAGTGTTACTGCGCTGCTACCGCTCTACCCCAAGTATTTAGGTGCTGCAGTTACACAATTAGGCAGATGAGCACGATTGCATAGATTAGTTTCCGAAGGCGGATGCTTTATGCTCGAAGCAGGTGCGAAAGTGACGGTTGAGCACCTATCATTCCTGGAGCACATAGAGTGCACAGATAACCGTCGCACGTTAACTTGCCTGATTTGAAATTCGCTGGGAGTAGCTTTCACGTACATATACCTCACGCGAAATGTCCCTTTCCTTGGCATGTCCGCCTCACCACAACCTCGCGCTACATTCGTAGGCGTATGGTTTGGGTAGCAGACAAATCTGCTTCATCGCCGCAGGTCAACACGCAAGACTTGCGCAGATGCGAAGTTCTTACGCAAAAGGGACATTACAACTGAAACAGAGACTTTCATTTATATAAATATGGTCACATTGCAGACCTCCTTCGATATAGACAGTGTAGAAAAGGAGAAGATTATTGACGCATCGGTGCCCGTGATCGATGGCGTGCCGGTGATGGTGGAAACATCCTCTACGAAGACTACAACAGAAACGAGGTACGCCCCCTACCTAGCTTGAAAGACGAAGTAAAGGTGGAGTGAGATATTAGCAGATACCTATCGCAGTTCAAATGTTAGCAGAGCAAACTTATATCTTATTCGAACTATCATTCATCCATACCTTTTCGGACGGACACAGTCAAATAAAGATAAAGCAAAGCAAGCTGAGACTTCTACGCAAGCGAGCAGCTTAAATTCCACCTCAGAAACCTCAGAAACAGTTTCCAAGAATGCATCCACAGCGAAAAGCACAACCTCGAGGGAGCCAACCATGTGAGTTAAGACCGACATTGGCTTTCCTTCAAATTTTGCACATTACAGGACTACTGCACCTTCGACGGAGGAGTTCCCCAAGCAGACAAAAGGAGGTACATCCACATCGGTTCCACTATCGAACAAGATCACTATCGAGACTACAACGCAGGTGACAACGCATCCTGTTTTGTGAAAGATCTTCCAAAATCTCCATTCTGTGCAACATAAAACATACGGTAGAGGGGTATAAATCAATGCGTATCAATATGCATCAGAGAGCTGCCATATGAATAAGAACCTGGTGATTCTGGGTTCGTTTCGCTTGCAGATTTTCATGACTTTTTTCTTCATAAAGGCTTTTACATGGTACTTTGTAGCGATTACCCTACCTTGAGAAATGCTGAATCACATTTCTCACTCAGTCTTCATCAAATCTGAAAGAAGGGAATTGATGCGAGTATCTATATATAGAGCATATGTCAGATGCCAAGTTCAAAGATCAATTTCAGTTATAAAATAGCTCTGTCGTAAATTGTCTGATAACGAGACATTTCGGTAGCCAGGTAAGACCAGTGATAGTCCGAACATGAACTTCAAGTGCATCACTCCTTAATCGTACTAAAATTGAAGTAAGCAGTAAATATAGCTTAAGAGGTTCTTTAAGTCCCTTTAATAGTAGAGTACATATGTAATTGCTAACATGTTCTTGCAAGGGTACGAACATCTGACCTTCTTTTTCCCATACTCTGGGCAAAAACGCAACAGTATGCATTAACAAATTTTTTTCGAAAAAAGGCATAACTGAAAATCAACAAGGAGAAAATGGATGAATTTTCAGAATTTAATCGAAATTGACCAAAAACCATTGTTGAATTCTCTGAGTGATCGACATAAGATGAACGCATGCCGAAATTTGAGTGACGGTTTTCTTCTTATCTTTTATGAGCCCTCATAAAAGTCTTGATCATGAAGAAACTGCTATACAATTCATTGCAACAAGTTCTCGTAACTCCATTTGCCGGTTAATTTTCAGAGGAATTACATGGGCTTTTTGCATGATTCTAGACCTAATTCAAGATTGCTCCAACAGCATGCCGATCGCTGCAGCAAGGTTGTAGAAAAGTTATTAAAAAACTTTTTTGTAGAAGGTGATGGAACATGAGGCACCAGCCACTCTTCATTTCTACACCACCACTAAAACGACCATTTTGTGAGTGAAGCACAAACTTTGCTGATCATAGCTCCTCTTCCGAACACTATCTCCATTTTTAGATCAACATCTACCAAACTTTTGATGTCGTCGAAATTCTCTACGCAACCAGCCCCAATTTTGGACATTCCCCAAAAGATTAAGGTTTCGAAATGCGTAACATTATGTCAGTTGTCGCATTATTCATGCAAGTCATTCCAGGTATCAGAAGATGGCATGATTATGGAAGATGTGACGGATTATCCAGAACCGAACATGTCAGTTGTGAACAAAAATACTCTGCTAAGTTAGTGTGCCTTTAACATTGAAAGAAACTTTTCTAACCGCTGTAAATCCAGAGGACAAGTTCGAAAACCCTCGCGATTGGCGTTTGGATGATAGAACTATTAATGACACCGATATGTTCCCCGAAAAACAAGTAGCCTGCTCAAACGCCACTATCATTGCCGTAAGGGCTGAAGATGTTTTGAACAGAAAGTAGGTAATTCATCTTGAAAAAAGAAACCGTTTTCAGTCACAACGGAAATGCACTTGGTCTGGAATAGAACACCTATTGGTAGTTTGGTCATTTGCTTCGTTACTAGTCTGGATGGTTATGATAGCTGTATGCTTCTATCGGCAGGCCAATAAACCGGCTTGGGTCGAGTTCAGGTAGTTCTTCTTTATTGCTGGTCAGTATCACCTGGGAGATTGTACTAGTACTGCTTCCAAAGTTGTTCATGCGCCGAGCCGTTCCAGCACAGTTCCATCCCCGTGCCATCACCGCGCCGTGCCGGAACATTGATCGATTAAAAAGGCTTAGTGCGGCGCTGGAATGGCGCTAGCATGACTCTGGCACGAGCAAATCTGGATGCAGCCTAAGTAGCACGCATTACTGATCTAAACCGTGGTCGGCTCGGCAGAGGACTACATGTCGCCGAAGGCGGGGATTTCGCGCGGACATCTGCAACAAATAAGCACCATTTGTATATATGAAACTACGTATTTGTAGCAGTCCGTGCGGACCACCTCCTCCCTTTCGACAACAATTAGTCTTCTGCCGTGGTCTCTTAGTTTTATTATAATCGTTATAAGTGCATATGCAAACATCTTGGCTATAGTGTACATTTCAAATTCCTTTGTGATATTTGTGCATTATTCTAGTTATAGTAGTGAGTAATATGTTTCGATAGACTTCTTTACAGCGAGAGAACTACATCTACCGTATCGCCCTGGTGGGTTATGCAAAGATAGAATTGTAGTGACAGCGTAGAACTCCCTATTATTTACACCCCACAAACTAACCAAACTTCTCCTCCTCGTCCTAATTTCCTAGAGATATGTTATTAACCAAAAGACGACTTTTTTCATAGGCTACAAAATTTTTACAGAGAGCGGGAACTACAGCGTATGGCACAGTCACGAATACTCCAACACGATCATCCTTGGATTCATGCAGATGCATTCGAGGAGTCAAGAAATAAAAACAAAAATGAGCTAACTATGATCCAAGGCACTTTCTAGATAGCTAATAACTTCGCTCACATATTGTCATCAACTCTCATGAATTGTATTTTTGCGCAAGTGCGCTTGCTAAACGTATTTCACTAATAGTCAATGATGGAATGGTTGATTTCGCAAGAACAATTGGCTTGTACTTCAGTTCTAGCAAGTGAGCAGTAACTCAACCAACACTGTCTTTTTTTTTTGAAACGAAAAAGTTGAACAGTTTTTTTTGGAAAGAAGATCCAAAACTTTGCAATGTATTTTTGTTGTAACAAAATCTTTTTTCTCTCTCTCTCAGCTGGCTCTCAGTTTATCGAGAGTAATCGAATTATCTACTGGGCTTTTCTTATGATCTCGCTATTTGTTATACAAATCCAGCCAAAAGTGGACGGCTGTCTTTTTTAATTTGTAATTTTAGAGCCTCAATCCTAATTGAGCTTTAGGATTATCGAACCTTAGGAAGCAACGAACATAAATGTCGCTATTTTTTCAGCCTGCACAACTGCTTGTGGCATATACTCTAAGATATACGAAATTTCATATTGAGACTTAATAGACTTACTTGCTTTTAGGAAATTGCTTTAGGAATCTAAATGGTTACGAGAAAAGTTGCAAAGTGCGATCTTCGATTTCCACTAAACTGTTCTAGTTGATTGACTTTTGGTGAATAACCAAACGAAACATACCTGTTTTTAGAAATAATATATTTCAGTATTTTGATATCCTAATACATTTTCTTATTTATCATCTGTATTTGAATCTATCTATGGTTTGAAGCAGAATCTTCCGTGCTTGGATCAGTCTGCAAAATTTCATAAACCATTAGTGTTAGCTGCTGCTCCTTTGACTAGAATAGATCAAATGGATCCCGACCGATTTCCGAACTTGGCAACGAAATCCACCATTTATACCTGTTGTATTTGCAGACGTTGTGATATCTCATTGTGCTATCTTTGATGTGATTGCATCTTATGATGTTTACAAATAATCCTTGATAGCATCTGCCAGACGCGAGCTTTATCAGCCGGTCATTTTTTTCGAGCATCCTAAAAAGTGCTCTAATACAACATTAATAAGAGTAAGAAAATTATTTTTATTTCATTGTATTTGCTGCTTGCAGCCATTAGGTCTTGTGCCTGCATCGTGTCAGTATGTTTCGCGTCTAATCGTAATAATTAGGTCGCAAATTGTCTTTTCTCAGAAAATTTTAAGAAATAAATATTCTATGGTAGTTTCTTAAGATTACATCATATTACTCCTTGCAAAGAAAGGCTGCTGATTTCTTATCGGTTGGTGCGATAGCGTGCACCCAGATTAGTAGCAGCACTTTAAATGGGTCATTTTCTCAGTTTGTTACGCTTACCTTCTAAAGGATTCGGATGTCGATTATGCTAAAGTCCATTCTCTTCCTATCGGTTTTGGCCGTAGGTGCTGTCTCCACACAAAGGTACTCGTCCCCTGTGTGTTATCCAGACAATCCGCTGAAAGTTTCACGGAGTTAGTGTGGTAAGGCCTCAAAGCAGAAACTTCGCGGATGGCCACGAAGCATAAATCGCACCGCGAAAATTCCAGCGGCAGTCTTCAAATCTCGAGATCGCTAGTACTAGCGAAAATCTTTAGATCAGTCATATAATTACAGGAACGATATGATCCCAAAGGAGTTCCTTGATGTTCACTTTGTGGAGTCAAAGCAGCAAAATTTGGAGGACTATCTTGCGCTGCGAGGTTGGCGTGTTGCAAGTTTTTTTGGCTTTTGACGCCTTTCATGATGTTTATTCTTTTCCAGCATTCGTAGTCTTTCTTGAGCTCAAAAGCTTGCAGAAATGCGACCAAGACATCTTACACTAACATGAAATATTAGTTCTGAAACAGCCTTCTGCCTTCGTATAGTATGAATGGAGTGAAACTGAAGTCTTTATTCACTCTAATGTGGTGTAAGTAGGATTTCGGCACTTAGGGGGGCTCTCAAATAGCTTCAAACAATACATCCTTGTCGCATATCCGCTGTGCCATGATGTACGCGTAAGGGCAAATGAAAAAAAAATCAGACGATGCCTACTTGACAGATCGTGGTTCACTCTTTGAAGCACCCAACCAAGCTTGAATAGCAGCACGCAAAAGTGATCGATGTTTTCATTGCCCACTGGTCCGAATTTTTCGCCCATGCCATCTATCCTCACTACTGAAAACTAACGCCCTGCTCCCTTCCGATGCATAGTTCTGACCACATGCTTGGTTTGGTACTGCAATATACACAGTGTTAGCCAAGCCGTAGAAATACGATTTTTAACGAGTTTCTCGAGAATTTGCAGAAGAAAATTGCCTGAGACTGGGTCCGTATCAAGCGAGGAAGAGTGTTGGATGAATGGCCAAATCTCTTGTTTGGACAGAAAAAGTCTTAGAATCTAAAAGTTTGCTTCATTCTGGAAATGACAGTAAAGCGGTAAGATCGAGGAGTCTTGCGCGCAATTGATAGAATCTCGTAGTAGAATTGAACACATAGGCAGAAACCAAAAATGAAAAGCTTTTGAATCACTTGTAATTTTCTGCATTGTTTGGAGCTCGAAGGGTGAAAGACAAGAGATCGCCAATCGGCTCCACCCCCTGCAGTGAAGCGTGCATATGTTGCAAATGTCCGCGCGGGACCAAGGGTGAGTCGTGCTGCGGGTATCTGCCACAAACGCGACCTCTTGCTTATATAAGAGATGCGTCTGTTGCAGCTGTCCGCGCGGTGACTCTCCAGCAGGCGACATGATGTCCCCCGAGCTCATGGAATAGGTGGGAAAGTCAGATTTGCTCCGTCTTAATGGCAATGAAGTGTGGAAAAGTACTGTTTTGACAAAGAGTTATGACATTTTATGACATAACAAGGTGAAAGAATGTGACTTCACTTTGCCGTTAATACCATCCAACAAACACGCAACATTACAAAATGGTTCAAGCTTTTTAGATATACATAATTTGTAATGAATCGGTCTCGATTGCAATTTTCTCCTGTACATGTGAGACGCGACGTGATGTGAATGTCTAGAGAGTATGCAAATCATAGAAGGAGAATGTTCTTCCTCAGCCATTGTCCCATTTCTCACGAAGTATGTTGCTCTCCTGAAATTATAGTCCCATGCTCCACCTGGTATAGAATCAGAGATGCTTTGGCATTTTACATGTCTAGTCTATTATAGTTAGTAGCATCGGGGTGTGTGGGAGGAGCCGATTTGTGTGAACCCCTTCCACCTCCCCCGAAGAATGGGTCTCGACATTTTTGAACTTGGTTTACATGAGTCACAACACTTTGCAATTGGTCGTTCTTACCAAAATCTGGGTGTTTTGAGTCAGAAACGAGAAGCATTTGAAAATATTTTGAGGCGTCATTAGCGACATGCTCCTTCATTTCCAGGAAAAATTTATCGACCCCACTAGTTATATATCGGAAAGCGGGACTGCGAAAACGAAGCGAATTTTGAGTTGTATCCTGTCAAAAATGTGTGCTACCTCAACTATCTTTGTATGTAGAAAAACTTCGCTCTGTTCTGATAAACTGAATTGTAAAAGATGGGCAAGAGCCCATATATAACTAGTAGAAAGATAGGGGTGTTTGATTTCAATCTAGTAATGCCTTATTAGTCTCATAGATTTCTAGACCCATAACGGTATTATAGCTTATGAATAAGGGTGGCTAATAATTACTTTAGCAATTTTCTTTCAGTTTCAATTTTTGTTGATAAATCTCTTCTTTAATAGAAGCATCATGTAAGCCTATTTTCAATTCCCTTGGTCGTGAACGAATCATTTTCGCATTTTCTGTATTCAGCTGAACTCGGATCGGAAAGGGGCGATTTTAGACCAACTTTTCCAATGTAAATCAGCTCGTGTTGAAAGAGATTGGGAAATATCGTGGGCAGGCCCTTACAAGAATCGCCATTTGATATCAGTGATCTGAATGCGTGTTAGATCCGGAATTCTAATTTTAATGAAAAAAGGCTATGCGAGTTTAAATCTGCAACACTGTAACAATTCATAACTTCCCCAGTCCATCTTGAAATTAGTCCCCAGCCGAGCACTGCCCGAGTTTATGTTTTACTATGACGTCAAAAGTTTAGAGAACATTTGGCCGTTCGGCTTTGGTCTTGAACTTTCCGAAACACGATGAATCATTTATGTTTTGAGATCAAGCACGTCATTTTTCGATGTTGTCATGATGATTTCGAATTTTTTCTCGAACTATTCCTGCTGACACAATCCACTGGGCATCTTCATAACGCGTGTAATCATTATTTATTGTATATTGGGAGACACTGATTGGTTTGGATGACGGTATTGGTCCATAGAGTAATTCGGTGGACATCAAGAATCCTTCAAATGCCTTTCTAAAAGAGGGTTACTTTTGGATGCCGATTATTGTAATAAATTGAGAGAATTCTTTTCGCCAAGGTTTCCCAAAAAACCGACAGGGGTCTTGTTTCTTGATGCTTCATAACTCGGGCCTTTGATGTGGTTTTTCAAAACGAATCTTTGTTGCCTTCTCGAAATTCATGAGACGCCAAACTAAATCCGGTTTTTTCAAAATCGTTTATACGTTTTTTCTCGGAAATGACTGTTTATCTCAGCATAGCATACCATTGAACGTGTGATCCGAATTTTGGGTCCAAAGAAGCCAGGCAAATTTTTCAAAGTTTTTGTCGGTATTTTCTAAGCAGAATCTAGAGCAGTCTGCAATGAGGATTCTCGGCATTTGTTTTTTTGATGTCTGCTCCTGGCACTTTGAATCTGAAAAGACTTGCAATAGATGATGCATGATTATTCATGGAGGAAACATGTGAATCCGAAATGGAGTCTTTTTGAGGTTACGAACGTTAGGAATTCGAGAATACGTTTGAACATGAATTTCGTAAAATAGTTGTGATCAGTATAGAACAATGTGCAGCTGGCTTTTGCAGTTCGCCGACTACATCTCCATATGCCGCACATAAGGGCTTGACAAGTAAAGAAACTACTAAATTTCATTTAGATTATTGGCTGAGATTCAGCATGAATAGTGCTCATGATTTTTGCTGTTGAACTCGCACAGAAGGATCCCATGTGGGAAAAACGGAGAAGTGAGAAACTGCGATGCAAAATCCATCAATATAATTATACCCTTATAATTCGTTTGACATGATATTCTTTTATTTCAAGAAAATTTCTCCGAAACTTACGACGTCTGTCTGAGCTCAGAACCCTTTTTGGGAGATGAAATTAAACCCAACTGATGAATTCCCAACTCACTTCTTCGCTCTATGTCAAGTTCACACTTAATATGTCTTAATATATCGGTTTCGATCCCTAATGGCTTTGTGAATGCAGTAATGCAAAAATATTACTAGAGTGTAAGTACAGGTGCAGCACTGTTTCTATTGCAAAAAAAACTTTTTATTAATAGTTTTCTGTTAGTGGTTCCGCTTAATCAGATGGAACTATCGAAAGGGCGAGAGTTTCGTAAAAGCATGGCATATCTGTCTCTAAATTCATTCATGACACAGTATCGTCTTTTGAAAACCATGCACTTTTAGTCTGCATTTTTGCATTCAAACCTCTAGGGATACAGTAGCCGGTGCTTACAATGCAATGAGGCACAGTAGTTCGTAAAAGAAATAGAAATCAAAAAGTTAGTGCTGCAACGAAGAAAAGCTTGACCAACTTCGAGGCTACCACCACCCCGTCCTTTTCCGGGAAAAGATTCCGAAACTGGAAAATCCTAGAACTGAAATTCCTTTTCAACGTAAATAAGAAATTTTTCGAAAAAATTTTCTCTGGGCTTTTCAGGTACACAGCTTTGACACTGCTTTTATCAGGGGAGTATCGATCGTTTTATGAATATTATTTCTTGTCTTCTGAATGGTAGACTAGGAAATATTCTAGGCCAACGTATGAGTTTACATTCACAGCTAGTTTCATCGAATGAAGATCCACATGGTAAATGCAGAATAATTGCAATGTAGAGAGCATTATTATGCACCTCCAAGCATTGACAAAAGTTGCATAGAATGGAAGGAACAACGCAATCATTAAAGTTCACAGCTTCTCCGAAAAAAAATTTTATGTCGGGTCTCCACTTGGTTTACTTGATTTTGAATAACTTCTGAGGCATGTGCATAGCGCGGAGAACTTCTTCCCCGTTGGAAGATGTCCATGGAAGATAACACTCTGATCCCATAAATAGTAATAATCTTTCAGTGTACCAGGAGCTGGTCTTCTAATCTGCAGCATTATTCAATAACAATTTTTTAGGAGTGCCATGGTTTGTTCGCAAATTAATCGCTGGAAAAATGCAAAAAGGACAATTTCTGATGAAAGCTGATGGAGGAGATGCATACATGTAAGTGCAGATTGCCCATATAATGAGAGTAACACAACCTTATTCAAAATCAAAACATCATTCTGTTGTTGTTGGTTTTTCTAAACCAAAACTGCATCACTTACTGACGCGAAATTTAGCTACAACACAGCGAATGCAGCTCGTTCAATGGAGTACCATTTCAAACTCGGTGAGGAGTTTACAGATACCGGATTTGATGGAAAGCAACACAAGGTAAGCAAGATGTAACCATTATGGGGTATCTTCAACGATGTAGATAAGTCCACCAAAAGCTCGAGGTTTCAATCTCAAAATCAATTTTGAAAAATATCTAATCTCAATTTTAAACTATCCGCGTCAGCAATGCGGACTGCTGATATAAGGGGTAGATCAAAACAACCTAAAAAACGATCAAAGAATATTATTTCGTTATCATATTGTACGTTCGGGATTTTTTCAAGAGCTTTCGAATGTTAAAAACCCCCCTTTGCAGTTTTGTTGAAACCCATATATTTTAAAGTCAAAAATCCACGTTCTAAAATAGCGAATTTTATCTACAAGATTTTGTGGTGAAAAATTTTGACAGCTTGATGAAGTAACACGTCTTCCAACAGATTACAATAACTATGGAAGATGGTAAATTGAAAGAAAGCCACACTCAACTAGAGCGAGATACCGGCGGCCCGGACATCTTTTACTACACACTTCAGGACGGCAATTTGATTTCGGTAAGTGCGCTTAGAAATTCGTTGTAAACCCTTTCGTATAGTAAGTCCCGTTCGGATTTGTGTTATCCGTTTCTGCTCGCGCTTCTACTATTGTTTTTTGATCGTGCATTTGTGTTGTTTGCTTGGGGCCGAGCTGCTGCAGCTGCGATTTTACTGCTTTGAAGTCGGAGAGCTGTGCGCGTTTTCAATCTGGCCGGGCAACAAGGCACGCAAAAACACGCAAGTGTTCTCTGTTTTTCATGCTGTTCGCTCGCAGTCGCATGCTATTTCTGATCCAACCGAGAACTGAAGATGAATGATGGAGCAGACGTGGAAACCGCAACATTCAGTAGTCGCGGCATTGTGATGAATCTGCACTTTCATTGAAGGCCACTTTGTCCATCGAAAAACTACTCTGATACGGTATTGAACGTAAGTGTTCGCTTGTCGAAGCACAATGTTCGGAGCACCGCCAGCGAATGAACCAAATGTTAGTCTGGAACATGGGTCTTGCAACAAGCAAAAGCTCGCAATCCCTTCTAATTCAGAGAGAAGAAAGTAATGCGTTCTCTAGTAAATAGTGCTCAGACCAAAGATTATACTTGCCATATCGCGGCAACAAAAGCTGATGTAGACAAAAACTCTAATTATTTTTAGTTCTGGTTGCTAAGAAGGCCATAATGTCCCAAGATTTTTAACAATACATTTGTTTTCATTCTCTGACCTCTAACTATCAATATAGGTTGCTCCGGAAGTTCTGTCCGATTTGCAAATTTTCGGATTCAAAATGTTATAACTTTTTTTCAAAATTAGCATCGAATGAATTGAATCTGCTAGATTGAACGAGTTCAAACCCATATGCACAGTACACCCTGGGAAGTGGGAGAGGAAAATTAGAGAATAGAGGATGACTAGAGGAAGAATAGAGGACTAGAGGAAAATTTGAGAATTCTTTCATGCAGGAAATTCTATTTTGACATGCCAATAATCCAGACAAGAAAAGGTAGACATATACGGTTGCCATCACTGAGTGGCTTGTCCTTCAGAGATTATCTTTGGGTAAAAAGAACACATGTTGTCTTCTATGCATAAAACTTTTTTTAACAAAAGAAATATTATTTGAGCCCTCCTCCGCTCGCAACTATGCCACCTTTCTGATATTTGATTTTTTCTAACTTGTAGGAACGAAAATAGCCACATGGCTAATTATTCCTTGCTCTCGCTTTACTCTAACATATGCATTATCGCGCGGATTGTTGTCGCTTGTAGAATAACTGAGTTTTTTGGGGAGTAAGACAGTCTCTTTATTGAAGTAAAAGTGTGCATATGGTAGCCCATCACGCTCTTGCCCACTACACTATTTCACGTAGGCGAATTTGCGGACACTTCACAGAGATTTCAAGAAGCCTTTCCTTGAGCATGACTGCATTTTGGCAACTTGACTTCGGGGCTTGCGATTTCATCACTAAGAAGTTGCTTCATCAAAAATCAGTAAGCATAGAGGAAAGAGCAAGCAAAATGCTTTGAGATGGTTCATAATGCTGCGACAAGCGCAAAACTCTTAGGAAATAGCTGCTTTGAAACAAGTCAACTAAAGTTCAGACAGAACTTTTGGAACTAATAGAATATTATTGCTGAACAACACAAATCTTCATAAATTTTTGTGATATTGACTTTCTTTATTTGTCTGATGGTAAAATTTATAATAAACATGATAAAACAACACATTCATTCTAGAGTGAAAAATTACAGATTGAAACGTATCTCAAGCATTTTTGAACGAACTCTTTCAAATCTAAGGCAAGACTAATGCTCCGACATAATAATATGCCATTCACTGCAATTCTGGATAGGAGAAAAAGTTAGCTAAAAAATACTAGTTGTCCTGGGCAAGTGACAACTTTAGTCCAGCCTTTAATCCACCCTTTAAGACCTTACCCTTGAATTCGTAGTTAGAGATTATTTTCAAACGGAGATGATAGCTCGGAAAACAACTTCCGGAACGAGATGATTATGAATTTTGCAAACGAAAATCAGCTTTGATCCCATTGAAGGAGAAAATTGGAATGAGAACTATTGAAAAGGGTCAAAAAATTTGATACAAAATGCTTACAATAGGAGGTTTGAAATCAAATTAGTGATGGATTTCGAGTATTGTTGCTACAGCTTTTCTCAAAGAGTGTAGAGGTGTTTATCTTCGCATACCGGCAGACAGACATTAAAAGTCAACTTGAGTTTTCCTGCACAAAACGGTATTACAATTACGTGACATGCAAACGAACTTTGCTTGTTCCTCACTTTCACTAGCTTCTACGCTTGGTTTTTTTTTCACCGCCATGAACAAGAAACACTTCACCAACTATTAGGGTGTCCCAAAATTATTTACCGTTTTTACCTCAAACATCAGCATTTCTCAAAAACTGGGGCACCTTCAAAATTTTCAAATACATGATCGCACTTCTGTATGTATGAGCCATCTGATCATCACGTGAGTGGGAGGAGCTCAGAACTTCTAGGGGCGGAGTTTGCCATTTTACTCCATTTAATTTTTTCTTCATTTCTAGACATGGAAAAAATACGAAAATTGTATAATTGAATGTCCGATGTGTCAAATGCGGGGTTAATAAGGAATTTCTTAGATTTTTTGGAACGGAGATACGATTTTTGACAGTAAAGTCCGTTTTTGACTGCTGTCATATTTCAGCTTAAAACTTTACGTGGATTACGATTTGTGCAGACTCTTGATAGCCATTTTGTAGAGCTTGCTTCGCCCTATCGAATGGTTACTCAACCCTCATCAATTAAAGGATAGATACAAAAAGACGACCGTCGAAGTAAAAACGGTAAATAATTATGGGACAACCTAATATATACCAGATCGTGTTTTGAATATTAAGAAATCGGCAAGCAAACATTTTGAACTGATCATCCTTGTCGAATCTTGAGCAAATCAAAGACGTAGCATTTTTGAGTGCGGTACAGTTCCGCAGTGCAAATGGACAGTTCGCCTTTTTGCCCTCTATCCAGTCTTTCTGTACTCCTGTCATGATTGTTTGCATTTGGAAAAGTTTTATTCAAGTTTATCTCCAGCACTGATATAATATCTTTTGATGCTTCAGTCACAGCTGCAGAGTCCTCATCACCGAGGATTCTGTGCGTTTTTGTTTTCACGTAAGTATGAGTTCTAACAATAAGCTGAAAATCAAGCTCTGAAGTCTCTTGCTCCTGATGTGAGCTGCAGGTCGGCCTTGTTGTAATAGCGATTTTGTTGCTCCTTGCGAGCGACCGTCCATAGATCTAAGAATAGAATATTCAGTAAAACTAACCACTCAAAAATATTTTTTGAGCAGGTTTCATCCCTACAAGGCCTTGGAACAGTATTAATCATCTTTGCAAAAGATAGTTTTATTTCCTCTATATGAAGACTACATCGTTAAGGTTCTACAGATCAGAAAACGAGAAAATCCTGATCGCTCAAAACGAGAATAAATGTATGTATCAACAATGCCACATAAGACATTTCATGTGCGAACTACAAGTACTCTCGAAGGCTTCAAAACTATAACTGCAGTGCTGCAAAGTGCAAGACCGAGCGAAACTTTCTGACACAACCTCGCAACTTTTATTCATGTGCAGTCTGCAAGTTTCGCTCGAGTGCAGCATAGTCTTTTGAATTTGAGTGTGCGAGCATTCAACTTGCACTGAACAAGCAATGCCGGAAGGCAAACGAAATGTTCTACACCAGTACATGCTAGGCTCAATCTTTCTACCGGTTTCAACCATCAAAAAAAAACACTCGAAAGCTGATCAGTGGAAGATCAGTCGGTATGGCGCGCGAGCTGTCCTTTGAACAATTGATATTATATGCTGTTCCAGGACATGACCATTTCAGACTTGCGAGGCATCCAAGAACGGAAAGACTGCGGTCTGGAGAAGGGAATTCGTGAAGAAGGAATGAAGAATTTCGCTGCGTTCGATAAGCTTTATGTCCATCTTGTTTGGTGAAATCATAAAGGATTCAAGTGCAGACTGACATTCTCACAGAACATCTTGATGACAATAGAGAATCACAGAAACAGTATAATTGCATAATGTTCTCTACACAAAGAGTATGGGGCTTATCTTGTTATCTCATTTGTTGATACAACATGCGAAATTGCGTGTTTGCTCAAAAATGTTGGTTCTTTGCTTTCATGACACATCCCGATTATAAAACTGCTTTTTTTGCCCTGAAATACTACCGATGAAAGAACAAGCCAGAGTACAAGGTTCCACAGCCTGCCGTCTCCATTATCGTCAATTCAGGTGGTGTAGTCCACGTACAGGTGACGGTTTTTACAGCAGCGCACTCGTTGTTTGAGCTTTCACCATTTCCCCATTCACTAGTTCCACATAACCTTTGCGGCCGATGCAGCGCCGCTAGAAGACCGTTCCCAAGGTAAATTTCTGTCGCTTGCAGCTATTTCAATCGGAACTACAGCCGCAGTTGCGGTCGATTACTCTCTCGCCTGCCCTCGCTGTCTCTCGCCCACAACGTATGACGACTGAGGAAAGCCCTGCTTGCGTCGCACTCTGGAGAGAGCATCGACTGACGGGAGCGCGTTAGAGAGTAGCAGTAGCAGAAAGGGCAAAAACCAATTCGGCCTCCGAGTAGAGAGAGTGCCGCGAGGAGCGGCAGAAAAGCGAACATACGGAGACGAGAAATCGAATTCTGACGCCGATGCTCTGCTTGCACTTCTTTCGCCTCTCCGCTGATGAGTTGCTGCCTCGCGCTCGTCGCAAAGGCCAGCGATTGAAAGTGCGAACTCGCGCGCTCAATGGTAGATGTACTTTTATTGGCTGGAGGAATTCGCGCTCCCAAGCGCTGTCTTCGCCAAACACTCGGCAGATGCCAGCAACCCGGATGGCCGTCTGAATAAGTGTAGTGGAATCGTCAAGGAAGTATTAACTCATGCGCGTTGATTCTCAAGCAAGTGTCAGGTAATGACGCGGCGGTGCGGTGTGTCTTTGGCACGGAACGTGCAACCAGCGAGAACTCTCAGCTCGCACTCAGTTCGATCACGCTCGCGAAAGCTATGCGGGTGACGAGCGAACGAGCTGACGTGCGCCCACAAAAGTGCAAATGGGCAAAGAGCGCGCGCACCCGAACAAAGACCACGCAGTGTTGCCCCCTGGACCTCGCCGGTTCCTCGCCGCTGTGCTCTTCGTAGCATGCTCGTTATACTCTTGCCGTAGACTCTGCGGCTACCGTATGCTCTTCCATGATCACGTTCGCCCACTTCCGGCCTGCTTCAGCACCAGTTGTGAGTTCGTACACAGACACGAAGAATTTCTCATCAATCAGCCCCTCAATCGGTTTGTTAAGCCGTTCGGTTGCAATTCATCTGTGATGAAGGACGGTAAACACTGCATTCGCGAGTTCTGTGTGCATGTAGTAGAATATATGTGTTCTTCCACGCTAATTTTTTTGTAATTCGACTTGTGTGGATCAAACCTCTGCTTTTGAGGTTTGATTGCACCCAAACACATTGCGGCTCGAATGTAACACCAAAAGACCGAGTATTGCTTTGCTCGCAAAGATCTTTGCGACCTTCGACCCAAATTTAAAGTGAACAGAAATCAGCAGCTAACACAACGGCAAACCGTCACAATTTGTCTTCCTAAAAAGTTCTGATGAACCCACATTGACCAAAAATTTGATGTCCCGATCATAGTTATTTAGCCATAGCTGTCGCTGCTGGATGCTGAAACAGTCTCTGTCCAAGTACTGCAATCTATTCAAAAAGTTTCTATTTTAGAGCAAGTACAGCATGGCTTTCATTGAAAGGAATTGTATGAAGTTTTTAATCAAAACTAGGAACCTATACAGTTATATTCTATAATCCATTTAAAGCTTTCGGACATGTAAACTATTTTACGGATGTTTTGTTTGAAAGTGCTCTATCACCACTGTGCAAGTCTCCTAACTACTCTTCTTCATTAGAAATAAGTTAGCCTAACAATGATTTTCACGGCTTGGTGCAGTTCAGCCTCAGAGTTTGGCAAATATGATATTTCAAATGTGTAGAGCTGTGTGTTCAAAGTACGAAATCGTGCGTGGTCTTGTCCGACCCCAACCAATCATGGTCTTCTCGCATTTTCTCGTTGATTGTCGGCGGCTGCGTAGCCGAACTCGAACGATGCGTTTGCCGATGTTGCGTCCGTTCGCTGGGAAAAAAGCTGCGAGATAGTATCTCTGCAGGCGAACATCGCGTAGTCTGATCTATGTGAGACGCTCTCTCCTCGGTCTTCCGGCAAAACAAGAAGTGTTTTGCTGGCGAGGCGCTCTCGCAGCAGACGCATGCTTTGCTCCGATACTACTTATTTTGTTGTCCACGAGCACAGCTCGCTGGTCGCCGTCCTTAGCGCATTAAATGTCACTCTCTCATGGAACGGTTCGAACACCATGTCCCTTCCGGACGCAAGCACTCTCTTGCCGAACTCCTTTGAGCACGCAGCGTACTTCGCGTTCTGTCGACCAAACATCAGACATTACTTGCGCAGTCCATATGAACAGGAAGAAAGTACGAAACAGATTCCGTGTAAGAGTACGATTTTTCGCGGCGCGGCGCAGCTTTTTTTCTCCCACTACACCAGACTACTCTTCGTTCAACGCGGAAGTACTGTTTCGGAAAAATGCTAAGCGGAACCGAGTCAGAGAGTACAGAACTGAATCACTGCCTTGCGGCCTTTGTGATCGTGTTGCCCCGCGAATCGCTACGCGGAAAACGCGCAACTGAATCAACGCCGCGCGTACTTCACACCGTCGTACGTACTGCTTCGCGCTCGTAGGAGCCGGCGTCGAGTGCAGCGCGCGTTCCACTCTGCCACTTCTTTCGCAGCGTTCCTTCCACGTTTATGCCCCTCTCACTGCAAAGCAACTGTTTCAATATGCGGCATACAAATAAGCGACGTCCACACTTCCTTGTTCCCGTTGCTGCTGCTGCTGTGCTCGTTTGTCAGTCAATCTCCTGGTCGAAAGAAGAAGCACTTTTGCAAAACCGTTTGTTCGGAGGTTTTGGAGCTCAATGATTATCTGGATCCTTATGAAAGTTTCACTTTTTTACGCACCTAACTTCTGCTTTTTGTAAAATCATATGATTTTTTTTCGACTGCTTCTTTCTGCATTCTTTGTTCAAGAGACAGCCGACCGAAGAAGCGCTATAGTAGGTCGGAAGTAAGCACTGAGCTGTCGTTTTCCACGCACCTTGCATTTTTGCAGCCGTGATTTTTACAGCAATGTTTCAAAATGTTCAAAAAGAGCTCACTGACACTATTTTTACACACAATCAGCAGCATAACTGGCTTTCTCGTACACACACGTGTTCTATGGCGCAAAGCTGAATGCAGCGCGAGCCATGCCATCAAGCACACGCCGGGGCTGCTTTCGCTATGGTTGCTTTCGTCGGCGTCGTCATCACTGCCGCCGCCGCGATGGTGGCGGTGGCGGCGACGTCGACTACGACCGCACTTGTTTTTCTGCCCTGCTCGTTGGATGATCGCGTTTGCTGCTGTGAGCGGAAACAATGTCATCGCGAACACATCGTAATCGTTGCAGCGAACGTTGCGCTTGGACTTGCAAAGTGTCTGCTAAATCTACCCAGGAGCACGCATTAGTCTCTCAACCTATCCTCTAGAGTAATAATAGCTCTTTTGTCTCGAGTGTTCTAAGCAAAGAAATTAATCCCTACCTCTTTTTTTCATCTCGGATAAGTTACGCGTATAAACCTTTGCATACCGCCTCCACAGTCGTTCATAGCCTTTGCAGTGACATCATACGCACCCATACAGTGTGATCAAAATAGCATGCAAAGCTGAGGGCAGTTGGAGCTATTTTATGAAGCTGCATTTATATCATAAAAATAATGGCGAGCCCCCAATAATACGAAGAATAACAGTAACACCCCGACCGTGTACGGCATATTTCTTTCCCAAGTCATTAGAGCGTGGAACACTGTGAACAACTGCTCGATGCCATCTGAAAAACGTGCGCAGAGATCGTGCCTCGCACATAATTTTGATGGATGTGATGGTTCCTTCGATCTTTGTCATCAATTCACTCTCTTCCTCCACAGTTTATTGACCAAACATGAAGTAACGGTTTTTTCTCTGCGCTGATTTGTCGACTAGTGTGGATATGAACGGGAATGGCGAAATTCGTCAATGCGCACGTTCCAGCCGCTTTCGTGTAAAGTTCCACTACTTGGTAGCGCTCGCGCGGACTACTTCAAATACCTTTCTCGCTGCTGTGCAGGATTCGGCTTACATCCAAGTTTTTGTGTAGTTTATTTCAGATTTCTTTCTTTAGAATCCCATGCGACTTCGAGCGTGATCACGAGGCGTACGTCTTGCCACGCCCGCTTCTCAGCAGAAGCACGCCCACACCGTGCTGCTCTCGGCCTTTGATCGGTCACTCTTTGATTCATCGCCTGCTCGTTACCGAGGCTGATGATGCTCTGGGGTGTAGCTCGAAGACAGCTCGAGCTATTGTATCGGGGGTGTTCGCGAATCGCATTCCACTACAGCATCGCTGATCCGCATAATGCTGTGAACTCGGAAATCACGGCGGTGTTTTTCCCAGCAGGGCACATCTGGCATTCATCGCCCACCCGTTCGCGTTTGACTGACTGGAGAAACGCTCCCTCTCGCGATTGTCGGGTGAACTCCGCTCATTGTTTCCTTCTTTCCCACCTCATCAGCATAGCCGAAACGTGAAGTTTGCCAAGTGCCCACGTCTTCTCACCGGCAAAAGCCTTGCTGAAAACGTTCATTGTTCGACCAGTTTTTGAGGACAATAAATGGCACGTCGGCGTTTCGTCGAAGAAAAAACGGCGCAAGGCAACTTTTCGTTCCGTTTCTGTTTACGATTCAATCTATGTTCGACGATTCTTGTGCGCTTGCTGCTTACGCTCCGCCATTGCATGTCGGCGCGCCGTCCCAAAATAGTCGGTCTGCGAAAAACAGAAACAAGACGTCACCAAGCCATGCCATTGCCTCCCGCACCTCCTCGCACTTCCTGCAATCGCTATCCATTTCATGTGTACAAAAGACGAGGTCATGCAACAGGTAAAAACGAGACAAACTGCGTTTGATGCTGTCGTCAAGTGTGCACAATACAAATTTGGTTCCAACCTGTGCATGGCGTTTCTTCCTTGCCCTGCCATGCGTTCGCTCCTAGAAATCTCGCAGATACGAGATTGTTAAGGAGTATCAAACCTACATGTGGGCAGCGCCAGTTGAGTTCGCAAAGTTTGCCAATCACAGACGAGGTGTTGCGAGCTACAAGCGCTCTGAGATGAGAAGACGCGACTCCAGCGCTTTTTCGCTCTCGCCTGTGCTGCCTCTTAACCAGTCACACTGCCCTATCACGACGATGACGGCAATGTTTGTCGTTCTTTGGCCACGACGAAGTGCTCGGTCGGAATTTCTGGTCGTCGCGTACTTGCGAGTCTACGATCGCGCTTTTCTATCTGTCGCTGCACACGTGAAATGATCTCCGCCCCCCGTTTTCATACGCCAGCACACTTCATTGCATGTTCTTTGTTCTCCTAGCTATCATTTCGGGTGATGGGTATCATGGCCTGATAATCCCTGACCAAAGAAGTGGCGTGCGGCTGTTTTCAATTCCTTATCCTAGTTCCTCCTTGAGCAGTAAGTCAGCTGTTCATGTACCTTTGGCTATCATTGCATCACTGCACGCTGTTTGTGCAAGGCACTGTTTGGTCTCTGGTTTATTTTTCTCTTCTCATCATTTCTTTTCTTGATCCATAGTGTGGCATCATCAAATGGTAGTACTGTTTTGAACTTTGCGCTCACTCTATTTATGTCATGTACTACAAATAGATTCTTTAATCATATCCGTTACATCCCTTTGAAGAACTTGAATATTATCCTGGTATATGTTGAATAATTCAAACAGCGATGAAAAGATTGTGTACGGCTTCGACTACGACCTTTGAACGCTTTTTTTTCTACCACGTTCTCCAAAGGACCTGCCTTTAGAGGGCGAGTGATAACAATATAAACTTTGCCCCGTTATCTTCTCATAGTTCATTTCATAATACCACTCGCTACCTCGTCCCTGACCATTCACCGATTCATATCCGCTCGAGTGAGAGCACTTCGGCTCTAGGCGACGGAGCGACGGCGATGGCGCTGGCGATGGTGCATCGTATCCGACGTGTTTTTCGAACGTATTCTCGAAATCCCAGAATGTGTACACAGCGTATGAACGAACGTGATTTAGTCACGCGTTGATTGCAATCGCGACTACTCCTATTCGTTGGATTCCGTTCCCATTTGGTCATTGATTATGATCGGAATTCAAACTTTATGCTCTCGCTTTCCGTTACATTTCCTTTCACTCTGCCTTATATCGTAACGGAGCCTAGCCTCTCTTTCTGCTTGTTTTCTCCAGTCGTCCAGCGACCATTGTTGTTAGAACGAAGATCTTTGGCCGGGCGGGTGGTCGTCCGCGACGTCGCGCCGACGCTACCTGCCCGCCCGTCCGTCGCCGATGTGGTCTTTGATCAGTGTTTATCGCACAGGAATGACGGACGCCGGAGCCTCGACCGCGGCGTTTGCCTTCGCCGCGCTGATGGGCTGCGGATCGCCGAATCAGCCAGCGTTCTCGATGGAGTCACTGCTTAAGCCAGAGATCTCCGATTTCTCCCCGAAGGCCACCACTAACAACGAAGAGTCTACTATATGGTGAGTAATTGTTTTCGCTTATGTTCGTTGTTTATCTTCTTCGCATCGTGGTCTTTGCTTTCGCGGTCTTTGCTCTGCTGTGTGCGTGTGTGTCTGTGTCTGGCCCCATTAAAGATCACTAATCATCCGCAAAGGAATTCGCTATCTCTCCGCCGCCGCTTCGTATCTTATCCGCGTTTGCAAAGCGATTATTGCTCTTTCATCGTAATTTCTAGTCTCAGTATTAAACTGCGTTACGCCGCGCGTGCATGTGAGGGTGTGTTTTGGCTTGAGCTCGCCTATACGGACGGGGCTGTTGAGTAGCTAGTTGTTATGTTTACTTCACTGGCCTCGATTGTTAGTTCCTTGCCGTCGCCAACGATCCTTGTTATTCGCTCTTTCTCTCTCTATTTTTCGCATGTAGTCGGCGCGCTTCTATTTGGCAGACGGAAACGCACAAACAAATGATGTTTTTGTGACACGCTGGCAGCTATTGCCCGACTGAGAATCAAGGGAAAGAGCAGCGGCAGCGGAGTACGACAGCGCAGGGAGCGAAGCTGCAACAGCATGCCTCTGGGGAAAAGCTCATTGCGAAGGGGTTACAGTCAGCCCTCAGCGCAGTCGTAAGTACAAAGAACGCTCAGCTGATCCGCGTGTTCGGTCGCCGCGCTCATTAATAGCTATCGCTGTCTTTAAGTAGGTGGATACCTAACTGCTTCAGTCAGGCCGGCCCGTCGCGCTTAATCTGCTGGTGATCGGCGCGGATAACACGTATCCGAAACATTGCGAAAAGAACTCCGCTTAGGATATGCATGCGGGATCTCGCCTGAGTCGTTTAGTAACGTTATTGAGATTAGATGAGTGTAATGGACGGATGACCTCAGGTAGGCGATAAGATCTCTGCGCGACCGCACTGCGCCGTCTGCCGCCGTCTTCACCAATAGCCAGCCTGTCGAGGGTAAACGTTGGTCTCAGCGATCGGACCATGTGCGTGTGGGAACCAATAGCGCGAGAACAGTGGACGGATACTCAGTACATTTCATAAGCATTCTTACTATTCGTTGACCAGGGTTAATACGTGTGATGAATGAGTGAAACATAACGATGTACTTTCAAAACATATTGCATTTCTCTTTGTTAATGAACGCTGTTTGCAGCTCGGTATGTTGTGATGAAGCAAGCGGACGACATTATGGCGTCGTTGCCTGCTTTGGTTGCAAAGGATTTTTTCGGAGAACTGTAAGCTACCATGCCTCTCAGCGATTGCAAGCAAGACCTACTTCACTTTAGGTGCGTGCGGGGAAGAATTACATTTGCCGTTATGACCAGAAATGTCGCATCGACAAAGGTGAGTGATGCTCGATAATCTCTTCCACATCATGTTGTGTGCGATGATAGTCAAGTCAAAGATCATACATTACCTCACGCCTTCTAAACTGATGGCTTAGCTCCTTGCCTTTTGCATAGCTGCAGTGATTCTTCGTCTGCAGCTGCGCGTCCTGATCTTCGACCTCTTCGTTATCTCTTCGCGCAAATTTGAACTTCCGACCATAGATCAAAGTCGTTTCTTCACTCCTTCTTGAACTTTTCAATCCTTTATCGTTTGTTTAAAATATCATCATACCATCATCACGGTGAATATGCTCTTCTGCGCTCACTTAACCTAAACTGCTCAACATTGTTCACGCGTCGCACCGCTCGAGCTACGCCTGAGAAAAACAACCATTTCTGACTCACTTACTCACTCTTTGTCGACACACGCACACATACACAATGGGGCACCAAGCATCAAAACACCATCGGAATTTACGATGCACATTTTAGCTGGACGAAACGTCTGCCGTTCGTGTCGATTTCAAAAATGTCTCGATGTGGGAATGGAGCCAGATGGTGGGTGGCTTTTTCGTCGATACGCCTTAAACAGTATTGATTTGAGGATTGGGTGTTTGTGGGAATCTAATGTCCTTTCACTTGTTGGGCTTGCTGGAACGGTGTAGGCAAATTGTTGCATGCAGAGACATGGTGCCATTGCGGACAGTGTCTGTGCCTTTCGAATAAAGTGCCCCTTACCTCTTTTACTGACATATTCTGTAGGACACGAGCTTTTCAAGTGGACGCAACGCCTCCATTCTCTGCGTCCGTTGATTTGCGTGTACTTTCTTTTGCTGAAGAGTGGGGAAATGAGGGTTTTTTTCAGTAGATTACGGGCGAGAAGTCAGCGCAAAACGTCGAATGTCGAAAGTACCAGATATACACACATCAATTCTTTAGCCATCCGACCCGATCGAGACAAAACGGGCCGACAAAAGAATCCAAGAAGAAATGGCAGTCATTTGATAAATGGCCTCGACCCGGCTGTTGTGAAAAAATTATCTAGCGCTTCTATGCTTGGTGATTTACCCTGCGTCAATAAAAGAGTGGGTTGAAAGTTCAAGTATCTGGGATATCATTGAGATTTCGGTTTGCAGGATGATTCAGACGACAATCCTACTTCACCGTCATCTCGCGCTGAATCGGCTCCAGCTGTTGACATTCGCCCCACGCCTTGTGACGAAATCCTCACAACCCTTCGGGAAATTGAGCAGATTTGTCTGCAATTGCGAGATGTGGCCCCTGTGTCGCCTATGGCTCGACCCACTCTTCTAGACTGCGTTCACCGTCCTTCGCTCATCACCCCCAGATCTCAGGTGGGCGTGTCAGGACCAGGACTTGTGTCATTCCCTCCTCCTCACATGGACATGAGAGAAAGAAAAGAAAAAACAGTAGCTTTCTTAGTGATACAATTTTCGGAATTACCAGCAAAAAAGATTTCCTATTGCTCTGGCGTCAGTCATACACATCTTGCATAATTTCAGCTCATATTTGATGGTTCTAATGGTCCGGGAAGTCTCACAACAATCTCTGAAAATGTGCGACGGATGATTGTGCTGGTTTTCGACTATGCCAACACATTAAAACCGATTGCTGACATCTTGCCGGAAGAAAAGGTATCGAGCCTCGAGTCGGTCGTTTTTTGAGCGGTAGAAATGTGGCCCGTTCGGTGTCACTGTTCAAACACAAAGTGTATTCTGCTGTTTGTATAAGGACCAGACGTTCTCTCGTCGAAAACTAAGGTTCAACACGTATGTAGCACGTTCGACACATACATCATGACAGAACGAACGTACGGGAATGACTCCGAAAAAAAAACAATCTGTTGAGAAAGCAGTTGGGTACAAAGTTGCTTGTAGAGCTATCTTGTGATTCCCATTTTCTAGCCAGGATGCCTGCTGTTGAAGAAGCATATGCAGTTACTCTACAAAATTTTATAATCTCTTGCTCAGAGTAGGTACAATAGCTTACGAGTATTCGCTTTCAGAAAAAAAACAACTTTGAAAATGAATTTGAAAAACCTAAAAAGACCTGCAGTTTGACAGAGATTTTGCACACAGAAGTTACTGTGAATGCCATCCCAACTGATTGATAAAATTATGCGGCAAAGACTCGCATTAAGACAACCGTATTTCTACGTAATATCGCTAGAAAGTTTCACATAAACCTTAAATTAGTCAGCGTGGTTGATGGCACATCTGGTTCACCTCCACTTTCTACAATTCAATATTACCGTAATCACGAAATTGTGTACAGTCGACTAGTTTTCCGCTCAATATAGTGTTCTTGTACTGAAGGTGGAATGCGGTAAAATTTGCGCGTGAACAAATAGCTACGTGTGACGCCGACCATTTGCGCGCGCAAAATGCTGGCGTTACTGCGTGGCTACTTGCTCACGCGCAAATTTTACCGCATTTCACCTTCAGTGCAAACACACTATATTAAGCGGAAAATCAACTCGGCTGTATCAATATTCTGTTGTACACTTTTGCAAGTTTCAAAATCACGCTCTTCAGTGCGGAACGAGTGATGTTTGCTAGCTAGTCAAAATTAAAGAAGTTTCGAACTCACAGTTACAGAAACGCATCTTTGATCTATACCGCCAAATTTTCATTCTTATGATGCTCCCTTTTGGAGGAAAGTTTCTTTCTAAGAAATTTTCAGCTCAAGAGTCGAGCTGTGGAGCGTGGACTGGAAACATAGTTACAATGATCTGGTTGGTTCTATCACAGTTTTGTGATTGGAGTCGTTTCAGATTGCGTTGATCCGAAATTGCATCACACCGTTCGCGCTGCTGATGCTGAGTTTCTACTCGTCAAAGGGCGATTCGGACGCTGTGTACCTACCATCAGGCCACACGCTTCCCTCGGACATGTCGCTGTTCTCTTCGGTTCTTGACGACGATAAGCGCCATCTGGTTATGATCGGCAAGTGCGAGTGAGTGTCTGTTTGCTTGTGTTAATCTTTGGTCTTGATCTTTGGTCATTGCGCGCGCACTTCGCGTCTAATCAGTCGCGCACGAGTTGACGACGCGCCGCGCAGGTTTGGCGTTTGCGAGCCTTGCAGCTGCTGGTCTCTTGCGCAGGAGATGATAGAGAAGTTCACACGACCCATATTTTTCGCGGGTGTCGCACTCTTATGCAACTTGAATGTCAACACTGAAATTGGCCTTTGATAACTGCAGAATTGTTCTGCAGAATTTATAACCATGTATTTGACATGAGTACAATGCGAATAGGATACACGTAGTTGGTAACTGTGTGGGCGCTGAAGGTAGTGTGTGATGAGGTCATTGCAGTAGCTGTATGATTAACATATTTGCGCTGGCATCTAAAGTACAGTGATCTAATTGCGAAGTGTTAGTGTTCATCTGATGACGACGTCCATCATTTATGACGCCAAACGGTATCCAAAACGCTTTAGTCATGGCGCGTCGTCAGCCGTCGTCGCCGCCGCGCAACCGGTTCCGACGTCACAAAACGGATATCATTGCTACTTTGCGCATTTGATGTTATGTGAATACCAGAGATTCTTGAAAAGTGTGATAGTGCTCGATATATAGAGTGTGTGGACAGTTCGGTCAGGATTGAGGGTTAGAGCATTAATTGTCTAGATTTGTTGGTCTTTCGCCGCTTTCATCGCAAAGGGTGTAAAAGCGCGACACTTTCGGCGATCAAAGAACGTGCATCGCTGCGAGCGCGGCGCCACCATTGAAGGATAGTGCGCGATTTTTGCTGCCTGCTTGTCATGCACATGATCATACATAAATACGTGACATTTGCGGGAGCTATGAATTCTGAGCGTTCATATGGCGTTCGCTCGAACATTTTTTCAACTGCGGAAAAGTGCAATTTCAGGGCAGTTCGCCGCGGATTGGTCGATCAAGTCATAAACCAGTTGAGAAAACTGCATGTGACCGAAACTGAACTTCTTGCACTCAAGGCCATCATGGCTCTCGATCCTAATGTGAAGGCTTTGTCGATGAAGTCATCTGGGCATTTGCTTGGTAAGTACAAGATCTTCTGAGAAAAAAAACGAGTCAAGGTTACTAGTACGATTAGTTAGTCTTCTTGGCATTTCTGCGTCTTCTTTTTCATGCACACTGCACGCTGCAATCGCGGCTGCATTATTTTGCAAAGAACAATATCAGCAAATTTTGAGTAGGTGAGTCATTGGCCACAAAGAGTCAGGGCTAATATATCCAGCATCTTTCTATATAATCAGCCGCGTTCTCCTGCGATGATTTTGGAGAAAACAGGTGATTGTTGAGTCTAGTGACTCATTTATGCTATGAATGCTCTGAACCGGAGTGTAGAAGAAGAAATGAAGTCCTATTTTGCTCATGTGCTGAACGAAAATAAAGTGGGCCAATCCCATATTCTTACTGCCAATCTATGCAAAGCGCAGCTACTTGTATGATTCAAATAAAATGCAGAAGTGTAATTATCTTTTTTGTGCTGACCTTTCATTTAGCCGGCTATCTCAATCGTGTCTTGGCTCAGAGGTTCACACATTTCTACGGGAAATAGCTATATACGATATAACACGATATAGCATTCATATCATGAACAGATGAAAGAGCAACAAGGCTAATTTCGCTTTCGCGAGTGCATGATTTATTTCGCTTGTATTGCAGTTGGACGTGAATCAGTGCAGAATGCATTGTTTGCACATTTGATGGCGAGGTATCCTGCTTCTGAAGCCACCGCTCGATTTGGTCATCTTCTGCTGTTGATCGCTTCTGTTACGGTATGTTGATTGACATTTCTATTTTTGTCGTTCTAGCGTAATAATCTGCAAATCGGAAACCTTCATTAAAGCGATAAATCTTGCGCGTTCGGATAAGAAGTTTGCGTTTTTTCTGCAGTTGATTGCTTCTTGACTGATAGAGGACGGTAATTGTGCGATCATCGGTCGTCATGCAGCGTTAACCTTTGAGATCGCTGCGTTATTTACGGCGTCGCGATCGTTGGTATGCGGAAGTGAGATGATATCGTGACGGGGGGGGGGGATGAGGAATTAATTCCAATCAGGAGTTTTCTTGACGAATGTTTTTCCAGAAAGTCGCATCCGCACTCACGGGCCTGCTACAATTTGGCAAGGACATATCGTTGCCGGTCGATCCACTCCTGGACGAGTTGCTTATGAAAGAATTCTGATACGCAGCGACCCGCTAAACCTCTCATCAATCTTGCAATTATCAGAACTTAATTTTTGCGCTCTTAAATAACGGGTCCTAAACAATCTATTTTGATTAGGTTTTTGTTTGTTTATCTTGTTTCTTTCTCGTTTTGATACTGATCAATCATTGCCAAATTTACTTCGCAGTAGAGTTGTGATAAATTGCTGTATCCTTTCGTTTGTCATGGTATATTTTGTGTAGCTCGTTCTTGCTCAGCTTTTCTCTCGGTTACAACGCTGTGACCCTCTCATAGACACACTTTCACCAACTAAGGGTAGATCTTGTTTGTTTTACGTTACTTTATGCTTGTTCTGTGTGCGTTTGTGTGTAAGTGTAGTGCATGTCCGTCTCTTGGCCGATCATCAGACCCCGTTCTTTCACCCGTTATCCTGGGATTTGCCTGTTTTGCATTATATTTTTGTACATCATGTACGTACATGTGATGTGCGTATGTAAACTTCTTATATACCCCGTATAGTCCTGACAGTTCCTTAATCTTCATTTAAAACGAATAGCACATGAAACTGCTGCAACCCCGTGTCATCTCTCTTTCTTGATCAGTCATTGGAAGTATTCGGCAATTTGTGATAAGATGAATTTTAATAAAGTGTTACAACGTTTTGAAGTGGTTTCTTCTACAGAAAATGATCAGTACTCATCATCTTGCCTTTGCCACTGGTAAATTTTTTCCACAACCAGTAAAAAAAACGATGTAACTAATTCCAGCAATCATGTAGGTACAGCTGTTGACATTATAGCTCTATGTGGTAAAGAATAACATAGCTTTTTGGTAATTACGGGATGTATTTTCATTCTAGCAAAATCTTTGAATCTCATTGTGGACATGGGCTTTGGATGAATGATTCATCGAACCGTCATTCAGCAAGTAAAAGTTTGGGGTTCAAAGTTTTGATCCTTAAACTGATCAGACAGACACTCATGAACCTTCCGTGATGTAAAGATTTAGTTTTGAAAGAGTATGTATACCATTTGTTAACAAGCATAATCCCGTATTTTACTCAACCGTGACACCAAAGACATCCGTGTTCTTTATAGCTGTACCAAGGCTCAAAATTTTACATCTTTCACTAACAAACAATTTCTTCGGCTTCAATTGCTAGGAGTCGTCGAGTAAGTAAAGCAGTATGAAAATATTTTTGATATAGGCTCTGTTCCATACAAACCCGTGCACATCTTTATGTTTCATACTGTTCAAGAAATTTCAAATTTAAGCAGTGTGAAAATGCAGAAGAAATTTTTCTATGAATGAAAACTTGCTGAAAGAAAATCTAACGATTCAGCGAAATATTCCTCCAGGAAGAAGCTACGTAAGTGCTAACAGCAACGTCATTTGCTGAATCACTGGTTATAATCATCTTTTTCACAGCAAATCGTCTGCTGATGAATCATTTCGCGCTGTGGGAGCGTTCTGTGGTATGTTGTTGCGGGTGTGCAGCGATGGCTGTGCTCAGCCGCGGTTCACCAATCTCCTCTCCTACGCGTTCACAGTACACCTACGATTGTGTAGGATGTTGGTCGCTCAATGATTTTTCCTTCCTTATCGGAACGTCGCAAGCAAAGGTCGAATGAAACGGATTTCGTGGGAAGAGAAACCATATAAATACCAAGGTTTGCAACAAAATTGTATGAACTGTGCAAGGCAGGAAATGAATCTGCTGAAAATATCGCCTGAACTGATAATCAGTGCCTTTTATGAATGAAAAAGAGTAATCATGACGAAGCTGAATAATTTTTTTAGGAATTCAGGAAAATTTTCAGTGTTGAACCATCCATTGATTGAAGAGGAGACAGCTAATGTGAGAAGATCTAAGCTTTACTGAGTTCTGTGAAAGTTAACTCCGTTGCAAACCATTATCCGTAAGCCTAGTCTCACTTAAATTTACCCCTCGAAATTCAAAGGAATGTTTCAGTATAAATTACATATTTTCGTTTTGTATTATAGAAATTACGTAATAATTGTACATATCACAGCCAATCCGAAAGAAGCGCTAATCAAGAATTAAATCCATGAGTCGTAATTGTTCGCGGAAACATGTGATTACCACATATAAGTTCTTCGTTGGAAAGCGGTGGCCATGAGACAAAAAAAAACTATGTGAATGTTCCTCTTCAACGGTATGACGCAACGCAATGATAACAATAATTTCGCTTTGTGCAAAGCCGAAAAGTATAGGCGATTCGTAGCACGCAAAGAATGCGGACGATCGGCGTCTCCCTGATCGAGCACTCTTTCGTTTCTCTTACCATCTGTTGTCTCTCCCATCCACAAACTATCTTCGTCGAACGCAACGGCGACCAGTCTTTGCGTGTCATGAAGCGCCTATACCTGATCTCCTCTCCTTTTGAATATATCAAATCGAATGTTTTTGCTGAAGCGATGTAGGACCTAGAGATCAACTTAAGATTGCAACAAGAGTAGGGAAACGAACTCCGCTAATTGGAGCCCCTCCGCGGACTACTGGTCCTGCAACGACATAAAACAGTATTGCAAAAAAACTAGTTGCCAGCGAAGGAGGGCGCAAACTGACGGACTACCCATTGCGATATGCGGAGCGCCCCAAAAGTAATTACTACTTTTCAACTGACGATAGCTTCTCCCCATAAAGTCTTTTCCTTAGCTTCAGGTACCATTCGGTAGGTTTTCGAATCCTTTTTCCGAACAAGACCGAGTTCGGGTTTACATGTTCTCAATCGCTTTTTCGATAACGCAGTATGTTTTGTGCAATAGCAACAGCGACTTGATTTTTTTGAAAATTTTTTGGAACGAAATGTTTGTCTCGCAAGAACCGAATAATTTCTCCAGAAATGAAATGTTAAATGCAGAAACACATAGTGATTCCGTATTGGTATTGAAATTCCTAATTTCAATTTCAAGATAATGTCAAGGTACAGCACTGAATGACCCAGCCAAATACTTCTTGAGATATCACCGGTCACTGAGTTCATTGAGGCGTCCCAGTGCAAACATCCTCATTATTTTGAAAACTATCAGATCAAATTTATGCTACGGACATCTCTTTTCAACAGTTAATTCATATTTTTTCGAAAACCCATAATCCTGAATTTTGGTCTTGTTCCGAAGACCAAAATTCAGGACCCCATTGTTCCGAAGACCCCACTAAATACGAATTTTGATCTCGGTTAAGCATTATCGGCGCTAAACTTTGGTCTTGCAATAAACAAATCTCACTACTGAAAAGAGCAACCTTGAATAACCCTCCGAAATTTGATCTTGATTGGAACAATTTCGCTACCGAACGTTTCTTGCAAGTTGTCATGCAAATCTAGGTAGTCTAGCAAGACTTCTTGTGAGCATACATTCAAAAATGACCTACGATAAGTGTGTACCGAGATCCAACATACGCGTTTATTTTCTATCTCAGTAAAACTATTTGCAAATAAAACCTATAGAGTATCTGCCTAAAACATCTAATGTCTATGTCCACGCCTATGTGATCTTCCTCCCTTTGCTTTCCTTCTGTTTGCAATCCTCTTCCTGCAAATTCATAATACGCTTATGGCATCAAATTCACAGCCGGCTTACTTTATACTAGAATTTCCCGGATTTTGGTGGGCACTGGGACTGTTCTGTGCTCAATAGAATGAAAAGCGGGTTAGAAAAAAGGCTATAATCAAACCTGTGAAGTAGTTGGTTCTTCATCACTGCCGCAATCGTAAGCGATCTTGTAGTATGCTGGATTCATGGGACGTAACCCCACTTCCTTAAAAAATATTGCTGTTCAAAAGATAAAAAAGAAGAGGCAAATTACTGCAAGCTCACCTTGTACAGTAAGGAGTTCACATTCTGAGATAGCGGTGTGCCAGTGGACGCATTTAAGAACGATGGGGTGTTATGAGTGTAACGACGAGTAATCTAAAAGACATTTTTTTCTTTCTATTATTGTGCTGTGGGATTCCATTGGTGCTTTGGAGATTTCCGAAAATGCCACCGTTACGAAGTGACTGAAATCTTACTTCATTCGTTACTTCGCTACTTCCCTTTCTGCTTACGCAAACGCAGTGATTTAGTTTGAGGAGGAGGATTCCCCTCAAACTCGTCCACCCATTCGTAATCTGAGGTTGATAAGCTTTTGAATGAAATATTACATGTTCTGGTAGGATTTTTACCAGGGTTCGCATAGACGAATTCCGAGTTTGCGTCGTCCTCTTCTTGTTCTGGAAATGTGGGAGTGCTATTTTTGCTGGACCCTTGCTGAAAATTGCTTCTTAGCTTATTTCTTCACAATTTCCAAAATTTACTATCCAAACACCCGCTTCAAATCCTCGAGTTTGCGGTTCATCCAGGCCACATCATTGCGTCTAAAGGCTTTCATGATCTCATCGATCTCCCTAGAATTCTACGACGTTACTACACCTTCCTAATTTTGTATGACTGCAACCAACTCTAGATCCTTCTTTCTAATCAATTCTTTTCCAGCATTGATTTCCACTTCGCTAAGCCTTGCCTCCTTCTGCGGAACAGCAGCGGGGGGTGAAATTATCAGTGGAGAAACGCTAAAATACAGAAGATCCTCGAGCATACTCATCGTGGACTGACCTTTGCACAGCCCTCGAATCTTCTAGCTTATCGCTTTCAACCAACGGTGGTGTTTGGACACCCCGTCCAGTTACAGGTGTTGTCATAAAGCTTTCCTGGGCCTAAAATTTCGTGACATTAACCAAAGCCTGACGACCTTAGCGCTCCACTCAATTAAAAAAGGAATTGTTAATTTTAGTTCGAGAAAGCTTTTTGTTCGATAAAAGCCTCTCACTATGAAGACTTTTGCGGCTAGTGGTACTGTGCAGTTTGATCCTCTACTTTGATGTTTTAATCATTCTCAAATCTTTCCATTGTTATGATTTCGTATCTGAAATCACGACAACGGAAAGATTTGAGAATTTTCAAAGACTGAGCGAGTGCGCGCTGACCTTGTCAAGAGCAATCAACACATGTAGACAATATGCGTATTGATCGTGCTTTCTAGAAAAGGCCGATTAAGGGTTGCTAAATGGGAGGGATGGGGGTTACGCTTACCAAAAGAGGCGTGGTTGGTAATAAACGAGCCAACCTGGGCAGTACCCTCAAAAGTGTGTAGCATTTTCAAAAAAAAAAACGATATCTTGGGACAGGTCCTCACCTCTATAGCAGACTTATCCAGTGTCTCATCTGTGACCCGTCGTTCCCTCTTCCTTTTCGTTATCTAGAAAAAAGTAGGCAAAAAAATCTGACGCACCCAACCAAGATGACTGAAATATAATTTGGAATCAAACTAAAATTTGATTATGCTTTTTGTTAGATATATCTAAAGTAGCATTTTTAGTAAATCTTAGAAATCTAATTTGGAACAAAATCAATATGTCAATTTGAAAATTCGAAATTTGTAACTATTCGCAGAGATATCCAATCACTGCCAGCTTCTCTTAGTTAGAGTATGTCATAAAACAGCCAGAAATAAATTTAAGTTTAGTAGACGTTTCAGCAGTATTAGTAATCAAAAATCAAAAATCGCTTTTTGTATCTTTCTCTTAACCAGCTTGTATCTTTGGGATATGCCTTCAAGGAATTCCGACTTGAGCTTCTTTAAAAGGAGCAAGGTTTTTCATAATTTTGCATCAACCCAATACAATATTTGATCTCGGCTTTCAATCAAAATGTAAGAGAAAGTTGTTTGTTTGTTTGCTTTTTCATAGGGGCATCCCTATGCACAAATAAATAATATAATTAAATAAAAAACAGAATAACTGCAAATGGTCAGTACTTACCCAATTCCACAATGATCGAAAAATTCCCACAAAATTGTCCATAAATTTTTGAAAGCAGCTCCAAAGAGTGCGGAAAAATGCGCACAGGTAGTTGCCCATAGCCGGCACATCTGGCGAGATCAAAACTTCCAGGCAGTGCAAAACGCAAGGAGTACATAACAATTAACGAAAAATGAATTGGTGAAAAACCATCCCTAATTGTGCAGTTTTGCTCTACTTGTGAGACTAATCAATCAGCTAAGTCGTGATTTTATGTGCTATGCATGTAACTGGGCTCCTCTCCTCTTCTGGGGAATCTGTTTGATCTATGGCGTCATGGAATTTATCGAATATGCTGGTGCCATTGATCAGTGTCTCGCACGTTTGAGAGGTAATGGCATAACTAAAAGCTCATTTCTACTCTGCGATCTTTTTTTTGACGTTTTTGAGCTTATTTTCTGAATTGCTAATCACAGCGACGGAGTAATTTTGAAAAACCTGTATTTCATCGGGTTTCCATTGAAGTAGGGTCAGCCGTGTTCTTCAAGGTCTTCTCCAGCTTTTGGTCTCCAGCCAGCCGTAATTCTTTTCAACAACAATACATTTTACTATTATTTGATAGTAACCTTTTGTTCAAGAAATCAGCAGTTAGACAATAAAACAATGTGTTTACCCGCATAAAAGTCCATGATATCCGCTACAGATCGACTCTATCCATAAGCTAAACGTGCCGCTGATTGAGAATTTGAAATTCGCACTTTATCGTAAAGCTCCTTTTATGAATTATGTTAGGTAAACCGCAACCATGTTTTTTCCGCATTTCTTAAGTTTTTCAACTATGGTCAAACCATACAAACTTCGAAAACTTCGAAAACTCGAGCAAAGTTGGCTAATGAAATCAGGATGTCCGATAATACTGCTACATAACTTTTTAGATTCTTGAAACCTTTCCCACAAGCGGCTCATTTCACAATGCGCTATATGTTGGAAGTTCCCACCGTAATCCAACAGTAATGAAGAGCGATGAGTGATTCGCCCCTGTATATTTAAGTTGAAGACTGTTCTACTTAATGGTGCTTGAAGCTAAACAGAAGACTCTGTGGGAATAGAGTTATAAACAGTTTGAAAATGTGTGTTTACTTTTGGGACACCCTGCATGCATACAGTGTTGGATACCAAAAGCACTAAATAATTTTTTAATATAAGCTTCCTCAGGAAAAAATATGCGCACGGCACAATTTATGATCACTAGTTTGATCCTCGCTATCTACAGAGTACTTTATGCTGTTTGATATGCTAACACTTATAGGATTCATATTTGGGATACTTTTGTGATTCACTCGACCAATTTCTTCTATCAGATGATGTCATCTCGGTCCGCTTGGAGTGATTCCATCATCTATAGATCATCGACGAAAATTGGTCAAATGCGACCAAGATCAGTATCGAAGAACTTCGAGACTTCTTTCCACAAAAAATTGCTCGCTGCTTTCATACAATTCTCATTTTTTTGCTGGTTTTGCTGTACAGCCTCCATACTATCAAAAACGGCGCTGCGGTCACGAGTAGGCTCCGCGGTATGACTTTGTAGTGGCGAGAACGCCGCTTTTTTATCTGCGTTTCTAAGATTCATGAGGACACTGCTTCATTCTGAAAACGATCCCGTGCTTCAATTATTGTTCTTTGAAGTTTAGATCTGCACGTGCTAGATTTCACAGTTTCCACCAACGTAAGCAAACTGTGAGTTTTACGTACCCGTGACCAATCAAGCTAAGATGTGGCACAAGATCTTCGGAAATCACGCTAGTCATTTATAAGGGTCTCCCACTTTCTCTCAGGCACTTTTTTTTTATCGTGTGAAGCTTGAAAGATGCAAACACTATTTGTTTCGTGACTAGCGCCTCTAGACGCAATCGTCTGCATGTACAAATTACTTGAGTACTACAAGATTTTGGAAATTCGCTCATCAATATAGTAGTGAGGTTACTACCCAGTGAAAACGCTAGTTTCGGCAGGAGGATTGAACTAGTCTCGAAAGAATCCATAGGCTAAGAAACAGAGATCGATCAGCCGGAAATACATAGATCATACACCAAAAAATCTCGCGCCTATCTATTCTCCTATGACATTTCGATAGTGAATTGAGAACAATGAAAGCAAGGGGTCTGGTTGGAGTTTTGCCTAAGTTTATATCTTCTTGTTCATGACTATGCCAGAAATGATAGGATTTGACGATTATCGATAGTCTCAAGGAAATTACTCTAAAAAAAGAAAAAATATGGGAGTGCGATACAATCAATAAATATCTTTGCTTGCATGTGCAACATGTACTCGTCTTCCAGGACGTTGAAGATGTGACGTAAGTATTTCAGTCAAGAAGTGCATGAAATGTGGGCACATCTGTATCTAAAGAAAATTGCGAAGAAAAAAGGAGGGCGATTTGGCCTTATGTGCACTTGATCCCGAAAAATGCGTAATTACAGCAAGAAAACCTACTCAACTTTATGTTTGCCGCTCAAGTACCTAACAAATACTCCTTCAAAAAAAGAATAATTCATGATTGGGCCAACATACGAATGGACTCATCCTGAAATGCTGATTCAATCTGTCATTAAATTCTTCGGTGTTGTAAAAGAAGTTTGCACATGATTTTTTATGCTTTGTAATGCAGAAGCCGTTGGAAAGGCGGAAGTGCTTAGCAGTTTGGACGAGATTCCGTCATAGACAGGCGATTAATCACACAACGATGACTTCATCATTAACAAATTTGGGTGTAATTAAGCACATAACTTCCTCCATGGAATCGCTTAGCAAATATCAGAGGCATAATTCGAGTCAAATTTTCAAGATTGTCATTGCTATTCAGCTCACAGATGCTCCCTTCGTCAACCATTTTTTCACTAATTCGTCGTTTGAACGTACTTTAAACGTTCTTTCGCTACAACGTTCCATTCGTAAATAAAAGTGACTCATTCTTTGAACTTTGTGTTTAAGACAGCTGTGGAATGCGCAGAAAAAAAAACAAAGGGTGAATTTCAAGAAGTGCACTAATAAATAGGCGAGGGTTTTCTGAACTGCTGGCAAGAAACATTCGCATCAAACGCATTAAGTATCAGGAGAACTATCCACAGAATTGATCGGTCAATTTCATATCATGATAGAAGTAAGGAACCTGAGAAGCTTAATAGTTGACCTTGACGTTTTATCAAATTCTCTGATCTTATATTTAAAGCTGAATGTCTGTTTGTATGTCTGTATGTATGTCTGTCTGTCTGTCTGTCTGTCTGTACGTATGTTCCGAATAGAAAATTCCATTTCTGAACCGATCCGGACCAAACTTGGCACACATACACTTCGGGCCCCGGCGGGTGTCATAGGCTACTTTTCGTCATCGATCGATATCGATTTTATCGATTTTTTGCAAAATTTGAGCTACGGGGCTGGGAGTTGGCACAGGGGGGTAATCGAGTATGCTGATTACGAATATAATAGTGACAGGGCCGGGCGGAGCCGGGTAAGTCAACTAATTTTTCTAATAATCTTAAATTGAGAACACTGTAGTCGCATGGCCTCTCAGCCAAACATATAGCAATATACCTAAATGGACTTGCTAATTTTTTTCGAAAAGAACGCGATCGATAGTGGGCTGAAATTGCGAGATCGTCATGATTTTCGAGTTATTTGTTTAAACCTGTAATTTCTTGTTTACCAGGGCACACATACAGGAGTGTAATTTTCATAGTAGTACTTCCAAAGGTTCGTAATGTACCTCCTGTATGTGGGGAGCTCAGGTTTCTGTATCAATTCCGGGCATCATGTTTTCTCAAATTTTAGCCGTGAAAGAAATACATCAGAAATACAGCACATATATGCAAACGTAGAGCTCTTGTCTTTTCTTGTAGAGCTTGCTTTTCATTACCATATGTGCTCTTCTCAAACATTTATAGGGACTGCCTTGGGGCGGTGCAACGAACAGCGTTCTTCAGCGTATTAGTTTTGAGAAAACTTTTTTCCCTAATTCTGAGCATTTTATCGAAGATACGAACTATACGAGCAAAATACCATCCTTGTTCTCCACTGATGATGCGTCCAAAATGTGACCTGCAGTTCTGAATTCATTGATTCGGTAGATTCTATGAATCTCTCCAGTTATTCATCGTAGTGACACTCGCTTTGCCTTAATTTTCGGAAGCATTCAACTGCGCAGTGATAGTTCCTTGTCATTGACAGAATTGGGAAGAACGCTGAGAGTGTCATAGCGGCCAATGCCATATCAAACAAAAGCGGAAACGACTGAACTTTGCCCAGTTGGCCTTTGAGTTTTTAGCTGCTGCGTCAGGAATGCGCTATCATTCGAATTGCAGAAAAAGTGGACAGAGCAGCTTGCTGCTTGCAGCGTCTTTCTCTTCTTATTCACTTTAGGGAAAATAGGAAGTGTTAAAACAAGATTTCTTCGAACCTCCTCAAACTTTAGATAATTCAAAATCTAGTGAATCTCTCCGCTTACAGACAAGCCAAAAAGCTTGTATTTAACCTTCAAAACTATTTTTTTCCATAAAATTACAAAAGTGTGAGTCTGCTGTGTGATATATGCATCCCTTGAAGAGCTTTTTCGATTTACAACGAAGAGCCAACGTTGCACTGATACTACACCAAAGCATGGGAAAAGGTTATGCCGTTTAGTAATGCTGTGAGAAAGAGAAGAGCCAGGAAGCCAAAAACATTGAAAAAAAAAACAGCTTTGTCAACAGATTTGCGACCCTTAGAAAGAGGTCTTCAAGAGTTGAAGTAAAAAGGGGGGGAGAGCCCCTGTTCGCTCCAAGTCATCAGCTATGGCTGGTGTCAATGCTTAATGGCGACTCAGTCTTGAAAAACCAAATGTACAGGTATGGAGAAGTATCGGCATCCAGTAGCGTCGTCAAAACAATTTTTCAAATGGACATGGACCGTCCAAAAAGTTTCAGGATGAACTTCTAAAATTCCAAAAGTTTTCGAGACTAGTTTTTTGGATTCGAATCTTTGAAAAGAAGAAAATAAATTGCTTCTTATTACTCAATCAGACTAGTCTGAATAATCGCAACGCGTTCCTAAGAAAGGAAAGGTAAAATATCATCCGCTAAACTAGTATTCTAATAAGACTAGCGATAGTCAGAATTGAGTTTGACATATACTAGTAAACAGTGACACTTAATGGACATCTCAATACAATCTGATAGAGATCATTTTACCCTTCACAAGATATCCCTTGCTAGCCTTGAGAACTTCTGAACAACAACAACAACAATTCGCTACCGTATCTTGAGATTTACGGCAGCTTCTGAATATGAGTTCCAAGTTAGCTCACAACAAATTTTCGATCTATGAAACAATGAGAAAATGCCACAGTGAGATCAAATTTTTCTTAGTAAAAGTTTACGTTTCCCAAAACATGTTTTCTTTTGTGAAAAAAATTTGGGTATCAGTCATGACGCTGGTGGTGCGAGGCCACGCGCAAATATTAAGTTGTCCGAAAGTTCTTGCGCATCATATTCAATAAATCATAACTTCCTTGCCAATCGATGGATCTCCTTAAAATTACTTTTGTTCAAAAGAGGTGTCCATGTTCAATAAAACTGTTCCTCCGCCGTGAATTGGTTTGAGAAAACTCGAGAGCTAGAAACGATGGAAGGAAATCAGTCAAAATTGGCACTTTTCGAGTTGGGCCACAAAAAATTCCGCAAGTATTTTTATTTCAAAGAAAAATTATGCTCATTACTGTGGTACCTTTCCCGCGAGGTAGAATGAGATTGTTCCAAAGTTACAAGCAATTGAAGAGAATCACTTCAATTATGCAATATTAGGTTGAACCGAAAGTTCTGTCGCTCCATTTCCAAAACGCGAAAGATCCAAAACAGCTAGTATTCTAGGTTTATTGATTCCCTCTTTCTAGCTGGGCAAAATTTGGGCTGATTAAGCTCTTCTTTAAAAAGTTATGATTTCTGAAAAAAAAATGGCGAAAAGATTTCCTTAAGAAACGGTTTTTTGGCAATTTTTGTCAAAAATCATAGCTCTTCAAAAAACAGCTCGATCAGCCTGAATTTTGCCCCGAGAAAGAGGGGATCAATAAACCTAAGTTACTGGCTCTTTTGGATTTTATCGCGTTTTGGAATTTTTAACGGGCTTGCCTCAAAATTCCGAGCTTGAAGTGATTTCGTTTCCCATTTTTATCTCTGCAGTCAGAGCCTAGGGACAGTAGGCAAGGTATCGTTAGAAAGTACATGAGTTACACTTCCCAATTCTTTTTTTTTTGAAGTGCAAAACTAGTGTGACAGGAAGAAGTTATGACTTTTTGAAAATCGCGCGACAGAATTTTCGGTTCAACCTAATGTTTAAGGCTGCTCAAAAACCTAAAAACTTCACTACAAAGACCGAAAAAGTCATAAACGTAGGTTTTGTGACCTGCTCATTTTATCAGAGTAAAATCTCGTGCCAATCTCGAACAGATTTGAGTTTCGTGTATTTTTCGGATTCGTGCCTGCATTTTTCACGAAAATCAAAGCTCCGATTGGCACGTCTTTCACTCCGATAAATAGGACAGGTCGTAAAACCCACTTTTATGAATTTTCCTGTCTCTGTAGTGAAGTTTTTAGATTTTTTAAGCAGCCTTAAATATTGCATAATTGAAGTAATTCTCTTCAATTGCTTGTAACTTTCAAACAATCTTTTTCTAACTCGCGGAAAAGGCACCAAAGTAATGAGCAGATTTTCTGTTCCAAATAAAAATACTTCCAGAATTTTTTGTGACCCAGCTCGAAAAGTGCCAATTTTGACTGATTTCCTTCCATCGTTTCTAGCTCTCGAGTCTCAAATCAATTCACGACGGAGGCACAGCTGTAAAGAACATGGACTCCTCTTTTGAAAAAAAGTAAGTTTAAGGAGATCCATCGATTGGCAAGGAAGTTATGATTTAGTTTCTTGGCCTAAACTCACATGTAGTGCCTCGAAAGCCTAGCGCAAAGGTTAATTAGGTGTCAGGGATCTAGTTTTCCCGTTTTTTTTTTGTGTATGTTAAGGAAAATCGAAAGAGTTTCGTGCTGTGACCGGAGCACATTAAGGGAAACTGACTTATACTTCGAAAAAGAGGGCTCCCTGCAGTGAGCCCCGATGACATGGTCAAGAAACTATCAAATATTAATAACTCTGTTGATGGTTGACATCAGGCGACGATCTGGGAAAACAACATTCAGGAAACCCAATTTTTTACCTTTTTAAACCAACACTTACGAAAAACAAAACTTTTCAGACTCAAACAATCATATAACCAGGGCTCGACACGAGGTGGCTTTATAAAAATGCGAGAAAAAAGAACGGTGTCCCCCTGACTTCGCAAATTTTTAGAAAGTCCCCTTTGACCCTAGACCATACACGTAAAAACCCTTGAAAAACGAATCGACTTAAAAAAACATTTTTCCGGCCACAAAAACTATATTCCCTTTGCTTTTTTGTCCCAAAAACGATATCCAACTTGCTTATAAGCCACCTGTGCCGAGCCCGTATATAACTTTTCTTATCGGACAGCTTTCCCTTATCCCTCCCAATCAAAAAGATTTGCGAATTTTGACCATCCTCCGCACCAGCTTGCAAAGAAAAATTAGTCTGTTAGAATGGTCATGAAGCAACAAAAAGACGCGATTTTTTCTCAAAGCATTCAGTAAACTTCTGATTGGATTTTCAAAATGTTGAAGCCACTAACCTATTAGGTCGTCCCGAAAGTTCTTTCGCACCGAATTCAAAAATTCATAACTTGTTGAATTCTCAACGAATCTGCAAGATCTAAGTTTTGTTTATGAGAGGAACTCATGCTCTTTGCAATTGTACTTGAACTGTTCGTTAAAGTGTACAAATGAAAGAGACAGAAGCTCAAAACCAAAATCACTCAAAATTTGAATTTTTCGTGTACGGTCATAAAAAATCGGAAACTTGCAACAAAAATCGGAGCAGTCAGTATTGTAGGCTTTTTCACAAGCTCTTGCCAACAGTGCAAAGTTTGCGCCGATTGAGCGTCTCTGTGAAAAGTTATGAATTCCCTGAAAAATGCCAAAATAAACCAAATTCGCCCTTTTGTATTGCTTGCTCGAAAATTATAACTTTTCATAGAGACGCTCAATCGGCGCAAACTTTGCACTGTTAGAAAGAGCGGATAAAAGAACCTACAATATCGACTGCTCCGATTTTTGTTGCAAGTTTCCTATTTTTTATGAACCTACACGAAAAATTCAAATTTTGAGTGACTTTGGTTTTGAGCTTCTATCCCCTTCATTTGTATACATTAACGATCCGTTCAGGGACTTAAGCAAAGAGCATGAGTTTCTCTCTTATATAAAATTTAGATCTTGTAAATTCGTTGAGAATTCAACTAGTTATGAATTTTTGAATTTGGTGCGAAAGAGCTTCCGGGACGACCTAATAATTTGCTTAATCTACTAAAACGAGGTTTGCGTTCAAAGAGAGTATAGATTGCACCAGATAGGGGAATTCTAAAAATGTACAAGCGAATTATTACAGAAAGAAACTCAGTTTGTTAGGCATATTTATTCGTATAGGGTGCAAGAGAGCAGCAATTACTTGGAGAACTCATTTTGAAAAGGTGAAGTAAGTTGGTCTGATTTTGCTCTAGTGATAGGCATGATTTTCCTTAGATGTGCAAATCATGTCCATAATTGTGTATGGATATTCGAAAGAGAAGCTCAAATCTTTATTAATCGTTAATGAGCACAGAAAGATGTCGATGTGGAAATTATGTTAGCGTCCTTCATACAAATAGACAAGTTATGTAATCTTGAAGGAACATCACAGAAATTTATACAAAATGGACGTTAATCACCTTAAAGTTATTAGAGTTGAACAACGCTACATACATAAAAAGCATGTACATCCGATTTTCGGTTACGTTAAGCAAGATAACATACCTTCGGTATGTGAAAGAAATATTACTTATACCCAATGTTTCCCGTCGTTGAAAAGCTAGATATGATGGCGCAAGAGGGGGAGTTGCAGAGCACTGCAACTCGAAAGCTACAGTTCTGACAGTTATGCAGACACCAGCACGGGTTCCACGTAGCCAAGCGCTTGCTTGATCCGTTGAAGGCAAACTTTGGCACCACGCCGGCATTCTGGGGACATCAGCGTGAAGTTAAGGAATCCGTGGGGCACAGCCGGGAGAAGGTCAACGGAGCCGACTCGACCGCCAGCACCGCGCAGTCGAGAAGCGAACGCGATTGTGTCGTCCAGCAGCGGATCCAAATGGCAAGCCTAAACAGAGATTAAAATGCTTGCTATGCACACTCAGGAATGGTCAATTAGATTAGAAATCGCGATTCGTGATTATTGAAAAATAGTTATGTATTAGATTGCCCCATAAGTCCTTTCATATTGGTGCGTTCAAATTGATATTTCTCAAAAACCAAGACATCTACAAAGCCGCAAATTTGTGGGAGTATTCCTGAGTGATTAAGCTATTTGATTATTCCTGAGGAGCATGACTCGTTACAGTCAAAGTTTGAAAATTGAGCGCAATATTTTTTCTAGATTTCTAGACATCAGAAAAATGTATGTAGCAAGTGTATATATAGATATATTTGATGAAGAGATTATACGCGTGATCAAGTGAGAGCTCACAGAATGTTTCTGAACTGAGATACAACTATTTTCATTTTTCGGATTTTTTTTCCATTTTGTCTTAAAACTCGATGCAGATTAAGAGCCTGATACCAACTTTCAAAGGCCATATTGTAGAGCTTGCTTTGATTTTCAGTGGTCCCTGCATCCCATTACAAACCTAATAGGAGTAGACTTATGCTGGTGAAAAGTCTGATATGAAAAAACTTATGGAACAGCCTAATAGTTAGCTTCATTTTTGACGTGGCTTAAAATTCTAGCGAAATGATGCACAACTGATTCCTCTCATTTTTTGAATTTCTGAAAATGAAGAAAGCCAAAACGCTACTGAAATCCAAATTCTTTGCTATCAGAATATTGCCGGACTTAATGCTGACAAAATGCTCCAAGAAACTCTAGCTCGACTCTGCGTTCAGGCAAGTAGTCCTACTTCTTAGCCATCTTGTCATTTGCTTAATGTTTCGATTTCTTTACTTTCATGCAGTTTTTTTTTCGTTGTTTTGCTACTTCCCATGTTTCATAATTCCTACCTCTTTCATTCTGTGTATTCAACAATACAGGATTTTTTTTTTGCTGCATTCAGTCACTTGTGTTCTACGGCTCTCAAAAAATAAAACGAAATGGATTCCAATGACATCGTGCTTCATCCAAGGATACGGTCGCAGAGCGCGGATGTTTGTTAGCAAAGACAGAGAAAATTTTGAATGAATCCTCAGAAAAAAACGCTTTAGAGTAGCTAGAGTTCTTTATCCTCAGGATTACGTCTCTTACAAGGGAGGGATACTTGGTCGAAGTAGCGTTTCCATATAAGATGTAGGCTACCTTATAGAGCATGAAACGCCGATTCCAAATCTGCATTCTTTATCTGCAAAGCGCTTTTGGAGGGAGGGGGGGGGGAATTTGTTGTTTTTTTTTTTTGAGGTAAAAGTTCAATGATTTGGCTATGGTAAAAACACGTGTTAAGATCTTCTCGGCGCTTGAAAGGAGTAATGACTGATATGAGTTTATTAGACTGAAACTATTTATCGTATAAAACGCCCTGGTATTGATCATGACCACATATCTGAGCTCACGAGCTGAAGCTCTGAATGATTTTATTGTGGCAGAGCTTTCAAATTTTTACATCAAAAACTCCATGACTCCCTTCCTAGAAGCGCTATGCAGATATCGAAAGCAGATTTGAAATCAGCGTTAGATGCCCTATAAGATAGCATACATCTCGTATGGAAACGCCACTTCGACCAAGTATCCTTCCCTTGTTAGAAGTGTCAGAAAGATCCTCCGTCCCCTTCCATTTCCATGTTACTGCGTTTCTATACTCGGCAATACGGATGGTTTGTGAATTATGTACTTGCAGCGCGTTTCCAGTGTCCACTATCAAATAGAGAAATGGCCTACTCAAAAGCAGCAGGTGATTTATATGTGACCGAAGGGTCTCCAGGTGGAATTCTACGAAACTGTCAGAAGTTGCAACAAACTCGGAAGCCGAGCTGCATCAAAATGGAAAATCAGATATCCTGTTTTTGAGATAGAGTGTCAAATCTCTTATAAATAGTTTATAGACCTGGCCCAATTCATAATGACCAACTAAACTAATGACCAAGCCAAATTGTTCTTATCCGCCATCCTGAGGTCCTGGATGACCTTTTTTTCATAATTTGGCATTTCTATTCGGTTACTCCTCTCTTGAAGCCGCACCTCCATCAACAGCTTAGATAGCGACCTCTTCTCAAGCCCTGACTTTCCCCTTACATGCAAAGAACACAAAAAACGGAGGATGCTGCATATGTAAGTAAGAGTGCTACTCACAACGAAATAGACGGGGGGCAGTTGTCGGATGATGTCATCAGAAGCGTACATCGGGGATATGAGGGGATCCCGTGGTACAGCGCTCTTATTTAGCAGCTCCATAATATGTGACCTCTTCTCGCAAGGCGGTTCCACCTGAAAACCAGATATTTTAAAAAGCATTCGTCGCTTAAACTTTTAGAGATTGCTCACATCAGTACTAGCCGATTCCTTATGAGAAAGTGTGCGATCTAGCTTCTGTTTTTCTTTACTGGGCTTCTCCAGCCAATCTTGAAGGTTGTCGAAGGCATGCCCTGCAGCTAGCACGGCTGTATCAGCTAGACTTTGAGACAGAGATCGTTTGTGATTCTTAAAGAGAATTTTTCAGTGCTTGACTATTAGTCTTTTTGCCACCAGTACCTGCATCGTCTGAGAATGAAAGTTGCTCGACGAAGAACTGCTTGGAATACCCTTATTGCCCTCGCAAGGAGTATTCGGTGCGGTAATCGAAGCATTTCCGCTTATCATGTTCAAAATGCCAGGTCGCTTCTTTTCCTTTTCATCCTGAACGGTTGGATTCGCCACGAGCGCATCTTCGGCTTCTTCGACCACTTCGCCGTTTTCGTCAACAACCGTGAGGGAACTGAAGAGATAATTGGATAAATTCAAATTGACTAGAAAAAAGCCCTTGCATGTTCATCAGCAAGACAAATTGCTTACTCTTTCGTTGTTGGATGCTTGATGAGGTAATTCAGCAATTGGTTGTCGAAGATTGTGGACGAGAGATGGATGTGAAGAGGATCAGAGTTTACCTATAGTCGGAAAGGATATGCTATTTTGGAAAAAAAGGAACATTTTTGAGCTTACATGGACGCTGCTGACACTCCTAGTGTCATCGTCTTCGCTCTCGTCGTCTTCCTCCTCATTTTTCTGGTTTTCATTCTTTTCCGCCTTCTCTTCTTTATCGGTAAAAAATGAGCAAGGTTCGGTAACAATGGCATCATTGGGACCCTTGACATTTTGCACGAGAGACACAATGGACTGGGAGCCACCCTAAAGTTACTAGTTAATGGTAGGGTAGTGTAATTTTATCAAGTACTAGCTGGCTTACCCGGCTCCGCCCTATGTTCCGAATAGAAAATTCCATTTCTTAACCGATCCGAACCACTTGGCACACATACACTTCGGGCCCTGGCGGGTGTCACAGTCCACTTTTCGTTATCCGATTTCATCGATTTTTTGCAAAATTTGAGCTAAGGGGCTGGAATTTGGCAGAGGGGTGTAATCGAGCATGCTGCTGCTGCATGCTCGATTACCCCCCTGTGCCAACTCCCAGCCCCGTAGCTCAAAAAATCGATGAAATCGATATCGATCGATAACGAAAAGTAGCCTATGACACCCGCCGGGGCCCGAAGTGTATGTGTGCCAAGTTTGGTCCCGATCGGTCCAGAAATGGAATTTTCTATTCGGAACATACGTACAGACAGACATACAGACATACAGACAGACATACAGACAGACAAACAGACATTCAGCTTTATATATAAGATGGTTTAGAACTCATATTCATGTGATAACTGCTGAAAGCCATTAATGTACAATTTCAGGGTGATACTATGGTTTTACTTGATGTATCTAGCTCAGATCAACAAAAACATGGTCACCAGTTACTCAGTGAAAAGAAACCATAAAGGTTTATATTCTTCGAAATTTCCTGTTCACTCACAGCAAAGTCGAATCGTTGGGTTTTCTGCACATGATCGACATACTCTTGGAGTGACTTATGTCCTGCACCATCTGGTGAATCTTCCTTTTTCTTGTTGTTATTACCGTATCCACCGGTGTAAGCTAGGATAAAAGCTGAATTACTGTGGCGACTAAGAAGGAGATCATGAAAAGAGTAGTGAATAATAGTGCTCAAGAAAGGGCTAGCTTCAACGAACAGTTCATATTCGCTGCAAATCAAATGAATAAAAACTAACCGGCAACACATCGCAGTACCACACCCATGTGGAGCAATGGGTCCATCACGCTCAAAACTCGAGACGGGGAGGGCAGATACTGGAAAGAGAAGCTGTGATAAAAAGTAGTGATGTAAAGCAAGATTACTTGGAAAAGAAACGGAGTGTAAACTGGTACGATCCCATCCGGTTTCTTTTTCACGTCCAATTCTATAAGCCGGAGATTGACAGACATGATCAGATTTCCGCCGGCTGAATCGCCCACCATGCACATTTTCTCGCCTGTCCATCCTAAAGTACAACAATCTTCGGACATCAGCTACAATACAAGAGAAATTTCTTTCAACAAATATGTAAGGACGAAATCGTGAGATATGGCACTCACCTACTAACTGCGGATTGTTAACAATCCAAGCGTATGCGAATAACACCTCTTCGGTTGGCCGTGGAAAAGGATTCGCTGGTGCTAACGAATATTCAACGGACACCACCGTACAACTCAGAAGTTTTGCCCACATCCGTAAATACGTCTGAAGTTTATTTGAAATAAAGCATTTTTCTAAAAAGAACAGTGGGGTGTAGAACAAACCTCGTGGGATTTACTCGAAGTTGCGACATAACCACCACCATGGCAATGAAGGACTATATACGGCGAAGGCGGTTGTTGATTAGAACTACCCGTAGGGGACTATAACGTAATTTTGAAAGTGAAAATCTCCATTTTTACAGTTCAGAGGTTACCATATGAGGTCTGTGCACTGCTGAGAGGATTCGTATCTGTACCGGTCTTGGTCCAGTATGGGCCGTCGGTTCAGGTATCCGAACCTTCCCTCCACTAGTCGTTTCCAGTGATATGGGACCGACCCAGTTGATTTCTCGAAGCTCGTTTATAGCCATATTAGGACTGAACCATTTTGGCATATTCTGAAAACCTACTTTCTTATAGCGGTTTTGCAGAAAACAATTCTATAGAGATACTTACATTACTTAATTCCGCAAGATTCCAGAATCCCTTGCAAAAATCTATGTCGGCCTCTTTGGTAACCTGAAGGAAATGACACTGAGAACAATTTCCTTTAGAGGAAAGAGGAGAGAAAACCTTTATTATCCTTGAAGCCCGCTGTTCGGGACTGAGGAGGAACCTTCCCGTGTTAATGATAGAACCAATTGGTCCTTGTCCTTTTTCCCAAGTTAAACTATACGAGGCGAGAACTATGCCAATTAAACGGAAAATTCTGTTTACAGATGGGGAAAACTGAAAAAGATCCATTGGGAAAAAAACTTCGTCAGAATAAAACCTACCTGAAAGCCCAGAGGTCGACCATAGAAGCAGGTAGAGTCAAGCTGCTCCAAACCGCGTAACATTTCATGATATTTTTCGTAATTTCCTTGTAATGGAGGAAATAAAGATCCCGATGGCATCGATGCCGCATTATCAATGCACTAAACAAACTCGGTAGCTACATCTTATTGATGAATTAAAATGAGATAAAACTAACCAGTGGGAGCGAATCCATAAGGAAGTTGATGACCTTAGCAAAAGCTTCGAGCTCTTTACAGTAATGGGTCAAACGAAAGACAAACGAGCCACGCTGTTCACTGACAGTCTTCTGTAGTGAAATGACGTGCAGTATGGTGGTATCGCAGATGCAGACCAGAGATCTGAACTGGCGCTTTACTTGCTTTTTAAAGGAGAAAGTAAATGTTTTTGCTAAAATTGCTTTGGCTGCGTCCAAAATAGCCCATGCGTCAAAACTCTGGCAGAGCCGTGACAGCGCCGTGCTAGGCGCGCCGGATAACGTGCATGCGACTTACATTCATCCAACGTATGCACGCGCCAGCACGGCACTGGCATGGCACTGGCACGGCTCGAAAGTGCTGCCACAAATGCGCCTTAGAGCCTGATTCCAATTGTGCCTTATCTAATTTTTCGTTCCGTTATTTGAGCTTGAATAACCTGTTCTGAATTCTTCTGATCTAAGAACACTCGAGCACAATTACTTGAACGATTTCCTTTCCAAAATTCACAGGAAAAAGCTCATGAGATTTTTCTAGAGATGGTCAGCGGTTAGCGAAAGTAGAATTTGAAATCAGCATTCCTGGTATGTCTACTGGTATGATCCCACAACCAAGAATCCTCCCCCTGTAAGCGCCCTGAGGCACTGCTATTTCTTGGTCTTCATGTTAGCCTCAATTTCACAGTCTGGATAAGGCCAACAGTAAAGCAATCCCCTCTCCCCGCCCCCCTCCTCCCTAAAACTACAAATACTGCTTCGCGTATGTTCAGTCTTAGGCAGGAAAAGGTACGAGGCGCAATGTCATAGTCACCTGACTATGACATTGCGCCTTACTTACTTACTTAACAAGCTGTGTAAAAGTGCTAACGAACTTAGCTTCTACTCACAAAACAATCGAGCTTTCCAAGATACGCTGTATTCATTGCTGTACGAAAATACCAAAACAGAAGTGTAAGTTCTTGTTTACAACTTTAGAATGAGATGAATATGATCTAGATGAACATCACTTCTTCAAACGTGACTTTGCATTTCCGACAGAAGACCCTCCAAGAACTCTTGATTTAGAAGGCTTCCTAGTATGCATATTACACAGCCTTGCAAACACAAAGTTATCGCTAAAGCCTGAATTTGGGTTAATGTCCACAGATAAAGTGTATAGATAGCGAATATAGTTACACTTTTACCACAGCTTACGCTCTTCGGCGAAGGTAAAATTGTGTTTGGTCTTTTTCTAGGCGTCTTGGGGCCTTGGAATACCGCGATCTTGTGGGTGAAGAATGTGGTCACATTTCTTCGAGTACGATATCGAAAGTACGTCAATAGTTACCTGAACCCGTTTCCAGGAGTGCTCTCGTCATAGTCATAACTGGGTGCGAGGTCTTGCAATTGCTTCACCAGATCTATAAATTGCAAAAATCAGTCATCATGAGTCGTCGAGTTTATGATGACTGTTTCTAAGTAAGATGTACAGATCCAAGTCAAATTAGAGAAGGAAAAAGTAATTCCGCGTGCGCCGTTACACAATTGTTACGTAAGCGCCAGCGTAATTTGCACAGAAAAAAGAAGTTGTCACGTCAGAAATCGTCGTCGTATCTAAGTCTCTTCTATTACTTCTTACCCTGTGCTGTCACTAAAATTGATCTAAACGTAGAGTTTTTTCATCTAAGGAAAGGTCATACGTCAATTGATAAATTTCTCAGTTTTCAACGCATTGTGACGATGGGCATTTTTACGAAATTTGGATAAACCACAAATTTACGCAAATCGACACACTTCGTAACGTTTCGGCACATTGCTCGATTTCCTTTGAGACCTTGACCATTCGCTCCCCATACACGCTCCATGAAGTCGTCTTCGAGAAATACTCGGCATTATCGGCGCACAACTAAGAAGATTCAATAACACGGATACTATATACAAAAAACTTTGAAATTCCAACTCCAAAATTCGTCCTACTCTATCACCGAGTTCTAGATGCCTAACGATGATGGTTAGGCAAAAAAGTGCGTAAAGAAGTGCTTACTCCATAAAGAAGTATCCTGAGGGCACAGCTATTCGTAATGGGTTCTTTAACTTTGCAACAATTTCTTTTCAACTATAGAATGTGCAGTACCTCCCACGCGTTTGGAAAATCTCAAACTTTTCCAATCTCTTCTATTACTTCTTACCATGTGTTGTCACTAAAACTGATCTAAACGTAGAGTTTTTCTGTGTATACCGTTCAGCATCTTACAACAACACACTCGACAAATTCATTACGCAACGAAACCGATTTTTGTCGAAACTTGGGCAAAGAAAACTGACGTTGTCCTTTCAATCTTCTTCATTGGCCAAATTTCAAAATGTTCGACAAGTTGTACAATGCACTGTTGCAGAAAAAGAAGTAGAGTTATATTTGGTCGTAATATACATAAGACTTTCGAAAAACTCTAGAAACTCCAAAATTTGGCTTATATGAGGAAAAGACAAAATGCTATCCACTGGCATCACTTTCATCTTTACGATTATGAGTTAAGCGAAATAAAGACAGCTCTGTGACGGCAATTCAACTTCACTTCTATTTCCATTTCATCTTTCCGGCTTTTGTGGATATCCAAGAGCCTCACGGCTAATATGAAAGCTGCCACGGGGTGATTCTGCTAAGACGCATGCTAGAAAAAAAATTTGGACAAATTTTGAAAAGGTTGAAAGGGTTTTTGCATGTGTAACATGTACATTTCAAGAAGCTACAACTCTGCACGTGACTGGAATGCGGTAAGTTTATTCAAAAGAGTCATCGAGAATTTTTTCTTCAAAACCACTAAAACCTTAGGCTTCGATATGGTACAGCTTATGGTCTAAAACCACTTCAATTTAGAATGGTTTCAGCGGAAGCAATCATAGCTGCACCTAACCAAATAAGTCGAGCAAGAGTTCCAAGAAGATTTTGTTATCCTTAACCGCGCGCTATCCAGATCTCCTTGCTTCAGCAATGTCTTGCACAGAAATCGCGAAGTTCACAGCTGAATGAGCTAGAGTTGCGTCATGATCGTTGACCGGAAACTGGTCTTGGCGAGTTAATGGCGAAAACCGCGAAGTCGTAAAATTCGCACTAGCGTCAGAAAAAGAGATCTCACGCCAAAAGAAACTCTCCAGTGGTCAATGGCTTTGTGGCCACACTGCCTTAGTCGTTCCACACATCCAAAGTCAATTGAGGCGTGTTTTAGATGATACAAAAGGGATGTTGTGAGATGTGAGTTGCAAAAAAAACGCTGGGATTAGCGTTTGTAATAGATGTTTGGATCTTTTTCTGTGGAAACCAGTTTAGACGTCAGATCATTTACAAAAGAAACGACAGCACGTGGAATGCCGGATTCCGGGTCTGTTATGTGCTGGACACCACTAATCCGATGTCATGTGAACCTATAGCGAATTTGCGAATTTTGCGTCATAAGATGAGAATCAAAGGGTACACTTATAATTATGGGAGATAGAACATATTTTCAAAGTAAGAGTACAAAAACGGAATAATGTGAGCTACATTCTAACAATAAACATTTGTGTGCGTGTTTAGTAAACATTTGTGTGCGTGTTAGAATGATCCAGACTGATAAAAAAAATGTTAGCCGACACACTTAGCCCAGTGTTCAAAAAAAATTATCTTCTCAGAACTTGACTAGATTTGGAGACGAAGAAACTTGGAAGCAAAATCAACAGCAGTTTGCAATCTTTAGTTCTTTCTTTTTTTGGCGATGTCTTCGATAAAGGATGATATGCAAAAAAGGAACAAAACAAAAAAATTAAATAAACAGCTGCGGTAATCTTGATGTGAGAAGTTGTGATGAAGAGAAAGATACATGAGATATAGGAAAAGCTAGGCATACAAGTCAAAAGAAAAACTTGTTTCATACCTTCTATCCTTACAAACACGAAAAAGAAGGAAAAATTCAAGTTTGAAATGATTCAAAAAGGGATAAATCGAGACTGACCTGGTTAAGAAGAGTGAATATAGCAGTTCGTTCAATAGAGAGGCTGTGGCCGAGGATAGCCTTGTTGTCGTCGTTGAGAATGCGGCTATCGAGCATTCTGCACCATCTACGAAACAGAGGTGAAGACGGTGAATGTGCTGGTCCCGATACCATCAATACAGATTACGAATACACACACACAGTGTGTGTGACGGGCTAATCCGATCGAAACACTCTCTCTCGTCGTCCGCACAGCCGCTGGCGGCAGAGCGCTTCCGCGAGACAGACCGCGCCCGCACTTGGACTATCCTCCCTCCCGCCGCCGCCGGCCGAACGCCGATCCGCCTTGTGTACATGCACGGGAGCACCCCTTTTTTGCTCGGCTAACAGACCTAGTCAGGCTGCGTTCCGAAGATTTAGGGGCCACACATGTGCACCAACTCCTTACGGTCCCCTCTGGACGAATAAAATCAAGAGACACCGGTCAGGAGAGCCTTTCCAGGAAAGCGTTCCGCGAAATCGTGCTCCAGCAGCGGGGGAGCGACGAGAGAGAGTTTGGCTTTGATCTAGGACAACCCTAAGAATTCTGAAGTTAGCAAGGATGGGACAAAGGGTAAATCCATAGAACCCGTGCAAAAATGTTGTAACTCCCTAAAAAATGGGGAGGTCGGATGGCGCCGATTGGTCGGCTGACTCTTAGAAAAAAGGGTAAAATTCTGTATGTTGATTCAAATTGCAAAATCCATATGATTTTGGACTACACAGCTATATTGAATGTACGTTTGACACAAACGAATCGGGTCAAAAGCGCCTCTCGACATAAAATTACATGTAAAACCAGCCCAAATCCTATTAAACACTGCTGAAATCAAAAAGCAATATGGTCGCATATTGAATTGAAATAATCCACCAATCAACAGTGACCCATATTTATCTGGATAGCAGATATATAACCAAGAATGCTCGTAGCGATACTGTGAGTAGATGCTGTGATTTTGCGTAGAGCAAGCTAAGACAGAGCAAAAATCTATAACCCATAAATGTAACTATGCGCTGTATCGGAAAAGATAAGGAACGAGATGGCAGTGTTTACTTTCTTTCTTTTTTGGATGGTGACTAAAGAGATGCAAAGGACGCCGGCTTCAACAATCAGCATCAAGCAGTAATCACAATGATCACCTTGCCTACGCTGATTTTCACGAAAGTCAATCATTTATACTTTACGATGTGTTGACGCAGTACCAGAACAGAGTTTTTTACATGCTATTAGTTTCTGTCCACATTTCCGTTGTAACATTAGAAAAAACTTCCAAAAAGGACAGAATGATGGACAGTTTCGAGCGCAAGCGGTGACGTCAGCGATAAGTGCTTTGTTTTTCGCTTAGCGATATTAATAGGAGATTCTGCACTTCGCAGCTGATTATCCGCTCGAATGGAGGGGTTATAGCGCTGATGCTAGGATCATACATCCTTTGAGGTTTAATCTGAGTTGATAGCAGGCAGAGAAAAGGAATGCAAGCCAGCGATGCCCAAAAAAAGTCGATACTCCATAAATGCGCCGGCTGCGGCTGAAGCGGCATGGGAGAAGCATTGCGTGTAATGGAGGAAAAGACGGTTATGCTAGCACACGACACAAACAACAGTGCGTGGCCCAAAAACCAGTGCGAGGAGAGTGTCGGAATAGGAAAGAGCGGTCAACGATCCGAAGGGCGCGATCCTTATGCATTATTACACACGCACTGCGGGTCAATGTCCCGTCGCTTGGCCCGCGGACGTGCCTCCTCCTCTCGGCGTGACGCAGCACTCGCACACTGCATGATCTTTGTTACAATTTCTTGTAAGTGTACGAGAATCTGTGCAAGCAAACTAATGCAATTTTGTCTGCTTGGGTAAAAAACCTACTTCTAAGTATGCTTATCCTTTTCTACTCTTCCAGCTACCAAATCTCCATGACCCAAACCCTAAGGTTGCACACTGTAATAGCGTCAGTCAAATTTTTCGTCGTATTGGTCACTGATGACCAAACCAGCGACGTCCAGTCTGGATCCACGCAGATACGCGGATGACTAGCGCATGCATGCGCTGAATTCACGCGCTCTGTCGCGCGTGTCGTCATCGCGCGACGCCGCGTTGGTTACGTCACGCCACCCACCGCGGCAACCCGAGTCGCAGTTGTCTAGATTCCATAACCTGTTGCATTCCAGGTGTAACGAATACGTCATTTGTGTTCCATGTGGGAACAGAGGGCGTTTTCGAGAATTATCCGAACTGCTGGGTTGTACATGATTCGAATACAACGAATATGGTCACAGATTTGGGCTACAAGCAATTAGGCAGGCAAGGGGTCACTGGCTTTTTCAGGACTCTTATCATATCGAAGTTATTCCTGGCTCGCATCTTCGTCAAAACACGAGAGTGGATCTAGTGAGGGCGCACAAGGTGCTTGCCACAACTGCAACATCTTTTCTCGTAAAAATACTCGCAAATAGCATGTGGAACTTTAGGAAATCATCATGAACCATCGGAATTTGAGTCGAATTTCGCGATACTTCATTCTGAACTCCTCAGCATAGATAACGAAAATGGTTATTTACCACAAATCACATAATTTGGCAACAAATTCCACCGCTTCACCATGTGACGAATCAATACTATCAAAGCACAAGCTACCGAATATAGTAGGTCAAGTGAGAGCAGAGATAGACAAGGCAGTTACTGTTATTTTGACAACAGTAACTGCCGTAGGAGCAAATTTGGCAAGCTGTTTTATCAACCTACACTGCAAAAAGGACATCTTGAAAACTTTCACGAGAAATCTTACCAATTATTTCTCAAAGCAAACCAACAGCAGTGGTCTTCAACGAGTGAGTTGAGGAAAGGTACTTTTGCACATACTTATATCCAACACAATTCATTTTTGAGTTGGAATTCGTACAAGAAAGTGCAATTATTTGATACCAGCTTTCGTAGTTTTTTTCAAAAATATTCTTAGGCATTATAGTGGAGGAACTGAAGAACCATATCGCAAAAAATAGTGCATTATGCAGAAACCACGTTAGTCATGAATATGAATGGAGTCGTGCCACAGGTGAAGGCACAATGTCCAACTACTTCATCATATGTAGGCTCAGATGAGCTTACTTTTTCTCAACAATTTTGTTTATTTGCAACGTAAACATTCCCAAGTACGAAATGTGTTGCTGGCACGGATTGGTTTCTGATCATTTGAGCGAGAAATAGCATTTGCGTTGTCAACATCAATCAAGTCCTGTTGTGTCCGCATATTTTCGAGAAATTGCATAGTGAAGTGAGCATTGATCGTTAATGTTTTCCACTATTTTTGCAAAACATTCTTCTTTATAAGCTACTTGGGGTTTTCGAGTAAAATGTGAGAAGATCAAATCAAAATTCTGACTTGCTTGAATCCTGCTCAAGCCCTTGACGGCAACTCAATCCAGCTCCTATAGCATGGATTCTTAAGGACTTGCTTCATTACAGAGAACAGTTTTTCACTGTTACTGACTTTAATAAGGAGACAAAGCTTGTATAGTTGGCCATTGATGAACCAGCTCGTGTGCAATAGTGTAGAAAGAGATATGGAAATTAGGAGAAAATATAATTAATAGGTTGTCCCTCAAGTGTCATATTTCGAAGTTGTAAATTCTTGTTATCTCGATATTTGCTTCTTTCTGATTTTATTAGAGAAAGAAAGTCTTTCTCTTTGTAAGTATATCTCAGAGAGCTTCTACTATGCATTCATTGCAGAGCTAAAAATGGAGAAGTAAGACCACTTAAGCTTTGACCATTTTAAGTTAGGTCGCCAAAAATCTGGAACGCTGCAGAAGAATCTAAAATTGTTGGTACATAAGTTTTAGGACCTACTCTTTTCATTTTACAAAAAGTTATGTTGGTTGGACGTCTCAATATAAAGTTATGATTTTCCAGAAAAGTGATAAATTAATCAATTTGGACATTTTCTATGTGAAACTCGAAAATTGTAACTTTTCCAGATGTACAAACAGCTTTTTTTTCTCAGACGCTGAAAGTGCTTCATAAAACTTATGTACTGACAAATTCAGATTTTTCTGCAGCGTTTGAGATTTTTGGCGACCTAACTTCAAATGATCAATGCTCAAGTACTCTTATTTTTCCATTTAGCTCTGCAATGAACGCATAGTAGAAGCTTCCGAGATATATCTATAAAGAGGATGATTTTTTTTTATAACAAAACCAGAAAGAAGTAAATCCGTCGAGAGAGCAGAAGGTTACAAATTTTCAAAAATGAAACGACAGAACATTCGGGACAACCTAATATATTTTATAAATGCCACGTTTATGATAGGTCCTCTCTTATATCACAGCTCTCTCATTATTCGCTATGTTATTACTCTCCACTCATCACCTTGCATTAAGCGAATGATTAAGAAAACCATGAGGTGATTGAATTAGAAAATTTCAAATATAGATGGAACAACATGAGGATGTGTGATTCTGCAATGTTGCAACTAACTCGTCTGAAGGGTTCTGCTTTAAGAAGCGTAGTCCTTGTTTCCATGTTCTGCTGGATTTTCCATATTAATCGTGACTAGCAGGGTTCATCTTGAATCATCAAGGCAAATTCATTCCTCAGAATTCAGCGCAGCAAAACATCGACAATGTCGAGAAAATCTACAGCAAAGCCGAGTTCAAAGTTTTGCTTCTTTGCATCAACAGTGGCTGACTGAACATTTTGTAAAGCTCTGACCATGAGTCACAAGGAAAAAACTAGCGGAATAGTCAAGATTCCAATTCGTTGAAAACATGGGATTACAAATATCATGACAAAAGTGCACTTCGTAGCCTCGATCATTCCGTTCAAAATGTTTCGAAAGACTTTTTTCCATCTGCTGCATAATCATCGGTGCCAAAAGCTTTCCCAATGCATAATGTCCGTTCCTGTGTTGATTAATCAGAATTCGACTTTGTACTTTGAACCATAGCTGATTCATCGATAGTGATGTGATAATGATGCATCCGAGAAATGACCATGGTAGTTTTCATAAGCGAATGTTTATAGAATAGCGGAAACGCCATCTGCAGATCACCGCAACCATTAAAGATAAATATCCGTTTGGTTTATAAAATACTTCACGTACAGTCGTACTCTAAGTGGAACCCAAAATAATATATCCGCATTGATCACAAACATTTAAACGTTCAAATTCTTTTCATAGAACACTACAGCATCATGTTTGAAATGTAAGGCTTGATCTAGTCATTTTTATAAAATTTTGATCTCTGAGCTCTCAATTCGCAGAGTACCAATCCCGAATAAAACGCGTTAAATATCTAAATAGATGATTTTTTTACTTATCCCTGATTATGAAATAGTCCAGAATAAGTTAAGCATAGACGATAATGTCTCGCACATTCTTGTACTTAAAGCAACACTTCCATAAGAAACATTATACGGATTGTTACGGAATCACGATATTCGTGCAAAAAAATAATAGTATTTGATAGACAAAGCATTTACAAACGACCGTCAGGCCGCAACAGTTCTGTCCCTCGTAGAATTGAAGTTCAAAATAAAAATTATTCGAAGCCAAGAAAATTCGCTTAACAAAATCTTACGAACTTTTTACACTTGATCTTGGTGATCGAGAACAATATAGGTACACTTGCTGAACATTTTTGCTCATAGATACGGGAACAAAAAGTTGAAGAGTAAATCCTTTTCTCGAGGCTATGCTAACTAGTGAATAGACAGAAATGCGGATGATATATTGATGTGCGCTAAAAAACGCTGAGTATAATCCTAAAAGCCTTTCGTATCTGTTCGAATTTTGCTTTGGTCCAGCATTAGGCTCAAGGGATGTAAAGTTGGATCTGTAAATCCAAATCTGCATTATCTGCGATTTCTGTGTTAGCAGATACGAAAGGCAGAATTGGAACCAGCGTTCTTCGCTGCATTCCGTAAGCACCTTGTTGGATGCAGCTACTTCGACTTCTGACCATATCCTTGTAAATTTGAAGCTTATTGATTACTAAAAGAGTTTTGTAGTAATGGTTTAAAAAATTTCTGGTATACAATCACATGTGAGCGAAGGATTGGGGCTATTTTTCGATCACTTCCTCGAGCTGAGCGCGATCTGCAAATTTTTTGTGCAATATGCCTGCAAGTAAGATAAAACAAATTTTATTGCCTTCAAACATTAACAATCATTGTAAGTGGATAAACTTTTAAGAGCTCAATGGTTTGTCATCTTTCAGTTTCCTTTTGGTAGTGTATTTTATGGTTTTTGGGTTCATCCTGCCAGTATATGTAGATAAAGAAACGGATATGAAGCCATCAGTCTGACACCACTCATTTAATCAAATATGGCACAAATCACTCCAACAAATCTTTTCATGACGGTGTAGAAGTAGAGTCCTGCATTTACTCTGGAGATATCTGAACTAATCCACCAAAATATATTTCCTCTTTCTCAGATTGAGGTGGGATATGAGATAAAAACTTGCAGCCTGCGACCTGCCAAGAGCTTTGTCACGCTTTCCATGTGTAAGCGAAATGAAGTTTATTCGAGTTCTCCAAATGAAACCTTCTTGTTAAATTACCTTATGACTGAGTTCACCACAAAATGTGGATTTTTTTATTAAGGATGGTTTTAAGTCATGTAGTTATGACTAAGTACCATATTTTATCATAAATAGGCATTTTTGAGCAACAAATTTTTAAAAGAAAACCAAGATTTGTACCAGTGCTCTAATACTATATGGCAGTCATGAATTAACTAATAAACAAAGGCGTAAAAATACACAAAGCAAACGAAGAACAACAATGTGGAACGATCTAATCAGGTATATATTTAGCACCCGATGTTTTCCCGTTTTGCAACAACATGGACATAGGAATATATGGCCGTGGCTATTACGCAGATACCGCCCATGATAAGCCAGACAAAGCCCTAAATGCTATCTTTTTTTGCGGAACGATCCCTAGCAGTGCTCAGTAAGGCTGCGTCCATAGTTGCCGGCACGGTGCTGGCACGTCGCCATATAGTTCGCACGCCGGTCGCCTGCCGCGCAACATACGGTTGCCGACACTGTGCCGGCACTATGCATAGTAGGCAGCTATGGATGCAACCTAAGGTAATTTTAGCGTTTAGGAGTAGATGTTTTACCTGGAACCAATCGACCGTAACAATGTATATATTCTGAAGTATCGCGGTTTGTACAAATCCAGCCAACTTTGAAGCTATAGAACTGACGGCAAATGCTTTTCCTGTCTGGAAGCAAACTTTATTGGAAAACGTCCATATAAACGTACTTACAAGATTAGATCATTGTAATTCCTACTCACTTCATTACCCTCTACGAGACATGAAAGGAAAGAGTAGCTCAGCGGATTTAGCAGACCGTGAAGACTTCCTGGAGCCAAGCTAGCATAAATCATCCATGATGACTGAAAAAGTAGTTTATTGCTACGATGTACGTATAAACAATAGCACAACTTACATAGGCTAGACCTATCATAACCACATTCAGTCCCAGGGTAGCTATAGTAAGACATATGATGAAAGTGTCGCGAAGACTCAACCACTTTTTAAAGACAAATAGTCCAAAAAACATGCCAATGATTTCTGAAATAAAGACGATTGATTATAAGGGTGCTTTCATGAGCACTGTAGCCTTAGATAGCGTTGAACTGTAAATTATTTACAACCCTTGTGCGCCTGCGTATGTCAGGACTGACTTTGTGCTCTACAGCTCATGCAGATGTCACAGTCACTTTCCGATGAGATGTTCTATATATGGGAGTGGCGCGCGCGACCAATCAACCAATCGCTGCATCCATTCAAGGGGTCTTAGGGCGGATTGGCAGATCAACCACACGCCACGCCCATCCAACACTTCTCTTTGAAATTGCAAAACGTTTTTTCTTACTCGTTGTTAGAAGCTACAGATAATCTCAAACAGAGCGAATGAAGGCCAACATAGAAAAGATCACGTGCTGAGGAAGCTGCAGTTCTAGACAAGACATGAGAAATGAAAGAAAAACTCACGAATAATTGGTCGTATGGACCTGTAATCAGCATATTGCTGACTGTCCCAGTTAAACGGTGGTAAACGAGTGTATGTACCAATCAGCGCTGTAAAATAACTACAAAGCTATAGTGACTTCAAATAATACCTGAAAAGATCCATACATTTTTCCTCTCCAAAAACCAGTTGATCCATGAAGCTCGCCGTAAAAGTCAGGTAGAGGAATAACCTTTTGTGACCTTCACGAGATAGCAAGAATACTTTTAGAGAAGCATACAAGGAGTAGAACGAAAGTTTGGTGACTTCAAGAAAATTGGTGCTGAAATTTATGCATTCCAGTCGTGGAGATCATTAATGGGTTTTGTAGAAATATACATGTCTTAAGGATTCTTCCACATTACTGCAATAAAGAATCTAGAATATACTCGCCTTGGCAATTCCCCTTCTTCACTTTCGTTTTCTTCGTCTGATAATCTTCTTTTTTTGGGAGTCGTGTTGTTCAGAAAGATGGCGATCATGACGACGGACACCAGAAGTATTCCTGTAATTTTGAGTGTGTTTTGTGGTCCATTGATATGTATTTTAGAGAGCAAACGCTAACCTTCAACAATTATAAGGAGAATAGTCGAAGAAACTACATACAGAATATATTTCGTGCACTGTGAAGCGATGAAAGAGCCTAGACTGAACATGATGGAGACCACAATCATCCTCTTCGACAGCTTAATGAATCACTTTATTTTCGCGCACTAACCTCTGTAAGTTAGAGCTCAACACTCTGAAAATACTTCGTAGAATTGGATTAAAAAGTTTTGCACCAGAGTTTCTATTTATTCATTAATACGATATTTTTAGGAGTAACTCGTGCGATTTCCTAAAAAAGAAAGATCTCCGCTTCTAGCGGTGCCTAAGGCAAAAACCAGTTGGCATAAGAAGCACACAGATGTATGTGCTTCGGGAATTCGGTCGTCAAAAATGCTAAAGGTCCAGCTAAATTTCAATTGATTTTTGAGCTTTATTTTGTGATCTATCCTAATTAGGTGACAGTGACTCTCGCGATGGTCGGTTATTTTACAAATTCTTATGATGTTAGAATTTTTAGTTTTTACTAAGATGAGTGAGACAGTAAGTAGAGATAGTTTGTGGGTTATATCATAAATACCTCTAACACATATAAGAAGGAGTATTTTGTATAAACTGATTATATAGTCTAAATTGGATTCTCTATGTGTTTCTTGAGCAAAACTCATGTATCAGCTTAAATCAAAGTTGTATATCTTACAATTCCTTTGTTGTCGAATTTGTCAGCAACATAAGCGTTGATACAGCTCATAGTCAGCATGAAATCACCCATCAAGCCAGTGATGGCGGCGGTCGGATAAAGCCAGTACAGTGAAATGTCCACCGATGGTGACCAAATAAGCACTCTCACTGCAATTTGTCTTTGAGCACAAAAATCATTCAAAAAATTTCTAGAAGATGACTACTTGTATTGTTGAACAAATCGCACTTGCATTCTCCACCAGTACGCTTGCGATCCCAATCAGAAGTGGCAGTTTTCGTCCATGGTAGTCGCTATAGCCGCCTAAGCAAATACCAACGTTTAAGGGCTTTCAGATAGTGGGAAGGTCACGAGCACCAGCACTGAAGCTTTCGAAAAGTCCTCGTGCTTTCTTAGCGGTGTGAGCCAGAATTATCTAGCGGTGGTGTTCCCACAATTTTGCAAAGGGAAGGGAAAGGATGAAAAATCTGATCGAAGGGAAGACGTCACTACGCACTTCAAAAGTTTTACGGCACTTCTCAAACTTTTACTAAGATTTTCACCCTGAAAAAAAGGAGGCATGGCAATAGTCATTTCGAAAAAACCGAAGATCAAATTTTGAACCTAAGTCAAAAAATTTTTTAATGATTATTTACTGTCGAGAAAAGACATACACTCCTTCTCATAAACTCATGTAACCTTTTTCTTAGATTTTGCAACTCACTCCTTCCCCCCCCCCCCTCCTCCACACAATCTTCTGTGGAGCACAGTTTTCTAGCCCAATCTTTCAAATTTAGCAAGGCATCAGATTGATGACACTTTGAAATAGAATTTTCCTTTTCCTTCGAAATTTACGATTACCCCAGAGTTCAAAAATTTGCTTGGTGGTCTAAAAAGGTTCCGAAAACTAATACATATGATGCTAGGGAGGTAGTACCAAGTTACAGTTGTGTTTTGCAAGCTTGAGACACATTTTTCGCTTTTTTTTTCTAGGAATTTGTGTTTTTGTCTTGGATACTACACGATATCCCCCTTGCTTTCATCCAAAAACGACTTAAGCCTATCTGTCACCTTGTGCCTATCCTTGCTCAAAGTGCTGAGTAAAGTTTACATAATTCACCATACATGATTCCGGCAATGCAGGCAATGGGCAGATTCACATATGTGTAGTTGTTGTCCCAGATGACCATTTTTTTATTGTAGAACTTCTTCAACTCTTTGTCGCTGAGTCCCGGTGGAGCAGGATATACCCGCATCATTTTGTGCTCGGACAATTCGGGAGTTGCAATGGATCTAGAATAAAGAAGAATAGGATTTAGACAGAGTATAGCTGCATGCCATTTAAATATGGAGGTCACTCTAATTATGTTGCAAAACTAAAAGCTGAGTTTATCCTCAGTTCCAATCGTTGCTCTCTACTTCCCAAAAATTTCGTTTCTTTCATCGATCATCGAAATCATGAGATAGCGATTGGAGGCTCGACTTAACTTGGTTTCTTAACTCTTTTTGCTATAGTTTCTTTTTGATTTACATAGCCTTTGCTATAATGCTATTTTGCATATATAAATTCAGGCCTTTAAACGGTCAATTAGACGCGCGCATAGTAATCGCAAACTTGAGTCTTAGATCTTAGAAATCAACTTTCTCACGTGAGGTTAATCATCGAAGACTGCTATTTGAATACATCCAGCAAATGTTTTCAAACTAAAAAAAAAGATTCTGCAAGAAAGTAGTCTTGATTTTTACAACGCTAAGGGATAATCAAGATTCCGATCTTGGAAATATCAAACTATCATGTTTTGGCTAACTTGTTTCTTGATTGTACCACAGATCAATTTCCCGAGATGATTGTGGAAAGTACATAAAGCGGACAGAAGAATGTAAAGCTAGTATCCTCTGATCCCAAAAAGCTCGATTTGTGCGCAATCTTTTGCATACTAGAAGTTTTGCAAACCAGTAATCAGTAGGCAGCATACATATACACCTATCAGAAGGGAAAAAGCTGCAGCAAGTGAGTTCGCTTGCAAGTTTGCTTAAAGACAATTCGCGTTTGGGAAATGAGAGAATCTATGGTTCATGTCAGCTTCCAAGGATTATCACATTTTCAGAAATTTAGAATAAAGATGCACCTGGCTGCATTGCACGCTGCTAAAACGAGCATAAGCGGTTCCACCGAGATATTCAGAGATCTCACCCATTCTACGGTCTTCCTTACCAAATCGTTCATCCAAGTGCTGAAATGGAATACAAAAATGGATTTAGCGAGGTTGTGATCGACATCTCACGTGCCAAACATTCGACAGATAGACCAATAATATTTTTTGGGAAATTCTATCAGACATTGCTGTAGCCGTCTTGATTTCTTAAGCATAGTGTCACTCTCTACCCTTGTCAATAGCCATCCCTATTTCGCATTTTGGGCGTCTTTCATGAGACGTATTTGAAGGTTTCTGTGCTAACAAAAATTCATTTCTATTAACTGAACTCACATTCAGTTAATTGCAGGAAAACTTGAACAGCAATTATGTTTCCATGAAAACAGCACTATAGCGCAGTCAACGGCTTCGCAATTGTTTCACAATTTTTACAAAATTGCAAGGGCATTAAAATGATGTTTTTTGTCCGGATATTTCTCGTGCATTCTTGTCGGCAAGCAAGCAAATGAGAGCTTCAGTCACTATCGCGAATAGACTGAAATGACTTCAAAGTTACAGTTTTCAAGTTGTGCGTGAAGGTGGTGTGAAAAACATATAGATTAAGCTTTGGATCATCCCGTAATATGCTGTGACAAAACACGCCATTTGCAAATTAAAAACCTAAAAACATTGCACAAGCTTGATAAGGATTTTAGTTTTTGACTCGTACGTCGTACTAGCGATCGCTTGCTAAAAAGTATTCATCAAAACCGGAAATCAAGTCTATACCCAACATCCTACCAAGTTCAAGTTGAAAATTGTGGAAACATGCTTCAATTCTATACTTAGCTCCTTTGTCGCGCAAACAAATCGAAAAACGCTACCGTTTTCTTTTTCGAGAAGAGAGAGGAAGGAGGAAAACAAGCACAGCACATGATGTTAAACATTTGCTCGACATTTTGCAAAGCTAAACAATGAACTTCAACAAATATGTCCGTGTTCCGTACTCTCTCATGAAATGTACTTTTATTTGCAGTCTATGTTCCAAGAGTAAACATCAGTGCACAAGATTTTCCCTTTCTGTTGTGATAACAACAACGCTGTGACATTTTATTGCAGGAAAATGACAGATGTTGCAATTTGCTCGAGATAATAAAATAAGAAGATAGCGGCCAAGATTCTTTGAACTAGATTTTGTAATCTTGCAACAAAGTCTTTGGAGCAGCACAAAAGTCGAGCATTGGCTGCGTCAAAAAGGTTTCCATATCTTCACAGACTGAATAGGTAATTTAAGATTTTTTTTTCAAATTAGAGTAAGCTCAACAATTTTTTTTCACCAGCAAATTTCAATTTCAGATATGCATTCATGCCCAGAACGGAGAATTGTGAAATGGCAGAGCATGAGCAAAGGATTTTATTAGGCCGTAAATATTTACAACATAGTTCTCATCGGTAAAAAGCAGCCTTCACGAGATGAGAACGTTGCAAAAAGAAGAACATTCGAGAAGACAGGTAGATTAACAAGTAATAGACGAATACAGAAGTAAAAGACAATATGTAGTGGTAGTGAAAATGGAGGACTGCGGTGGAACACAGAACCAAATTCTGGGCAATTGGAGCTGATAAGGAAGTGATAAGCACATGCAACAATTGCCCGCACTGAGCTCGCTGCTCTTTCGAGTTTGGCGAAAGAGAATGGCTCAGTTATGACACCGCAACGTACAAGACTTTCAACATGGGAAAAAACCTGAGTTTGAGATAAATGACATAATAATGCGTTAATTACAAGAATTAGTCCTTGGCTCCTGGGGAAACGTGAGTTGGGAGCATGTTCCCAATTTTCCCGCAAGTGCCATGGCCTATACTTATGCACTTAGCAACATGCTGTAATAAAACTTGCCGAATAAGGCATGAGACATCGCCGAGGCTGGACTACTACCGGTTTTGCAAATTTCGAAGGAAATGCTCGAATCGCTAGCAAATTGGAGAAACGCGAGAACGAGCCTGGCAGATCATCTGCCGATATGGATGGGACGATCTTCGATCTCGAACTCGGCCGTAGCCGCGTTGTCGCCTTTTTGTTTGTGCGAGCCGAGAGCGAACGCGACCGCGGCGAGCAGACAGGCCGCCACCACGCACTGCGCCAACCGCGTCGAGTAGCCGGTCACTTTCACTGCGTCGTAGTCCCAGTCGCCGTGCTGAAAGCAAATTCTTCGCATTACTGTACACAATCAATCGAAACTGTGTAAAGCTGCGATGTGCATGCGATAGGTAGACTTGCTACGCTTTCTAAACAAAGTGTGTACTGATTTGGACACATTTACTCGCAAACGAGGTAATCTATGCTTGCATACAGTGTTCCTAAAGGCCGTCCGTGCTTTTGCGCAGAATGCAACGCTGTTCGTCTATCGGATATAGTTCATGACTAGAAGAGGTGTAGAGAAGAAGAGTGGCGAGAGTGCGCCAGAAAGGAGGAGTAACGCTACACTACTCCGCGCCCTGCGAAAGGCCTATACAAGCTCATCTTCATTTCTTCTAAAAATCGGAACTGAACTTGAACTAATAACGGGTGCCTTTTCTTCGTTTGTAGTAGCATCACGTTTTATGATACCATTGAACGTTTTCGGTGTGGTACCCCTTCAGTGTATACGTGGAGATCAAATTCACATATGGTAAGTCTTGGTTATTATTATAATCGGTTATAGATCCCAAACCTGTGAGAAGACTCCATCTGGATTTCATATGGGCAAAAACGTTTTCGGTCCTACAATTACGGCCGCAGACTGACAGCTCAAACGAGAGAATCTGTCAATTACAGTATAACAAATGTGTGCAGAAAATGCGAGCTCCTTCAGCACATTTTTGGACTAGAAGGACTTGATCTAATTTCGCAAGAGCACCAAAAATATGAAGCAGCATATACTCTAAGGAATATTCGCGCAAAATTTCGTTTGGAAATGGAGTAGTGAGAGAGCGTATCAAATAAGTAAGTGAATAAGTGGTAAATAAGTAACTAAGTGATTTTCGGGGAAGAACGGTTTCAAACTCTGATGTATGAGAGTTCGGCCTTACTATTACTCTGATTCATATGATTTCTGTAATAAGTGTACCCTAATTTCACGCGTATAAGGCGCACTTTTTCGAATTTTCAAGCGAACCGCTCAGCCGCTTCACTTCATTCCGGAAAGAAATCCTTACATCGCACGATATTCTTCCAGCTTCACATCGCAGGACTTTGATAATGAGACACCGTTAGCAGAATTTCTTCGTTTTGTTAGGCTCTTGATGTAATGCTTGTTGGTCTCAACTCTAATGAGGATGCGCAAAACTGCGAAGCTTTTCGTTACAGTCTTTCATAAACTTCTTCCTAGTAAACTGACTGTGCGCTATGAGTATCTAGAGCATATCGCAACCGCCAGCTGTTCAAGATCCGAGTATGCATATGATATTCATTGATTTCAGCTAAGTTGACGCATAATTCCTGCCACATTTCCTCCAGTTTAAAATTTTCAAAAGCTACAAAAGATCGTATGTCCGTATGTTCAGGGCTCGGCATAGGTGGCTTTCCAAAAACGAAGTCCCCTTTGACCCTAGACCATGAACATAAAAACCCTTAAAAACAAAACGTCGGCTAGGATACGTAACTGAAGCTGTGTTTTTTCGGCCCCGAAAACGATACCCCCTTTGCTTTTTGTCCCAAAAAAGGTCTAGCTTGTTATAAGTCGTCTGCGTTGAGCCCTGCGCAAGTTGGCACTCGATCCGTACCCAAAAATTCTCTTTATAGCTGTAAATCCATTTTGCAGTTATTTTCACCAATCCCGTAGTGTCTTTTCATGCGAAAGATGAAGGGTACATAGACGGATAATAATCGAATATTAATCGGAAGGGTAGGGTACGGGTGTTTGTGGGCAGGACAGAGACAGTGCAACCGTGACTGTGTACCATAGTCTGGAGCAGCACTGCGCCACTTGGTGTCTGAATATTGACCAAGAAAATCTTGAAGTGAGCTGCCCCTGTCCTCCAACATGCACACATAAAAGATACTATTTGGAATAGTTCATATTTTTTGATGTTTTTATACTCTCAAGGAGACCGAGACTATTACCATAAGAAAGATGATACCAAACATATCTAACGAAGTAAACCATACAAGAAAAGCACAAGGAGAAGCAGATAAGCGAAATCGAAGAAAAATTATCTGACAGAATTGTAGTAAAGTTACCTGTGCGCACGGCGGCTGCCCAATAGTCCGATGCTTTTACTCCTTAATTATAAAACAAACCGTGGACCTTCGCGCAGCTATAAAATATGATAGAAGTTTCCCGTCAACTTAGTTCTAACAGCTATGCTCGGCGACTTGTAAACACTGAACTGCGAAAAAACACTAATTGTGGAAGGAGCTAAGGCAGTGCAATGCTGATCTTTCTGTGAGGACTTAAGCAGCAACCTATTATTGAGTCTGTAAAAAGTTAAACGATATTCGTTTTTGTAAGATGTAGAATGAAATAGGCTTTTGCTCTGGAACTGCTAATGGGCGATTATTTAAGGATGCCTGTAGCGACAAAAAAAATGTTGCGACTTATGGAAATTTCAAAAGGTGATTTCAAGAAGACTACAACACTGAATTTTAAAGCTAATGATACACTTCGAACATTGGTATAGGTGCATATGAAGAAGATTCTGTTTCCTTATCCAACATTTTTCACGCCGAAAAAATCAAAGCCAGGAGAAATGCCTCTAGTCATTATGTTCAAGTGTGCCCTGCAAGCAGCCAAATTCGATTCCAGGAAATGCAGAAATTTTTCAGATTTTAGGCAGCCACGGATCCTCGTCCCTTGCATTGCCCCCGTCCGATATAATGTGCAGAATAAGCGCTTTAGTGCACTAAAACTGGAGGCCCAATCAGTTTGATCTATACGATGTCTCAAAACAACATCGTTATGCCTGACATGTCCGTCAACCTCGGCAGATATGGATCCCATGCTAGGAATAACAATGAGAACCTTATGCCTCATGGGAGTTATGATAACTGCTTGGATGGACAAGCAAGGTCTCACAAGTATTTTCTGATTAGATCTATTGAAAAATGCCCTTCCAATCCGTGGGGAATCCTATCATACCGACCCTCGTTACAGTGATTCTCATAGCACGGGAAGGATTTAGTTCATAGTGCTCAAAAGTATACTGTAAGAACGACGGGTGCACTAAAAGATAGTGTCGTCACTCCATATGTTAGAACCTGAATAAGAGTACAAACTATAATAAGAAAAAAAAACGGTGTGAAAACACCATACCTCATGCTCACTGAAAACTTGAAGAAAGCTTTTTTTTCTGAATATGCGCAATTAGAGCTCCTTGACGCTCTTCTGTCTCCTATATGGAAATGAGCATTCGTTCGGGCACTCAGCCGTAAGGTCAAGCCGGGGGGGGGGGGGGGGCTTTCACCCTTGATAAGAGTAACAGACAGAGGGGTTTCATTGAATATTGAGGAGCTTTGCAATGACTTGCACTTACTCTTCAAAAAATGAGCTACTGAACAAAGCTAGTATTGATAGTCCCAGCTTATTTTCAAAAGTCCCGACTATTTCCATATATTGTACCCACGGATTACGAGGAAGAATAGCCAAGCTTCCGCAAAGTTTTCCCATACGTATTTTCTCGGGAAGGTAAAGAAACCGCGCACTCTCTGGAAACGGATGAAGAGATTGTGGATCCTTCAATGTGGATCATCATAAAGTGAGCGCTTTGAAAAAGCAAGCTCTACATTCTCCGTCTTTTCGTCAAAAAAAAAAAACTTCTGTATCTGTTCTTTAACGATTCAGCCGACTCGTAAAATTGAGAAAGGTCATTACCATTTTGCTTTTGGTCACTGGGGAACAAAAAGGAATCAAATCCGAACTGCAAATGCACCCTATGAAAAAGCGATATGAGCGATAAAAATAAGAGAATTATCTTCATAAAATATATGTACTGATACTATTATACATAACTTTTTGCACTGACGTTCCACGCAGCCACGCAAACCTAAACAAACATAACATAAATATTCAGCGTTATGCTTATATGCCGAAAAGCTTTTGAAGTGTAAATTCTTTTCTTTAACACTTTCAAAAGAGACACAAGGCAGCTAGGATAACTATGTTATCCTAACTCGTGAAGAAAACATAAAGTTCATAGACGTCAGCATTTTCAAAGCGTCAACAAAAATTTTTAGGTCTTTTGCATTTCTTCCATGTAGCTCCGGTCACCTGGCAAGCGTTAAAAGCTTCCACTGGGGTTTTGCTTTAAAGCACGCTCAAGTAACACTATAACTCAGAGATAAAGTGCCACAAACAAGCGCAAAATAATTATTCTTTTGAACATGACGAGCCCAGTCGGGATGAAATTGCAATCAAAATAAATATAAATATATATATATATATTGAGAATTATAAAGTAAATAAATGAAAACAGTGGCCAAAATTAATATGCTGAAATTGAGGTCCAGATTCCCTGAACTATCAGCCCGAAAAGCATCTATTACCCCTAGAACTGTGTAGATAAGATCACCTTATAAAGATTTCTGCCAAAAAATTTCAGCCTCAGAATTTTTTGGTTTCCATGAAACCACAAGAACATATTAGCTGTAGATCGGTGTAAAACTTTTGGAGAGTCTCTTTTGTTCAAAATTTGACAATGCAGACCCTAACGCATGAAAGGAGCTGAAGAAAGAGGGCCGCTTCGGCAGTGCAATGAAGTGCTACAATGAAGATCAAAAATGGAAGAATCGCAAAAAATTGAAAAAAGCTCCTGAAGAGCCTTGAATTTACATACGGAAACTTTGTTTCTTGCAGAAATTACGCGATTTAAAGAAAAAGGCAAAGTATTCTGAAGAGGAACTTATTTACAAGATTCAGGGTACAATTAAATTGGAAATGAGATAGTACTGTTTTCGCAAAGAAATAAAAAAGACATTTATGCGAGGAGGTTTAAGGGTTCCTGGTTCCTATCCGCACAGATATTGAGTGGTTTAATTCTTCGATAAATTTTTTTTGCGCAAAGGAGTCAGGGCTGTTTGAATCAACAAAATTATTATAACTATCTTAATGGGTTCGATATTGGTCATGAAGGCCCCTCATGTGGCCTCTTTCGCAGACATCTTTCACATGATTTTTGCGCTGTGTGATATGTGTAAGAACACGGTGACAAGTGAAATAGCAGATGCTGACATGCAAAAACGATAACAGGCGTGTTTGAAGCAAAAAGGCAACATTGGAACTTGAAAAGTGAGCCTAGAAAGCTGAACTGAACAGGTGCTCATTAGCTTCCCGAGAAGAGATAATGAGATCAGAACCCAAATCGTTCAATAGTTCGAAAATTCAAGCTGGGAGAATAACTAGAGTATCAAGGGCGCTGAGCAAAGATACACGGAAAAGAAAAGTATTGGGAAAATTCTTACCTGTGAGGCTTGAGCTACAGCTGTATTCCATTCGTCTACGCTTTTCAACAGCACTTCAATCACGACAACAATTGCCATGGCTAAACAACACATATCATTCATCACTCGAGGTGAACGACAGGTAATAAAATCTGAGCTGTCTTGCACTAAAATGCAAAACAAAAAGCAGCAATATAAATCTTGTCTTTAATTCCGTTTATCCTATCTGTGGTGTCGTGATGGATGTGGATTCTTGCTACGATAGCAAGAAAGCAACATCTTTCATTCCAGCGCAATTTATCAAAGGAAGTCTCAGGACCTGCCTGTTGTGCGTAACAAACTTTTTCTGTCTACATTATTGATGGATAGGGAGTACCAAGTTATCAAGAGGATCGACTAACCTTTTTTTCAACATTGGTCTAGTCAAAAGTCCAAATCAAATTATTTTGAACCTACTGAAAAAAATTTCCTACAAGTTATAAGATGATACAACAGCATGAGTAACTTGCAAATCATGTTGCCGAAATCTGAGTCTGATGGATTTCCTAATTTCATCTATGAAAGATTTGTCAATTTGTCATCTGCATTATTGAGATTTGCAAAAAGAGATAATAAAGGATTAAGGTAGCTAATACGCATGGATATTTGATTTACAAATGTTTCATTTTCACATACAGATGAGAAGCCTATGGTCTTTACCACTTTATTGATCAAAATTTTTGTCGATGCATATAGTGGTTGCAAAATTTTCCTACAAGCTATCATTTGAAGCTTTCTAGACCTTTTTCGGAAGCTAAGAGCTCATAGGGAGACTCTACACTACTCTTGGTCAGAACACATAGCTAGCCGACTGAGGAAAACAAATGAATATTTGATGATAACAGTCAGCCTGCACCAACACGGTGTGTTATTCAATAAAATAAATTAATAAAATTCAATGATTTATGGAACAATTAAAGCAACTCAAGCTCGAATAGCTTTCCTATTCATATTGCTAACAAGATAAAAATGGGACAACTCACCAACAAGCAGGAATAATCCCGCAGTAAGTCGTTTATAAATATATCGATGGTGGTAGAAGGTATAGAGAGCCAAAGTGTTCGTTGATAGCAGTAGAAACAACGCGATCACTCCAATGGCTGCTTGAGCTCGATAATAATCTACAAGAAGAATACATTATTGTTTAATTCAGGTTCTTTCCCTTAGTACAGCCATTCAAAGTCAGCTCGATGGGCTTCACCCGCACAGCAATCATACTTAAATGTGCCTATGCCTCAGCACATCTGCGAGTTGCATATCGGAAAGTGTAAAGTGTGAAGCTATGCTCTTTTGCTTAGCGAAAATGGCTCATTGCTAAGTCTTAGTTCCCAATCACGTAGTAGTTTTTTAGCGTAAGGCTGCTTCCTAAATTTAGTTGAGTGGAGAGGAATCGAGCATTATCATGACGAAAGTTGTGCACAAATTTTTGAAAAAGTCTGAGTCAAAAAAAATTCCATATACGATAGTTACTCTGATATGATATGAATTAGAAGTAAGAAATTTTACGCTTTTCAAATGTCGTCTCTTGAATGTTACGAGCTCGAACATTCTTCTGATTTTATTTTTGTTTTATGTAGGAGTTATATAGCACTTTTGAACTAAATTTATTTTTGTGATCGTGCATTTCTAAAAATTTAAAGATTTTCGGACACTGTATTTGCATTCCGACACTCTGCAAAATGCTCCAAAATGTTTAGTAAACTGCACAAACTATTAGGGTGATCGGTAAAAAATGGGGCACCTAGAGAATGAATGTAAATTTCTCAAAAAAGAAAAGTGATTAAACTTTCCAATTTTGCTAGATGTTAGAATAAATTGTTCTCTTTCAGAAAATACCTATATAAGGTCATTTACATACGTAATAATTTTTAGAGAGGCTGAAATGCCAAGTTAGTCACTTTGACAAATTATAAACTTTGGGCAGTATCTGCGCAGTGAAGCATGTGAGACCACTCAAGTACCACTGCTGGAGTGGGTGGTGGGACAATCACTAAACCCACGACAGCTTGATGGCCTCAACTTTCAAAATCAGGAGATATAGCCATTAGTAGCTTCGAGAACAAAAATACGCGTTATTCAATTCTTTGCAGGTAAACGCATGTTTTCTAGGTAACATCTGATAGAGCTTTTTACGCTCTATCTAATCATATGCAGCTTACCTCACATTTCATCTATCTTCGGAAAATACAGATTGAAAATTGATTTATTGGTTTTTGTTGCGCCAAAAAATCGCGATTTTTCAGGTATTTCTCTTTTTTTACCCAGAAATAGAAAGTTACCCTGTATGTTTAATATATTGTTTGAAAAAGCATGAAGAGCTCTTTCGAATGGTATATCAATTGCTCTATAACTTTACGGTATGGCAGCGCAAGAATGAGCGATGTTCAAAAAACCCTGTTCGAGTTCTTCAGGGGGCCACGCGTAGGGTTGTGGGAGAAGAGCGTTGAAGCTTTGCCAGAATAATAGACGAAGGTCGCTTATATAAGCGACTTTTACGTTGCAACCTGCTTGCTGTTGATCGAAACAAAAAACCTCAAAATTTGATAAAAATCAAGCTGCCCCATTTTTTACCGATCACCCTAATACATACACCGAAAAAATGACATACATATAAAAACCATCATCTAAGATTTTTTGAGTAAATTTTTCAAGACTTTTGGTGCAAGATTCATGTTCTATTACATTTTTGATCAAATATCTTTCGCTAGCGAAAAAACTAGAGAGCAAAAAACTACTTTTTTGTTCTTTTCACATTTCTTGCATACTCCCTCCTTCTCAAGGCATCGAAGAGATCTTTGAACTCGTACGATCAGATTCTAACCGCTGCCTCTCGTACTAGATAATAGTCCAAATAGCTCTGCGTCAAGATAAAAAGCAATTCAACGGGGTTCGCCCTGTTTCAAAGCGCGCAAAGAGCTTCCGTCAATTTGCCGTGTTTGTTTTCTGCGCTGCTTCAATAAAAAATCAATGTTGTGCACTGAACCATGGCTAAACAGATACTCTTCGGATTGCAACTGCCAACAGCTTACGTTTCAGATCAGCATCGGCCAGACGAGCCACATTTTCTGGAGGTGTAGGAAAGTGAGGAATCCACTCCACTGTAAATGAAGGAAAGGGAGAAATTGAGGAAAAGAGATGATGCTGAACAAACAAATGTTTACCGTTCTTATGGGAAACATCTGTGATAGTCCGCCATTCTCCCCATACTCCTAGTTGAACATGTACTTGCTGATATTCAGTATTCATAAAATCCAACACTGCCCAATTTGGAGTCGCCAGAGCGGCAATCAACACAATAACGGCTATCTACAAACAGAACTTTTTAGGCTGCTTCCTCTGACATTACCAGCCCTAATTAAACTAAAGGGCATCAACTATCAGCGTTTCAATTTCCTCTCACTTAAGCTCACCCATGTAATTACTGTCGCCACGGCCATAAATCGCCTTCGCCACACTATTTTTTCATAGGATTGAATGTTGAGAATTTGTGAGTCTCGTAACTCGACGGCTTTGTCTATTAACTGCATGGCGTAGCTGATTGAGTGCCAGGGAAAGCAACGACGTCTCACTTCCTCACTCCTCGCTAAATGTATGAACAATCTAAATGCAATTGGTTGCAAGTTAAAAGTTGGGATACACTATACGAATTCGCTATAAAGTAATGAGCTTGAATACGACAATTGTAGAAAAAATGTAGGGAAATGAGACTGCAACTCGATATTAATAATGGCCATAGATGTTAATAGTGTTTTATGCGTCACGATGAAGATTGTGGTGATCTGAGAGTTTCAAAAGACGAGAATAACATCGTTTTTATGCAAACTGGTCCTGTAAATGTTTTGCATGAAATGAGCTTCAAAGCCACATCGAGTCGAGGATGCGGAACACATATCAGCTGCTCGGACGAGTGCAGCGTTTAGTAGTAACATAAACACACGTCAGATCTTATGGCAACATTAGTACCTGCTGAATGGGGCGAAAGCTCATAAGATCTTAGCAAATGAAATGCGACAGACGAAGGCCATTAGAAGCACTAAGATAGTCCCTCCCAATAATCATTCAGGATCTAGACTGAGACTAATCTCAAGTGACCTTAGATGCCACTTGAGATATGAGCTCAGCAGCAAATAGGGAGGATGTCCGCCAGACGAATGCAACAGCCCCCCGTCAACAGAACATCGAGCAGTCCCACCCTCAGTCCGGGGCGGAGCTTCGACACGAGCCAAGAGGTAGAAAGAAATGGGGACGAACATGTAAATGAGTCCCACACACGCAGAGCATAGTGGGTGGCCCCAAGTTGATGGGGAGAATTACAGCCTCTCTGACTGCTTCCCAGCTGGGGTCTGGGCTCGCGTTGTATGAGTACTGAAGCTGTACTCAAGTGGAACTGGGTACATGAAGCTTTTTGTGGTTTGCGGAACAGCTGAACGATCCAGTTCAGCCATCAAAAATTATACGGTTCCACTGGGTTTTTTATGCTACACTTTTGTATTCAATAAACAACTTTGATGAATGCTGCTCTGGAGGATGGGAAGAGCAATTTTATAGTGCAAAAGAACTTTACGGGTGGCTATGGGAATGAAAACTCATAAAACAACCACAGTATATGCCTCAAACGTATGAAACAACCAAATATGGGAAAAGAAATAGTGTAAACTCGGTACTCGTAGACCGGTTCTGCTCCATGCATCCTTCTAGTTGATCCCATAATTTATCTATGACTAAAAATAATAGTTCAACCGTTCATTAGAGTGCAATAAACTTGGATGTATTATATTTTACAGACTCATTGCTAGAATGACCCAAAATTTTACAAAAATTGACCAGTCAAAATTTCCCCTTTCAAAGTTATCCTACACAAAATCTTCGCTCATTGCGAATGTTTTTTGGAAGTAGTCTTCATTTTTCCTTCTTTCGTCTAGAGGTCGGAATGAAACAGAAGGATATAACGGGAAAAAATTCTCTTTTCTTCGTAAGAGAAATGCGCAAGCTCTGTTTCTAATAGAAGCTCGTGAATTTCTGACTATCATTGAGGAATACAGACATGGTGCCTGGAAATTGCCACTCAAAAGTAGAATGGTTGGGCTAATAGAGTTCATGGATATTGTTTACAGCTCATTAACTTGTCTGCACAACGACTTCAAACAGAAAAACATCGCCTTGCACACCGATTTATCGCTAATTCATGAGTTTCTTACGTTTTTCATCATGAAAAAGTGGCAAACTCCTTTTGCTTTCAACAATTCAACGATGAGCGTACGAAAGTTTGTTCTTATAAATTACGCCACTTTTAGGGAAAAGTTGAAAATATTATGAAAAGCAAGCTCTTCTAATCAAGGTTCCAGGATGTATGGGTTCGTTGAGATTGTCCAACTTTTTTGATAGATCTGACTCATAAGCTTTTTTCTGAGTGTTTATAATAGTGTGCCTATTTTGGAGGATTGAACATATGGTGGGAATTCAGATGAACTCTAGGAGAGAGCTTGGACTCTAGCGTGTATGTTATACATTAGCAGTTCTGAGGCATACATGGAGTACCTCCCTTCAAAGCTTCGAAGCCATGTTTGTAAATGATTCTAACGAAGCACTTAATAGTTTGGACTTTTCGCTCTAGAATTTTAATTCGAGAATAATGAACTTATAGCAGCATGATCAAGTTACATGCATAATTGATAGCTTAGCTTGCGCTCAGCAAACTTTTTGCAAGTTCTGCTCAGTTTCAGGAAAGAAATTGGATCAAAAAAAGCACTTTGGCTAGGTATTAGGGTTAGCAGTTAATTTCCACTGAAAAGAGATAAAACTTTCGCATGGGAAATTGCTCTGACGATAAGTCCTGAATTCTTTTCTAAGCCCAAAATTCTTACAGGAGTACTGGATTAAGTTGATTTATGTCTTGCAGCATGGCTGATTCCAAAGCTCTATTTGCTATCTGCTAAGTGCAGCTGGCACGAAGTTATAAACCCATTTTCGGGAAGAAGATTGAGCAAGCAATGAATATTGAATCAGTCCCTAAAAAAATTGTAGAAATTAGATAGAACAGTGTGAGCACGGATATAATAGACCGAAAATGCTTATGGCTTGTCCTAACAAGCACCGCTGATCCATTTAAGTGCACGTTGTTTTGCACATAATTTCTTTACATAGCTGCACTCGCAAACCTTTGTACTATATTCTCATAACCTGTCCACCAGCGATGCTCGGGCAAACTTTTCGAAAATCGCTGAAATTAGCTTTTTTGCCCTTCAGGATAGTAGACATCCTTTAAGAAAGTGCTACAACAATGCAACCCTTCCTTTTTGAACATACAGATTTTTGCACATTCTGTATACACGGTGTCTCAAAAATATGGACACACTGTTTGAGCGTCAATAAGTCTCTTGCCTTGATGTACTTTTGTTTTCATTTTGTAGAGCTGGCTTCGACCTAGAATTACGGTGTAGGATTTCATCGATAGCTCATTGGTATTGTAAGATTATTCATGGAACTTCCACAGATTGAATTCAATGTCACTTAGACGCCATGTCAAGAAATCTTATATAAAAGCAGGTTGATCAATTTTGCAGAAGTCTGCAAAAGTGTGATTAAATGACAGGATTTTCAAAATTCCAATGAGTATTTGGAAACAAAAAATAGTTCTCACTGGCGCCAAAGCTACGTAATTTCTACCGTATCTTTACGGTAACTAATTTAAGTTAGTGCCAGAGCTACGCCAACTTCAAAGCGAGAAATTTATCAACAATCAACGTATACGTATTATTGGGGCATTCTCTATATCTAAATCCGAAAAAGAGGTGAAGGGGTTTAAAGCAGACGGCACTTAGAGTTAGACGATCATTCAGTAGATGAAAAGTTCCTTCGAGAGACAAGTGATCCGACCTCAGGTTTTTAGACAGGAAGGTTTGCAATTTCATACCTCTCAAGGGGGGGGGGGGGGATGAGGTGATTTTCTTTTGCGCTTCATAAGATGAGAGTCTGAAAAAGGTTGAGCACGACATGACAGAAAGCAACTTGAAATTATATTATTTGGGGTCACAATTACTACTTACACGAACGGGGTTGGGACCTTTGAAGAGGCGGCCCCTAGAAGCCGCAATCCACTTGAAGCCATCGCAAATAAAAGATTGCGAGTGCTCAAAACTAATGCTGCGGGGTGGAAAATGTACATTTCTCGCGTAATCTTAACGAGGGCACGAGTCAGTTAATGAGTTAGAACAAGGCGTTTGTTTAACTGCACATCTGGATTAGGGGAAGTGGAGGAAGGCATCGATCATGAATTTGCTTTTAAACAGGTGCAACCGACAGCTAGGTGCATTTTGATCACTAATAGCCTACAGCTAAGTACTTCACATGTGCTCCACAGATACCAGCGAGGGCATAATAGCATGTGGCAGATAATGAATGCTATGTTTTTGCGCTTTTCACTTTTTCATCGCGAAAAACAAACACTTGATTGAACAAATATCCTAGCCGAAATCTAATGCGATACAAGTTAACCAGCACGATATCCCAAGGTAAAAAATGTGAGGAAGAAGTAAGCATTGGCGATGCAGACCAGGGCTCGGCACGAGCTGGCACCAGGAAAATTTCAAATCGAAGTCGCCTTTGACTGTAAACCTTAAGCGTAAACCCTCAGTTGCAATTTTTGTCTTTTCGACCACAAAAACGATATCCCCTTTGCTTTATGTCCCAAAACGATATCCAGCTTGACTCGGTGCCATCTGTGCCGAGCCCTGATGCAGACTTTACGGTTGAGCGCTCAACAAATCTACAAACGAGCCCTTCGTATGAGTTAGAGTTCCGTACTTGCAGATAGGACGATCAGAGGTGATGAGGTTTTGTGAGAGGCCTTGGGGAAAAGCTGCACCTCATGAACAAACAATAGGACAAAAATTGACTTGTCTGAAGTAATTCCTTCATAAGTCCATTCCGCACTTTTAGCAGGATTAACCTTCAAGATGTACTATGTCACTCACTTTGAGGAGAAAACCTTTTTGCATGACAGTATCCATATAATGTGTGACGGATGCCTATACAAAAATCGCAGCTTCTATTACAAACGACGACGGTCCTGGATGGAATCTCTCTGACCTCTTACGGTCGTGCGCGGCTTGCACGGCTTGTTTAACACAAGCAATTAACTCATTAACGACGATGCCTAATTTGCGTGGAGGCGCTATGGGACGACTCGATTTGCACAACATTTTCGGCGTGGGAACATATCGTGATTAGTAACGAGATGTGGTTGTTTTGTAAACAACAATAAACACTGGACGACAGGGTCTGCAGGTCCCGAAAGCCACATGCATCGCCGCGAGTGCAAGAAATATGAGAAAATGTTGGGCCTGGAAAGGATATGCCTCTGCAAGAGGTTGGGCCACCAGTGGTTCACATTGTCGTAAGTGGGGGTTAACATCCCATGCAAAGCAGCTTTTTAGCTGGTGAAATTATTACACTGGACTTCACCAGTAGTTGATCATATGCGACATGAAATAAATAATTCAGTTTTTCTTGAATAGGGCAATGATATCCGTAATGTTGGGGCATACATGGTAAATGGCAAAGAAATGACCAAGAACCATGGTGATGATTATTTCGAAGCATCACGCGACAATGACAGTAGTAATGCTCTTAAATCCAAGTAAAATTAAAGGTTTGAATCAAATTTTCACCATTACGTCTTGGTCTTGGCTAAATCCTATTTTTGTTCTTCGTACGAAATACGCGAATTGATGGTGTGGAGTGCACACGTCTGGTAGTAATCAAATGAAAGGCTTAACAGATGGAGGCGCTACCCAGGAGCTTGCTATGATGGGGAAAATTCTACTCATCGAATTATACAAGTCGTCGTGTTGAAAGGATTGATTACAAACAGCATATATTAGGTTATTGCAAAAGTTCTTGCACACGATTTTTAAAAATTCATAACTTCCGACTTTTTCAACCAATTTGGCCGCTTTTATTTTTGTATGAAAGAGTAACTCATGCTC